GAGTGTCAAATTTGGGTGTTTTTTCATATGCAGGTTTCGCTAACATACTGAATTTCAAATACCGTTAAAAATAGTTTCCATAAGCAGAATTTGAATTTTTTTAGTTTGTTTGAAAGGTAGTTTTATATGGATTCATGAAATGTCCACAAAAATATTTTCTTTTTGTTAATATGGACGGATTAGGCTTTCAAACCAACCATATCTCAATTGTAATTATTTAACATGAGCTCTGTTAAGTCGTTAACAGAGGTATGTTAATAGAAATGGTAGGTGTCTTTACTAGTTAAATTCGAATTTATCTTCACACCCTTGCATTTTTTATTCATCTGGAAGGTCCTACTGCTTCAGAAATTTGGTATATTGACTTATTTATTTTTACCATCGAAGGATGAAGGCTATATTTATTTTGTCAAAACATTTGCAAGACCCCAAGCAAGCTACAGATATCCCATAAGGACCGTGCGTCCGTTTATCTGCATAATATTTGTGGTCGCAAATATTGAAGTAATTGAGTTCAAATTGGCAGAAAGATAAAAAGTTCTTGCCGGCTGGTTCGTATTGAAATTGGGCTAAATCGGTCAAGGAATACGATCACAATATAAGCTGAGACCACCTTCGCTTTCAAATATAAAGAAAAGTTGGTTTTTTGCTCCTTACTCACAAATCATAATAGATACAATGATAAAAACTTGCGTTTAAATACCCTCTATGGTTGCTCCTGCAAAAGCCTGTACAAAAGTGGAAAAAATCGGGCACGTCCACAAAATATTATAAGTGCCCAAATTTTTTTTTTTTTTTTTGACCTAGAAAACAAATCTAGCTTAGACTTAGGCCATGCCGTTGCCTAAATCCTCCTCAAGGGACAACCATGAAAAATATGCGCACAATGCGCTTGATCAGCCGAGCAGATGAGATGCGCCTGTACCAAGTCACGGTTTGCGAATTCAAATCTCAGTGCGGTATAGCAGCATTACATGGTCGCAGTTGTAGTGAGTGATCGGTTGACGAAAGCATAATATTTAACTATTGAGCACGTATTCACTAGTTTGCAGCCGCTCCCGATCTCTTTCTCTTTATTGAAAGCAAGTTAGTTTACGTTTAAGATCCGCTTTCTAATTCTTCCTCAAGAAGGACTACCACGAAATGTATGCGCACCATGAACAATTACATTAGGCGATTGGCATGAGCAACCGTGCAAATAAGAATCATCAGTACCAAGTCAGGGCTCGCGGATATGGCAATACACGGTCGCAGTTGTAATGAATGACCGGTTGACGGAAGCACAATACTTACCTTCTGGGCCCTTATTCACTAGGCCGCGGTCGCTTCCAATCTCTTTCTCTTTGTTCAGTTTTTTCTAATTGTCGCTGAGTTACATGTATAGGGATATGTACATATATATATATATATATATATATTCTACTCGTATAGGAATATTTTTATGTATATATATATATATATATATATAGACAGATATATAGATAGATAAATAGATATATATGTATATATGTAGAACGACCTCGGTGTACAGTATATGTAACGGTATTAATTTAATTCAATATCCTTGTAATTGATGAAAATAAAATATTCTTCCATAAGCCGTATTTGGACAATGTCCTTGCTTGCGTAAGACTTTTTTGTACCGCACTCAAGCGTGGATAACGTTATAATATCATTTTATTCTATAGCTTTTCAAACCACAATTGATAAAAAAGAAATAATAAAAATATCTGCACATGTGCTACAAATGTTCGACAAAACATCGAAACAGACGTGGACCGTTTTTGTTAACAGCGATTATTAATCCAATTTATTTATGTAACGAATGATACGACGACAGTTTTTGTTTTTTAATGTGATATAAAAAATTTGACTAAAGGCATTAATTTTATCATTATTACATTTTTTGTTTTTTCTTCTTTTCTATTCTTTTCCTTTCTTTTCTCTTTTAAAGGCCATCGCAGTATGCGTACAGTTACTAACTATTTCTTATTGAATCTCAGCATAGCCGATTTGCTGATGTCAAGTTTGAATTGCATTTTTAATTTCATTTTTATGCTAAACTCTGACTGGCCATTCGGTGCTTTTTACTGTACTGTTAATAATTTTATGGCAAATGTTACAGTATCAACGTCAGTATTTACGCTGGTAGCGATTTCTTTTGATCGGTAAGTAAATGTAAATTAAATGAGAAAGTTATTGATTGTCATTTTGAAGTGAGTCGTTCCGATGAGCAACATAGCTAGCAACAGCCAGCATATATTGAAAATCATTCATTGCCTATGGCGGATAAGGAAAAATCAAAAAGTTTTCTTCATGTGGGCTAATTCAAAGTCTATTTATACGCTACAACATTTGCGATACAGGATTTATTATGTTTGTGCAGAAGGGCTTAAGATAGACTAACTTTTTTTGTGTACCGATTGGTTCAGAATCATTTTAAAAATAATTTTTTAAATCGATCTAAGCTTATCTGTACGTGTGTCCGTCTTAGATCTGTCCATGTACTGCTTATGTTCAAGGTACAGGTCCACATTTCTGATCTATTTTAATGATATTTCGTGCATTGAACAAACGCTATTGAAAATGGTTCGAATCAGTCTTCTTCTCCCCCAAATGACGACCTATTGTGAAAAGTCGTTATATGGGAAAAAAAATCGTAATTTTCAAAATTTGTTGAGAAGAACAGCTATGTGGTAGTATGTCGACATCTGGGGAAATTTTTGAACCCTCTCTCATATAACGAAAATTTAAGGTCGCCCGACAAAAAGGTATAATTTTCAATGCTCCATGATCAAAATAATAGTAATTTAACATAAAAAATTAACGGTAGCAAATTTGGATCATCTCGGCCTATTTTTTGGATCCTACCTTCATAAGGATTTTTACGAAAATTAGAGCTTTGTAGGGAAGAAAAGTTGAAGTTTTAACATGTGATGATGAAAATTGACATTTCATAGAAAAATAGGAATTGTGTTAGACAAAGTGGTGTAGAGTATTTAGTGATCCGCCTTGCCCGACTATAATGCTCTTTTTTTTTTAATGTTTTACGATGAAAATATGTTCATGATAGTAATTTTAACATAAAAATTGAGTAGAGAAAATTTGAACCACATGGGCCGATTTCTGGGACCCCATACCCTAAAAGATTTCTCATGAATAGTTAATAAACCCTTCAGAAAATGGCTTAATTTAATTTTTAATATTTTACAATGAAAATTGCTTCAGAGTAAAAATGTAGGAAAAAAGATAAGAAAAAAGTTTGGATATTAGCTGCGAACTTTCCGTGATACAGAGCATGAAAACATAGTGCTTTTCCTGCTTTTGAAGGGAATGAAATATTCAGTCACAACCGAATATAATTTTTTTATTCGTACGATTTTATAAAAGTTATCCCCGAAAGCTTATTTACTTACTTCACGCGGCTGTTAATAAATAAATGAAAGAATTTCGCAAAAGCTTACAGACATTGCTTAAAGTATTTTAAGAATATTATCGTTTTTATTTATTCACTTCCTTTTTCCTTTTCAGTTACATAGCGATAGTGCATCCGTTAAAACGTCGCACCTCGCGCCGTAAAGTGAGATTCATTTTAATTTTAATTTGGTTTTTTAGTGCTGCCTTGTCGTCACCATGTCTCTTTTATTCGAGTACCATGACCAAAAGGTAAAAACTTATTTCTATTTCTTCTCATTCATGTTATTTATAGTAGTTTTAAATTTTTCTGAATTATTTATGATTGTAATTACGTATCAGAAAAGTGAATAAAACTTTTGTTAAAGAAACTTTTGCTTTTTTGTTTTTTTTTTGATTTTTATTCATAATTAGATATTACAACGGAAAATCTCGTACAGTTTGCTATATGCTATGGCCGGATGGAAGATATCCCACCTCTATGTCTGACTATGTGTATGTTATACTAATTAAACGGCAAAGATTTTTTTATTATACTTTATTCGTTGATTCTTTCATTCGTGCTATGCAACTTGCAGTTACAATATCATCATCTTAATTATAACCTATGGAATACCAATGATAGTTATGTTGATTTGTTATACATTGATGGGTCGTGTCTTATGGGGCAGCCGATCGATAGGCGAAACAACCGATAGACAATTGGAATCAATCAAATCGAAACGTAAAGTTGTTCGTATGTTTATAGCGATAGTTGCAATATTTGCAATATGTTGGCTGCCTTATCATATGTTCTTCATTTATGCCTATCACAATAATCGCATGACATCAACTAAATATGTGCAACATATGTACTTGGCATTCTATTGGCTGGCAATGTCGAATGCTATGGTAAATCCTGTTATCTATTACTGGATGAATAAAAGGTTTGTAATCACAAAAAAACAAAAAAAAAAAAAAAAAAAAAAGGAAGAAATTTACATTCACTTTAAAGCAATATCTCGAACTTGTATGTAAAAAAAATTGTAAAACATTTATTTAAATGTGAACCCACTGAACTGTTGGTGGTCATGATTGCGTCGGTAGCGTCATGAGATATAGAAAATTTAAAGTTCGATTACTTTTGGACAATCATTTTTGTAATTAATTTAATCCTATACTTATATGTAGGATCGTACTGTAAGTACCAAAGACGTGTACTTGTTTTGGTCCTGCTTTATCAATTTAAAGGTATTGCACGTTTATTTAGATTAAATTAAAGATTGGATTAAAGATTGTGAAGACTAAAGTCTCAAGAAACAACAACAAAGTAATGGGAGATATAAACCCCCTGCTAATTCATTTAGCATGACCAGGATAGCGAAGGGAGCTTTAGGTAAGGCTTGCACCAGATATGGTCTGGAATTAGATAGAAATAATAATGAACTATTACATAATATCAGCTGAAATGCCAGCTTTCATCTTTACGCGTCTTCGTAGTATTCCTCATAATATTAGGTTCGGATTAGGAAATTAAGAATTCAGAATAGCGTAGTTTCTGTCTGAGATCACATACGCTACGAGGATTAAAATCTGCAGCCGTTTCCGTCTATCGCGTAGTTTAATTAAGTTTAAGTTATCGTAGTTTAAATTTAGGTTATTCGTAAGTTACTTGAAGACTGAATATTCGGAAGCACCTGTTTCATCTCCGAATTAGGAGCAGAAGGTAGACAGGCAAAGACTTATCGAATATAGCAAGAGGAAAAATGTCTTCCCTCAAATTGCTTCTGGGTTGAAATGTCGGCAGCGGCAGGCATCGCGCAGGAGTTTTATAACATAATAGTAACTTTTCATGCTTTAGGCTGTCCTCAGCAACAGAGACGTTATAACGTTAGGTCATGTAATACTAGTATAACGTTTCAAGTTGTCATCGTGGGCAGACACAGTTATATTGAATCGCGTTTTCCCTTTACGTCGCAGAGCTTAGTCTACATGCATTAACTCGCAGAAGCTCAATTTAGTTTCCCTTTAAGTCGTGTTCACGTGCACTAGTGAAACAAGGCATGATGGGTGTTACATTATATTTTTGTAAACGTACGCGAACAATATTTACAATACTAAGTGTAAAGGAAAAATCAAGTTCATATAGAAGAAGTGAAAGATTGTGGTAGTGGAAAAAAATCGATAGAGCGCAGTTAGATTCCGCTTACATGTGTCGCGTTCCCAGAAAGTTTTTGTTCACTGGGATTTCGCTTGGTGATATCGTAGTTAAGAGGGTCGAATAAGGTGGCAATGCTGACGGATACTCTCTCACTGACATTTGCAATATCCTTCTTGACAAGCATAAATTTTGAATAGATTTAGGCGTGGCGATCTGTCGTTTTATTTCCCTGTCACGTTGTCTTTATATCCCTATATCTCCCTAACTGCGCATTTATCTGTCCATCTATCCATTTTTCAGCGTCTGAAAAACACTCTCCTGATCGCAAAAATAAGAATATTGTCTTCACATTCGACAGAAATATTGAATACTAACAATGGGCCAAATCGGTCAATGGGCACGTCTACAAAACCATGTAAGGTGAGAAAGCCTCTGTTTTTGAAAGCAACAAAATGGGTGTTCATGGGGGTCTTTATGTCTCGAAGATGGTGGCTATAGAAGATTCGATCGCAGCCAAATATAATTTTCATCTTTGATCAACGAAATCGGCCAATCGATATTGCGGAAACTAACTTCCATATACTCGATTAGTGTGAAGTTTTATAAACATCTTTAACACCGATGACATTATCACAATGTAGGAGCATCCACTTTTCGGATGGAAAATTTTCTTCTTACCAATCATCTTCATCAAGATATCATATAAAAGGGCTTACAGAGTATAATACTAAGGCGAGCTAAACGTGTCAATTCCTTTTTGCACGATCGGGGTAAGGGGGCAGAAGCCCTCGCAACTCGCTTAAAATCACTTTAGTGAGCTACATAGTGAAAAGATAAATTATCATATATATAAGATAAGAGATTAAAAAAAGAAAAAGTATTTTAAAGGACTTAAAAAAAAAAGGTCGAAATGTGTCTTACACATTATAAAATCTAACTTACTTCAATGTTTTTTTATATTATTATTACTATTGTTACATTACAATTCATTTGTCGCAAGAAACTAATTTCTCGGATGATGAACACCGGCATCTAAGATATACAATTTAACTCATTTCAGGTTTCGTTTATATTTCCAAAAAGCAATTTGTTGTTTTTGTTTAAACTCGAATAAGATTAAAATCGATTCACCGCACAGTCGTATGATGAACTATAATAAAAATAGTTCACAACGTTTTACGAAAAGTGAGTAAAATACCTTTGTCTTCCTTTTTCCTATAATTGAAATTCATTTTTTTTTCTTATTTTATATAATACATATATACACACACAATATAAAAGCCGATAATAAATTATTGTGGAAACGTAGTACCATCGAAACGCAAATACAGGTCGTCAATAACACAGCAGCTTCGCTGCGTGAGAAGCATAAGCTAGAACAAAAACAGCAACGCCAGCAGCAACATCAACAACAACAATATCAATCATCAGTCAGTCATGGAGATAATAGCTCATTTAAACGGGTAATTATTGATAACACTGCAACGACCAATAAGGCACCAACACAATTACAAACAGATGCACCGTTGTGTCTAACACTACAAAGCAATGGCAAACAACAACGTGTTAAAATCACTTATATAACTTGTGATGAAGACAATAACCCCCTAGAGGTGACATAAAGTGTTGCCGACATTTTATTAATAGCGCAAATTAGTTCATTATTGTTATTGTAGCATAGATTACATGAATATTTCTAAACATTAGAAGAAAGTTGCTTTGACACAATTTGCGACATCTATCACTTTAGTAAATTGATTAAAAATTGTATAAATATATATACTTTGACGAAATCGGCCATAGGTCACATTGTCATAGAGTGCCGTGGCCAAGTTTGATAAGACACTAGTATACACAAAATAAGCCTATTGTGAGAAAGAAAACCCATCCTCTGCTGGAAGTGGGAATAAAAGCTCTCCACAATTCAGAAAAAACAAATAAAAATACTACCAGTCGACACGGTTCACTATTGAATACGCCCTACATTTATCCGTTGATCGGCATTTCAGAATGGCCCTTATACAGTACGTGATCGACAGTGCTGCGATCCAAACAAGTTTCAATAGGGTTGGTTGTTGAACCAAAACGGGACTGTGTACCATATTTCATAACTCAAAAACTTACACCCTGCATGTTCAACATAAGAATACAAGCCAGACAGACAAACAAACGGTTAGATAAGTTTAGATCGACTCACACAATGATTCTGAATCCATGGACACTATAAAAGCTGGCTCTGCCTTCAGCCCTTCTCGGTGTTGCATACAATCGCTCAAATTAATATACCCTTGCCCGCCTATAGTATAAAAGCGATAGGCATCCGTATGGATGTCATCAGCATTCACTTAAGGACAATGGTTGCCGAAAGTATAGAGACTAAGTTCATGTTTAGCACCGAAAATTATCCACGTCATTATAGAACGCAGGGCAAAAAGAAAATGGATGTTAAATTATTGGAGAAAGGACTGATCAAAACCCGTATCGTGTTATCGCACAGGTAGAGGCATTAAAGACATCAAAAGCATTCGTTTTCGTCCGAATTTACATAGGGTCCAAAGCCGGCAGAGTTGCATTCGACTTTTTTTGTAGAACGTATGTCAAGAAGTAAAAAAAAAGTGGTGCTAAACCTTTAGAGGAAGCACTGATCAAAATCAGTATCGTAGTACTGACCAGGCCGAAACACAAGTGAAATCAAAAATCGTTTTCATCAAAATTCATATAAATTGCAAGGCCGGCAGGGTTGCCTTCGATTTTTTCCTAAAATTCATGGCGAGAAAAGAAAAAATGTTAAATCATTAGAGACAGCAGTGATCATCATCATTAGAGAAAGCAGTTCCCCCGGGCAGGAACTTTAAAGACATCAGAACGATTTATTTTCATCAGGATTTAAATAGGTTTCAAAGCCCGCAAGGTTGTCTTGGATTTTTTGTCGAACGTATTTTCACAAAGAGAAGACATGCTAAGCCGTTGGAGAAAGCTTTAACCCCAATCAGTATCTCATTGTCGGTCACTCAGGAACATGGGAGGTATCAAAGTAATTCGTTTCCAAGGCCGACATAGTCGCTTTGAAATTTATTGTAGGACTTATGTCAAAAAGAAAAAAGATGCTAAACCATTGAAGAAAGCTCTAATCGAAACCGATACATCACTGTCGCCCAGGCAGAAGCATAAGAGCTATTAAAATGAAGCGTTTTCATCAGAATTCAAATAAATTCTAAATTCGGCAGGGTTGCCTTCGATTTTTTGAGAACTCCGACCTTGTTAAAACTGTCAGTTTCATAACTACTTCTACATAACCACTTTTAACATGCCAACCTACGTATTATGTGCAGCCAGAGATCTACAAACAACAATCTTAGGCAGAGAATATCTTGGATTAAAAAATGCTTTTAGTAAACAAAAAACCTATTTAGAGTACTTAGATCTGCGAAGTTAAGCGAAGTGATCATGATAGCATATTCTCTGCTGGTCACAGACAAAGCGCATGTAATTTCAATAAAAATTATTGGAGTAGAATTACATAAGTTGAACTCCAAGTTGAACACCAAGCTCTAACCTTGACAACATTACTAATTAAAAATCCTTTGACTTAAAATCTATTGAATTAAACTTCTCAGCATTTAAAGGCAGATTGAATCCCTTTCATTCGAAATAAATATCGTATATAAGCACCTTTCACTATACCATCGCAGTTTTTAAGACTTTTTAAGAATTTTAATAATTGATGAAAGAGTAGACTACTGGTTTTTAAATCTCAGATTAAATAAAAGGTTTCTGGGCGGAAAATAAGCAAAACAATTCTAAGGTTTCGTTTTCATTTTATTTGTTCTAAATATAACTTAACTTGAAGTTAAGATAAAGTTAAAAAAAAAATGAATTTTAAATCGTTTTAATACTAAGCATATTGTAAATATTTGTATATTGTATATAAGTATATTAAATTAAGATTTTATCAAAAATTTTCAAACGACTGATTACCTGATTTTATGTGGATTGATAAGAAATTTTCAATTAATGGAAAAAGAAAGTTGCAACTTTTAAGAGAAAAATAATATATATATAAAAAGTCGTAGACAAGGTTATGCAGGCATTTTGCGCCGTCAATGCATATATAAATGTAAATATAAATATGAATATATTTACAAATATATTTTAAATATAAAAATATATTTGTATATAAAAATAATGACATTTTACAAATAATTAAAAAAAACTAATATAACGAATAAATAGTAAAAAATTTAATTTTTTAAAATTCGAAAATTTTACGATTTCTTCTTGTGCTTTATGATTGATTACAGCTGAAAAGGTCTATAGAGAAATGAGTTAGGATAACAGAAACAGATAAAAACACTACAATAGAGCACGGTCCACCATTAAACACGCTACACCTACCTGGAGTTATTCGTTCGTCTCCATAAGAAAAAAATGGACTGATCCCGAAACATTTCCAATAGCCTTTATCCTTGAGCCAAAATACGTTAGCACATTAAATGTCATCAAAATTGCTTCAAAAATTGCGTTTATCCAGTGCATCGGTACGTGGTGTAGGATATTAAAAAGTTTATTACTCAGGTGTCTATTTTGTAATTATAAAGAATTCAAAGAAAATATTTGCAAATGACCTTGAAGAGGTGAAAATTAAAGTGGAGTTAAAAACATTAACAGTCTTCTGCTATCGAATTTCTTGTAATCGTATTTGAATCTTTAAGTTTGGCCCTAGGTATACTCCAAACTACATACGCAATTTCTGGACCGATTTTTTTTTTTAATATGGTAACAGTATAGTAAACCAATATCAGTAGAATCGGCTTGAAATTGAACTTTTTTGTATTAAAAACAGTTAATTATTTTTTATTGATTTGCTGACTTGCAGCGGTTGAAGAAGAAGAATTGCTTGAAGGTCGTGCTCGTATTCTATATATATATCTATATATATATATCTATATATATCTATATATATATATATATATATATAATTCATACGCCAACGAAAGTTTTTATTAAGATTTAAACAAAGAACTTCGACTTTACATTGCAACTTTTTTTACTCAGCGCAGTGAATCATTTCTTGTTGATGTTCAGACTTGCAGAAGAAGAAGAACAAAAACCAACTAGCGACATACGCAGTTCATAAGCTTAGCATCAATTATTATTATTATTATTATTATTATTAATTTCGCCAGAGAAATAAATTCTAAGGCTAAACTCTTAAAAACACTATCATCTAAGGCTATCGGTCTTATTAAAGACTCTACCGCACTTGAGATTCGAACCCACGAACATTGTTTTGCTAGTCGAGATTTCTCGTCTTCGGCGGATTGTTAGCATCAACAATATTAAGGTTCAAATAAAGAACTTCGTGTTCATGTGTTCGTGTTCTTACTCGGGACTGTCAATCATCTGTTGTTAATTTGCTAAATTGCAGAAGATGTGAAAGAAGAAGAATCGACTAATATCGCAATAAAGAATCGCATAAATATTTCGTAAGCTAGTCATCAACTTTATGAAGATTCAAAGAAAGAAATTTTTACTCAGCACTGTTTGAATCACCGATTGTTGATTTTCTGATTTACAGAAGAAGAAGAAGAAGAAGAAGAAGAACACGAAAATATTTTACTTTTGTTTTTTTCTTTTTATGATGTTTGAAGTTTTATTTTAATGACAAATTAATGTATTTTACTTACTAACTCCTCTAAGAATAATTAAGAAATTTGCTAATACCTAAGCGATCTCCATGGTAAAATTAGAAAGTAAATAAAAGTGAATAAGTGAAAATTAATAATTGAATAAAACGATTTTAAAAAGGAAGAAGAAGCAACCGATTTTGAAACGGCCATTGCTCTCGCTGGTTTCGGGACTTTTAACGTACTATTGGTATCGTTATCTTCGTTAAGCGTATTCGCTACACTATTTTCCTCTACAAGTATGTCGTTTATATTACCCACAGCCGAATGTGACCTTCATTTAGATTTAAATGAAAAAGGTCTCTTAAATGGGATTACTTTTGCCGGTAAGCAACATATATATATATATATATATATATATATATTGGTATATATATATATTGGTATTTCTTTTTTCTTGAAGGAATGATTACAAGTACAATACCCTGGGGTTTCGCAGCCGATACCATTGGACGTAAGAAAGTTTTAATAGCCGGCTTATTATCTAACGCTGTTTTTGTTGTTTGCTGTGGCTTCAGTCAAAATGTTAAACAATTGTTAGCTTTTACATTTTTCGACGGTTTGGCGTAAGTTTTTCTTATAATTTGTAAATCGAAAAAAAAAAAGTCAAAGATAATTTTTCAATACTCAGTATATGCGGCCCGTATGCGGTAACCTTGACTTATCTATCAGAATTTCATGGTCTTAAGCATCGTAGACGAATTATAATGGTTTTTGGCATACTCACGTGTACATCGACAATCCTTTTGCCAACTATCGCTTATGCAGTTTTACCTCATCGGCTGGTTTTGAAAACGGACTATATATCATGTATTTGACAGAATAGAATAGAAAGAAGATATCAAATTTTTTACTGATACCCTTTTTTTTTTTTTTTTTTTGTTTATATTATTTCAGTAAATTCGTGGAATATTTTTTTACTAATAACAGCCGTTGTCCCGTTATTGGGTGGTATTTTACACATATTTTTCCCTCCAAGCCCAAAGTATCTAATGTCGCAGGGTCGCAATAACGAAGCTTTAAAAGCTATAGCGACTGCTTATGCAATCAATAAAAGGTCAACGAAAGACGCTTATCCGGTAGGATTTTTTCTCCCTCATTATCACAAGTCATATTATATTGTTCACGAAACAGAAAATACTAAAAATCTCGAAAAGTATATATGAAATGGGTCAATGTAAGCTATTGTAACGACTCCAGCTTTCTTAAGATTATTTTCATTAGTTTGCAGCCATACAGAATCCATATATTATATGTAACTACTGTCCAGACCGTTTTCATATTGCAATCGGTGAACTTATCGAATCGGGTTTTAATATATATACGCGTATCGTTCGGCCACTTCTCATAGCAATACTTCAGACAACACTGTGACATTTTATGATAGCGTTGTTATAGCGTGAAGAGCCTAAGTTTACCGTTATCTTTTTAAAGTTTTTATAAAAAAAGATACTACACAGTTTCTCGGATGGGCAGGCAAACAGACGCACATACTTAGCTGCAATATCAAATCTGAAACTGGCCGATTCAAAAGAGAGAAAATTAAATTTGAATACATAAGGCATCGCCCTTAGAACATACGTTCAGATTTCCATAGTAGTTTGTTTACAAGGAATAACAAAAAAAAACAATTTTTCATTCCTTTTGAAAAGCACAGGTGCTCTCAGTTTACGCAGCATTGTAGCCGCGTCGTTCATTCGATTTCCATTTTCAATATCAACCTGCGTGCAAGAGCTTCCAATGCATCTGCTAAATTGATTGATTGAAGTCGATAGGATCATTTTTCGGTCGGGAGAATGTTTACAACAGGGTTAAATTGATTCAGATATTGATGCTCATCAAAACTATGTGGGGTCTCTGAAGTTTCCTTTTTGAATTGGGAAAGTGAATATCAATCTTCGGTATAAAAAAAACCTTTTTTTCACTACGCTAAGAACCCCGTATCCATAATCCATATCTATGGAAGCACACACACACTCTTATGTATATGTATGAATAACCAAAAGATTAATACTTAAAATTAGATCAAAGTTCTAGTGGATGAAGCTCCCGAAAGAGCGGAACGTAACACCCTACGTAAGAATCCAGAATATAAACAGAATTTAAAGACTCTATCTGGCAAACGTAAAGAAGCTATAACACGTTTCCGTGAAAATCTTGGACAATTAAAGCCTCTACTCTCAAAACCATATTTATCTCTGGCGTTACGTGTTTGTTTTACAATGTTTTTTATATTCATGAGGTTCGCCCACACAATATATATATACGAAATACATAAATACGTTTTTATTCTTCTTGAAACCAGCTTCCATTCGGTACGCCTATGGATGCCTCAGCTTTTCGTCACAGTAGATCAATATGAACAAGAACATGAAATAATGAAGGATATATGCGATGTACTGAATGTAATGAGGGATAAAACTCAACCAGAAGAATCGAGTAACTGTGACGAAGTGGTTAGTGTAATAGATAATAATTTCCGTTCGTTTAAATTCAAATTATTAATATTTTTATGATATAATTAGCATATAACACCTGCATCTCTTGCGAATAATATGATAGTAGCAAGCGTATCGTTTCTCACTTTTTTTATAGTTTTTTTTGTCGTTAAAAAAACCGGAGTCAATTTTCTCATGAGTAAGATTTTTGATCACATAACAAAAATATATTTTTATATCCTACACCACTTGCTATACAGGGTATATTAAATTAGTGCGAACGTATGTAACAAGCCGAAGAACTTAAGATAGACTCACCTTTCATTATTGCAAATCTTAATCGATCTAAGCCTGTTTGGCCGCCTGATGTCTGTCGGTGTGAATTTGTGTTCAAGCTACATGACGCAATTCTTTAGATATTTTAATTAAATTTGATACAATGACGTGCTTTGACCCAAGAACGAACTCTATTGAAAATGGTTAGGATCTGTCCACACTTTTGACCATTCCCCATGTAACGCCTTATTCTGAAATGTCGTCATAGAGAAAAAAATTTTGGCTAGTAATAGTATTTCGGCATTCTAAATTCGTACGGAAACTTCGGATCGGCTGATAGTACAGATCATAATAGTAATTTAACATAAAAACAGTACCAAATTTGGACCATCAAGAATTTGTGCGAAAATTAACCCTTTATAGAGAAGAAAAGTTTTAATATATGGTAACGAAAAGTGACCCATAATAATAATTTCATATAAAAATGAACTCTACAAAATTATGAGCATCTACGTCTATTTTGGGCCAGCTTCCCCTTAAATACAGACATGAAAAATATGCCTTTATGCAGAAATAAGGTCTAATTTTTGCGTTGTATAGTAAAGATAAGAATGGTATTAGATAGTGTGGTGTAGGGTACTTAATGGTCGGCCTTTCCCGACTATAATGTTGTCATTTGTTTTTTGCTGTTCTTTATTCCTAATGCCAGTTTTCTGTTTAGGCATATCCTTTATACTTATAATTACATTTTATTTGGCATATTCATCCAACTTCATATTAGTTGCATCGAGTCTATATTTGGCTGCGATGAGCGTTTCATCGAATAATTTATTTACAATTGAAATCGAACTGTTCCCTACCTTTATGCGGTAAATATTTTGTTTAAAATATCGATTTAAAAAAAAATTTTTTTTTTTCTTTTATTTAATTATTTACTTTAAATTTCTTTTAGAGCTATCGTGATCTTGGTGAGCTTGGGTTTTGGACGTTTGGGTGCTCTGCTTGGTAATATAATATTCCCTTACTGCATACAGATACATTGCTTAGCTCCCTTTCTTTTCATCTCCATTATGGTGTTTGGTAAGCCGTACGGCATTTCACGTTTATCTCTATTATTATCTATAAATTATTCTTTTATCATCCATTTTCCTTCTTAGCGAGCTTCATTTCATCTCTGTTCATACCCAAGCCAGGCTTGACTTTATTGTAATTGGTTCATATGTCAAATTAAAAATTCAAAGATAAAATTAAATAAATTAACAAAAAAAAAAAGGATGAATTCGAAGAGAGAATGAAGGTACTGGCTGCAGCTTAGGACCCAGTCCAAAAGTGTTTTCTCTTTATCAACTGCGCACTCGATATAGGTTTGATTAAAGAAAGTTTCACCCCGCAACGGAGATATGTACCAGCGTACACTGTCTCGGTAGCCGTGATTCTTATCTACTCAGCTACTCAGGCCAATAATTATTAAGTTCACTTGGCGGCATTCGACTTTGTAAGTCATCAGTTTACATTTTCCAAGTTTTAACGTTGCTCTATTAACCCCTTAAAATGTATATTTCATTTTGCCGGCTTGATCAAATGCCTGACCGAAAGCTTTTATTATTTCCTCTTTCATTACTTACTGTTCTTCTTTAAATCCGGTGCCACGGGAGCCAGGAACCTCCGAAGCAATCTTCCAGCCTTGCGGGAAGATCCACAGCTCGATGAGGAGTTGCGGTGTGGGTCCATGTAAATGTGCGAGAAATTTGCACAAAATGTAAAGAGACTACAGCCGGCGCGGACTCAGTTGCAGTAGGAATAGAAATAGAAGAATACACGTGACATTTTCTAGTTTCACCGCATCAGAGTCTCAAATTTGGGTGTTCTTCCATATCCATTTTTTGCTAGCATACCAAAGTTTGAATTTTTTTGGCTCATTCGACAAGTACTTTTATATAGATTCACGTGATATGGATGAACATAAGTAACATTATCTAGTTTGATCGCATTAGTATCTTAAATTTTTTTATATTTTACGCTAACATAATAAATATCAAAAAATTGGTCCCGTAAGCAGAATTTGAATTTCTTTAGTTTTAAAAGTATTTTTATACAGATTCATGAGATGTCCATAAAAACACTTTACATTGTTTAATATGGACGGACTAGGCTTTCGAATTCAATTATATCTTAATTGTAAATATTTAACAAAGCTCTGTTAAAACTTTTACATAGATATGGTGGGTGTCTTTGCTAGTTAAATTTGAATTTATCTTCATACCCTTATAATTTTGTAAGGCTTTAGACCAAAAGCTGTGTAATAAACGCGTAAAGTAACATGGGACTGTAAAATGATTTTTACATTTGCAGTATTTTGAAAAATAATTAACGTAAATAAGAAATAAAGCATTAGTGCTACTTACCTCTACATAAATTTGAACAATGAATGCTCAATCTCTTTGCCGATTTTTCATTATTTATTAAAAGGTTTTAAAATATGTTGCGTCAAATAAAGTTCTAATCGAATAATACACAAACATATAGTAAACTTTCGAGTACCTATAATATAATACATATGTGATACCACTTATCGACATATATCGATAGCCTTCTTCTCCTCTTTTTTTTTTTGTGTCTTCTCTGAAACTAACTGTTATGTAAAAAATGGTCTATAGTTGAAAATGCCTTTAATGACAACAAGGGCGCGAAAGCTTTATGCGTATGAGATTAAACCTTCTCCACATATATTTTGATGAGTGTCGAAAAGGTAACAAACGGACGGACAGACATGGTGGACACAAAAACTAATGTAAACTTTTAGGCTTTTGGTTGAAGTAGTTAAATTTTATATTAAAAATAGAGAGCCTTCAAAAGCGTCCCGAGTTTTATACCGTATACCATTTATAGAACAGTATTAATGTATCACATATTAAGTTTATGCGGTTGTACGCAACACCTACATACGTTTCAGTTTTATTATACCAATCAATCCCAAACCATTTTCGGCACAAAGCTTCTGTGTCCGTCTATCCGTCTTGTCTTCTTGTGATCTACAGATCGCAATTTTAAGATATCAGTTAGTTTTGGCTCAAGGAAAAACGCTGTTGAAAATGTTTCGAGTCGGGCCGTTTTCTTGACCACTTCCTATATAACACCTGTAAACTGTAAAGTGATGTAAAGTGGTCCATTATAGGACTTTTACTTGTTTCCTAAAAAATCTATCAATAGAACTTTGGTCATTTTCGCCATATATCGTCTAATATTCATATTTCCTAAGCCTTTTTGAAGTGTTTTTTGTTCCTCAAAACTGTTACACTTAAGGTTTTCGCTTGCTATAAAATATGTTCCATTTTATAGAATTTTCCTCTTCACCCATCACTTCTTTAGCAACATATTTATTTTTCTTATCTTCTTCCTCCGTTTTCTTAAATCTCAATATTTTTGTTTACATTTCATTGCTTAAATCTTCTGCATTTCATATTATCAAAGCCGCTTTCTTATTCTTTTTCACATAGCTTTTTTTACTTTGCTCTTCAAACTCAACATCTTTACAATACAAGTAAAGCATCCGTATGCCTGTTTTTTTTTTTCAATGATTTTAATAAAGAAATAATTTTTACTTTAGTAACACTATTACTTTTACTTATTTTCCAATAAAAAAAAAAAAAACTCCGCACCGCATTTTTTACCTTCAATTTAATTATGCAAATTGTACGACCAACTCTTCAAACTCTTCAACCAAAATAGTATAGCGCGCAACCAAAATAATAAATGTTTAATAAGAGAAAGAAACACACAGAGGAGAAGATATAAACAGCAAAGCATACACAAGCACTTGCACACGTCGTTTAATCTTTTTTTACTAATAGGAATCGATTACTTGATATTTTTTCACATTTTCCTCAAGATTTCTAAATTTGTAACACATAGCATAGAGAGTAAACAAGCCAAGCATTTATATTCGCAGATTCTCAGGCAATTTTTATTGAAATATGTAAACAAACGTATTCAAACATGTTCTCAGATGGTTGGCATTTTTATATTTGTTAATGCAATTTTTTACTTTTTTATAGAGCTTTTCTTTTTTAAAGTTTTACAATATTTTTCTCGATTTTGACGCTTAATCTTTAAGTTTTTTTCAAATCTCCTATTATAATATGTTTGCCATTTTTTAACGTTTTCTTTCTTTTATTAATAGGATTTTTTCTATTTTTGCTTTTTTTCTTTACATCATCTTTTGTTTTTCTTTCTTTCATTAACTGAATACACGAAGCAATCTGTGCACTTTATTTCCTCAAAGCCTTTTTCTTACATTGTTTCATATAATTTTTTACTTCGTTCTTTAGTTATTGCATAAAGTCAGCACGACAGTTTAAAGCACTCGAAAGTTTTTTTCAACTATTTTAATGAAATGATTTCAAATAACTAACTTGAACCTTTACTTTTCATTATTTTTCGCGCCAAAATTTCACACATCTCTTCAACTCTGTGTGCCATCAATATATCTGATCTCATTCTCATATTGCCTTATAAGTTGTAAAGTCGAACACGAGCAAAACAACATCAATTTTATTCTCTATGCATATTATTAACGAGTTTAAAAGAGAGAGAAAAATAATTGGGAGTGATCAATTGTATGAAAAGAGTTTGGTTTTTCCTAAGACTAGGGGAGAGAATTACATCAGAGAGAATTGTATAGTAAGAGTACGTGAGGAGTGTCTCATAACAAGAGTTAGTAAAATTTCAAGGACTTGTAGTGATTCTTTTATACATCTATACACTTACATATACATATTATAAAATATACAACATATACGTATTTATTTAAAAATAAACGAACGTGTTTTTAATAAATCTATGTATTCATATAAAATATCTTAATTTCTTTAATTTTACAAGTCAGCCTAAAATTGGACTGCCATAATTTTTAAACAAAGCCCTCGCTAAATTCCCTGTTAAAAGGTAAAGCACAGAGTTGCTTGTAAAACATTGTCAAAAACTTGCAGCTCTGTTAAATGGGTAAATGCCCAACTAACAACTCAAATGGTAACGTCATTCAGTCTGTTAAATGCCCAACTCTGTTAAAATGCTGCTTATTAACAGCGCCACCATTGCTATGTATAACAGAAAAACGAAAATTCTTTGCAATTGTATTATGTCTCATTTTCACACATTTCTTAGCATATATTTAGGAGATATTACTATTTAATAAAATTTACTAAAATTGAATAGAAATTAAAAATTAATATAGAAAATAAAGAGCGGTATAACGTACTGTACTATATTTATATGATGATATGTTTTGCTTTAGTTTAAGAAAAGAGGCTTTTTGCCATTTTTTAATGTATTCAAAGTCAGAAGAAGAAAAACGGATCTAATTCAATAGTTCGAAAGGGAAACGGCGTCTTTGTATTGAAATTCCTTGTATTGCAACCCCCTATGCTTTCATAAATAGTTAACCGTGGCGCACATATCCAAAATTTGCCGCAGAGGTCTTCGTGTTGTCACGGGGGCCAGAGAATTTCTAGCGCGAGCTGATGTCTGATGTCTTGTACGTTAAAATCTGTGAGGGAAAAGTGTGACGGCAATCTGGAAAGTATGCGTAGTTTAAATTCAAATATTCATGGTAGTTGCAGGAACCGCGATCACAGCAAATAATTAAAGACCAGACCTTGACCAGAGAAGAAGTTTTGAATCAATTATGGCTTAAAAGCAATTGGATTTGCGGGTGTCAAGTTTCCCAAACCGGTTTACTACCAGAAGAATGACTTTTTGCCTGCTGAGGGTGGCTCTTCAGGGAGTATTCGTTGCGGTTCTGTTTTTTCTTTATCAAGGTAGGCCTCGCCTTGCCTCGAGGAAGGGTTTTGAACAACACTGAAATCTTTACATCTGATACTTCAGCCTTGGTACAGCTCCTCTCACTTGTAAGATTGTTGTCTTGCGAATCGCTGAGCGCTGATAGGGTTTCGTCCGACTAAGACATCAAGCCAGTGACGGCACGTTCGACAGACATAGAAATTAGATTTAGTCTTGATTTACGTTCATAAACAAAATGGGCAGTATTTTATTACTTGAATGCAGTAGTCTTTGACGGAAATCCTAGTGAAGAATCTATTGTTGCCAAATAAAATGCGCTAAATAAAATCAAATGGTACTCGAATGCTTTCTAAAACTAAGAGCGATCTATCTGTACATGAAGAATTTCATTACATCATAATTAGACATTACGAAGTATAAGTACGCAGTGTGCACGTGCTCATTAAAGTAAGTATTCTGTTATTATTATTATTATTATTAAACTTATTCATTTTTTCGTTATGTATGTGATAATAGTCATAAAAGTTCCGAAATATCGCGTTTTTTTTTTTTTTTTAATTTAAATACAACTACGTTTTGTTCAAAGGAAAAGAGAGAAAAAGAAAAAGAAGAAGCAGACAGTCAATATATTTGTGAAATTTTTTCTCTTGTTTCTTTAAATTATTTTTATTTGTTTTCTTTTTTTTTTTTGTTGTTTTTTTTCTATATATATTTTTTTTCGGAATTGCATTTTCTAATGATTGTACAATAATCGTGAAAAGTACAATTTGCAAAATCGCACAGAAGAAAGCAAAAAAATTATTGACATAATGAATGAAGGTAAAAAGTTTTCAATTTAAAAACGAAATGGGAAACAACAAAACTAAGAATGTATGGGAATTTCTAAATAAATAGTGCATAATAAACCGGATGATGTCACAACCATATCAAACGGAAGCGATTTCGAAACGGCCATAGCCGCTTGCGGTTTCGGTGCATTCAATGTGGTATTGTTATTGGTCTCAGCATTAAGTATTGTGGCGACAGTGTTTACCAGTTCTACTATCTCTTATATATTGCCAACGGCCGAATGTGATTTGCACTTAAGTTTAATATATAAAGGTCTACTTAATGGTATAGCGTACGCAGGCAAGTGCATAGATTTTACTCTAGCGATTGCAATAATGTTTGTAATTATTTGAAAGGTATGATTATATCGGCCATACCGTGGGGCTTTGTCGCCGATACAATTGGACGCAGACAAGTGATGATAAGCGGTTTATTGTTCGATGCAATCTTTGTTACATGTTGCGCTTCAAGCCAAAACGTTCAACAATTGTTGACATTTAAATTTTTTGATGGGGCAGCGTAAGTCATAAGTAAATAATAAAACTAATGAGAAAATCATGTTCGCTTTAAAGCGAACCTTTAAGTACATACCACCACACAGAGGAGACTTTAGTTCATCACTCGTCTGAAAGAAAGACTCAGATTAGCGTATAATTCCATAGTGACGTTCTATAGCAGTTGGTTTCTCATTTTCATAAACTTTTTATAAAACGAACATGTAAAGTATAGTTACGCCGATGTCTTCTTATTCGCACCGAGTGCACGAGTAAAAAAGAGGTGGGATTACCAAGTCCGGGTGTCCGAGTTCAACTCTTTGTGCGCTAGGGTGGTATTCGCTCAATGAGTAAACGCGTACCACTTCACATCACGATCTTACTAGACGCTATAGCCGTTCTCTTTGCTTAGCTCTTTCTGACCCCCGCTGTCTTAAGCCTATAGGAAACATCCCCTCATTGGTTGGTAATAGTAAAAAAAGAAAATTCTAACCATCTCTAAGGCAAAGAAACGAGCAAAAGGAAGGAGAGATAGCGAAGTGGCTAAGTCGATAACTTATCGACAGACCATTCACTTCGGCCGTACTTGAGATTTGAGCCCGCGAAGATTGTGTTGGCAATCGCGATTCTTACCCATTCGGCCACTCATACCGAACTGTTCCACGCTCTGCGATTTCCGACAAACATTGAGCCAGTCAAAGCTAATCTCACGCCGATGCGATTCCGGTCTGAGCATATATTTTAACATCCAACGTTTTTTCGAATCGAAATCGATTTCGTCTCAAAGTCTTTTCGACCAAATTGGAAGAACAGCATGCTTTCGTCACTTGCTATCAACGACGCGTCTCAGTACATAAAATGGTCGGCAAAAAGACCGTATGATTCAAAACGAAACGAGAGAAAAGCTTACGGAACAACTTTATTTTATCTGCTTAGGTTAGGTTTAATTTACATCTTTTGTCTCCTTCGGATTTACTGGACTAAACGAACACATAGAACATCGGACAAATGGACACAATAGAGAGGTAAATGTGTGATGCTACGCAGTGCGGGAAAACGCGAAAGTGATTGGTTGGGAAAAGTCAAGACTGATGCCGAAAAAGAAAGATTTGACTAAATTGACTCCAAGTCGGTTGCTTATGTGCACAGACTGTCGGATGATAAATTCGAAAAGCATGAGTTGCGGTAGAGTTTCCAAAAGTCTTTAAGATTTTAACCTTTGAATTTATTTCTCCGGCTAAATTAATAACAATAATAAAAAGAATAAGTTAAAAAAGGAACCGATCATCGGAAGAGCAGCACTGTTTCCCGACGAAATACATAAATACACAAATAGTTCGTCAGTAGTTTGATACGAAGAGGAGATGAATGGACGGGTAGGTAAACGGTCAGATGAAACGAATGCACTAGGCAAGGCGCAGATAGCAAATTTACTGCGCTTCGGTGGTGGATATAAAATTGCATTTTATATACAGTTTTATCGAGCTTTCAGCTAAGCAACTTTTAAAAAATTTCCTTTAAATTTCTTTTACATAGCGTTAGCGGACCATTCGCCGTGGTAATGTCTTATTTATCTGAATTTCATGGCTTTAAACATCGACCGCGCATTATGATGATCATTGGTATGATGAAGTCTTTGGCGACTTTAATTTTACCCATCATTGCTTATGTCATGCTGCCTTATCACATAGCTTGGCGTACTGATTATTTGCGGTGTAATGCAAAAAAAGAAAAAAAAAATTCTTTTAAAACATGTAGTCTCTTCTCTGGCTTTCTTCTGCTTTTTGCTTTTAGTGCATACCTGGCATTTTTTTCTAATGGTTTCCGCTATCCCGACGCTTTTGGGTGGTGTTCTCAATATATTCCTACCGGAAAGCCCAAAATTTTTAATGTCACAGGGACGTAATGAAGATGCTCTAAAATCATTTCGAGTTGTTTATGCAATGAATAAAAGGAAACCGAAATCCTCTTATCCGGTAAGTTAAGTACTAACTAATTAATATTAACATACATACAATATATATATATATATTTTTTTTATTGTTATAATAGATCACTCAATTAGTGGATGAAGATCCTGAAAAGTCACAGTTAAATAATTTACGTAATAGTGAAGAATATAGAGCGAATATCAGAACTTTAGCTGATAAACGTAAAGAAGCTACGAAACGTTTTCTCGAAGGGCTTAAACAAATGCAGCCTATGTGCGCGAAACCGTATTTCGGTCTATCCGTGCAAGTGTATTTTATGTTATTTTGCATACTCTTAAGGTATCTGAATGAATTATATAATACATATTCATTAATCATCATACCCTACACCACATATTTAGTTTGTCCGGATGTATGTAACATCCAGAAAGGATTTGACAAATAATTCCATCTTTTATTATATCGATCAATTCAGAGAATAGCTCTAAGCTTGTCTGTCCGCCTGTCCTATTTTTCTTTTCTTGGATCAATGTTCAGGCCGCAATTTTTGCGATGTCAGTTAGTTTTTAAGTGCCACGAAAGAGATACGAGTCAGATCACATCCGTTTTGATCACGTCCCATATAACACGGTATTTTGAAAAGTCCTATATATGTGTAACTGTACCTTATGTGGTTCAGGGTAGGGTATTTAATAATAAGCCTTGTCGCACTATGAGGTCTTGTTTAACATGATTTCGAAAATTTTTATATTTAGTTTAAATACGATACGTTTATGGTTACCCCAACTATTTGCAACGATGGTAGAATACGAGCAAAAGAAATTGGGCGTAGGCAGCATGTGCGCTATACTTAATTATAGCTTGGAAAAAACGAAACTATTACAGAAAGAAAAACCCACAGATGAATGCGATGTGGTGTGTTATATAAATTTTCATTTTTCTTATTTCATAAAAATTTTAATAACTTAAAGACATTTAGCATATAACGCCCGATTCTTATACTAACAATATTATAGTAGCGGGCTCATCATTTTGTGGTTACTTTATAGCCACTTTTACGATTAATCGAGTTGGTAGTAATAATGTTTTAAGTAAGTCTCAATTTGCATTTTTTTTTATTGTATTCTCTTAAGAAAATATAAAATACATAATTATTTTTATTATAGGAGTAACTCTTGCAATTGGTTTTGTATCTGGTATTACTTTATATTGGTCATACTCTTCCGTAATGACCTTAGTAATTGCTTGTGTATTTATAACAGCTCTTGGCGTATCATCAACTACCCTAATTGGAGTATCAGTTAACTTATTTCCCACTAGTATGAGGTAAGTATTACTCAATATTGTATGGCGTATTATTTATTGGTAACAGTAACGCTTAAAATAATAATAATAACCGTAACCTTAATCATAAAAGGAATAGGAATTTCTAGATCCTTAAAATTAAGCTATAACCTATAAGTCAAAGAGTAAGCATGCAATGCGCTAAATCTTAATTTTTAAGCTAACTAAGCCATAAATTAAAGAAATGCTCTTTTTGCCTTCAATTGAAGCTGAAAGGCTAATGATCTCCTTGCCTTACGCATCTTTATTCCTTACCTTACATCACTTACGGTACAAGGGTATTTTAAAGTCATGCGAAAGTATGTAACAGACAGGAGGACTGAACGGAAGGGTAACGTCACATAAAATATATCGATTCCTCATTTGAATATAATTGTGCTGCAAGAGGGCACAGCTTTTCGCTAAAAAATTAAACAGAAACGTTAGCAAACAGCATATAAGCGTTTACACATCCTGAGAATCCTTATAGGCGGTGGTACCCTTCATGGCCCAAATTTGATAAGACCCCAGGATGCACCTATTCACCGTGAAATGTTGAACATTAGACTTTCTTACCGTATAAAGATTAAGTTTTCGTAGAAAAGGAGGTTCAAAAGATTGGCTCGGCCGATTCAAAATTTTCGCAGCAACTTAGAATGCCGTAATACAATTACTCAGGGACGAGAAGTTTGAACATTCCAAATGTTTTCCATGTAACCACTTTTCAAAGTAAGGCGTTATAAGGGGAGTGACTGGAACTGTTCGACCCATAGCGATCGTCCTCGGATGAAAGCACGCCAAAATTCTCGGACGAACGAATGGACAGACAGACAAGATTGGCATAATTTTTTGCCCCGACCCGTGTAATAAATAGTGGGTTTCTCTTAAGCCCTTCTGGGCGCTACATACATCCGCACGAACTTAACCACAAATGTGATAGGGTATAATTAGTAAATTATTTCGTTGGAGAACATCCTTCGGTAGTGCGTAACGGAAAATTCGAAAGAAATTTGAACAGGATTGCAAGGTCGAAACACAGGCGTGTAATGTCAAGTATGTCAAATAGCTGTTGTAATTATGAAGAAATAACTAATGAAAAGAACTTTCAATCAGCTTTAAGCACTTGCTTCCACTTTTTGAGGAATGTTGATGAAACTTTGTACACTGGCATGTTGGGCTATTGAAAGTGATTCAAAGTGGACCACTTTTCGGATCAGTTCCCATATAAAGTCTTATTTTGAAAGGTCGTTGCATGAGTAACTGTAGGATGATGTAAGGTACTTAACCATGGCCTTTCTTTTTTTACTTGTTCTTAAGATTAAACATTAATTCATTATATTAATTATTAAAAGCGCTTTTTGCAATTAGATATTTTTTCTTTTCTATTATTAAATTCATGAAATGCAGATTATAACAAAACGCAATTTGAGTGTCTTAGCATGGGCCAATCATTTTATTGATTTTTGTCTTTGCATTAGTCACGTATTGGATTATAATCGCAATCATAATGATCGTAAAATATTTCGGAACGAAAGATATTCATATTTTCTCTATATTGTTTAGTTACCTGCCCGAAATCATTTAGAAATATAGGCGACCAAATTTTGCTTAAAAAATCCTGAAATACAATACTTAAACTATCGCTATCATTCATTCAATATATATATATTTATTTCATTAAATATATATTATTAACTAAATATATATATTTCATTAAATTTAATAAAATAAATATATGTATACATATATATATATATATGTTATATACGTTTTAGAGATGAAAGTATATCTCGTTTGTTATTATTTATTTTAGAACTATGGTAGTCATTATGTGTATGACATTTGGACGTTTCGGCTCACTATTAGGTAACTTGTTGTTTCCTTACTTTATATCGTTGGGTTGTATTCCGCCGTTCGTTTTCATTGGTACCATAATGTTTTGTAAGTAAAAGAGATTTGTTATAACATATTTAATTTCTTCCATATTTTATTAATTGCAAGAACAGTGATAACATCAAAGCTAAATATTTTTTATTTATTTTTATTTATTATACAAGAAATTTTTTATGACACAAAATGTATAGAATGTTTAAGCATCATATTGAAATGATCTACCGTCCAAGTAGAAATTATTTAGTTCTTGTCATGTTTCTGTAATTTTCTCCGTACACAGTATCTGGAAATGCATTAGTTAATTTTTGCGGATATAAATATCCTTTAGCAGTACTGCAAGTAGATTTTCTTTACTCTTTATTTACGAAGCCATGCAATGAAATATAAACCAGCGATTTCTATACGCTGTGCAATAGTGTATCTCTTTATAGTGCTTTGCAAAAAAGTACTGAACACAGCTGTCAGTTTTGGGGACGATCTGAAAAAACAAGAAAACGGGCCATATACTGCTTAAAAAATATTTGACATTAATTGATTACGTGTTATATATGAAATTTATTTAATTCTTCCTAACACTATTTTTGTCTCATGTAAATATGCAAAAAGAAAAAATATATATCATGCGAATACTTAAGTAGCGATGCACTATTCTTGCATGCAAATTATTGAGTGTTTACATCATGTATATAACTTATATCACATAATTAATTCCTAAAGAGTTCCATCAACGTAAATGATTTCATAAACTTCATAGTAAGAACGAAGAATGCTGTCATTTATTCTTCATCATACTTTCAAATTGCAGCTGATTACTATTATGAATTGTTTACATAAATAAGTAGAAAATAATAGGGCTTGCGACAAAAATAATAGGGCTTGCGACAAAAATAATAGGGCTTGCGATAAAAATAATAGGGCTTGCGAGTAAATTGTTCAGTATAAATAGAATATAATAGGGCTTGCGACAATATTGGATAGCGAAACAATTTTTTCATAATCTAATCGAAGACGTGGTACAAAGTTCAAAAGGTCTCTAAACGATATTTCGGAATAACAAACAATACGCTTTTCAGAGATATTTTTCTTAATTTTTATTAATTTTTCAAATTTTAAACAAACATAATTACGTATAATTATGTTGTGTGAAAATTTTTCTACTAGCGATAAAATAAAAATTAAAAACTAAATTTAATTTTTAACATCTGGTATATATTCAAGTGGTTTTAATATAAACGACATGGTTTCTTAAGAAAAAAAAAAATTAAAAATTTTATAGTCGAACAAAGCCAACTATTATATACTCTACATCGAATACAATTCTTCACTCAGTTTCACGATAACATTATCATTAAAATCATTAAAATGACGTCATGAAAACCATTAATTTGTAGAGGGCTCGAAATGTGACGCAGACCAAATTTAAGAAATTCAATTATCACGAAGATTTTATTATTCTTCCCCTGTTTTAATTGTGAAGAAACTACAAATGAGACTTTGTTACCATATTAAGGCCTAGCTTTCATGAAAACATTCACATATAGATATGGTATCGTGCGTTTTAACTTTCCTACAGTTAATTTTTATGCCAAATTACTATTACGGGCTAACCTGTACTACGAACCATTTGAAAATTAGACTTTCTTGTCATACGATAGCTTACTTTCCTAGACTTTATGGAATGGGCTTATTTCTTTCCAAAAAAAAGGCATTATATGTGGAACGGTGCAATTTAAGCCATTTTCAATAGGAGTCACACTTAAGCGAAAATCGCGTCAATATGTCAAATTTCGTCAAAATAAAATTGGGACCTATAGGTTGAACACAAAAAATATGGGCAGATATAAGATAAATAAACGAACTGACTGATAAACGTAGGGGGCTGGCTGAGACACGGACAGATGAACAGATTGAAGGAAGGACTGATAAGTGACTGATAAATGGACATCCTTATGACAGACAGCCTGATAGACAGCCAAGTTTAGGTCGAGTCCGACAGTGATTTGAAATCATTCGATATTATAAAAAGTGAGTTCCATCTTAAGTCTTCTGGTGTACTTGCTATACCCTGTACGATAATTGATGTAGGGTATAATGGTGGCTAAATTCACTCTATAGTTATATACATCCATGACGAAAATGTATTATCTTAGCAAAAAATAAATTATTCTCATTGGTATTAGCCTTTAGAAAACAGTCCTCTTTTTATAAACCCTAATAAAAAAATGAGACATTATTACGATTGTTTGTATTATTACAAAAAAAAAAGAAGAGAGTTATCTTAAGCCTTTAGCTTTAAATATTTTTTTTAAAAAGTAAAATTATTCTGTTTTCATTATTTCCACTTTAATAATATATTGACTTTTTTTTTGTATCCTCAGGTGCCTTAATATCTGCGATGTTTTTGCCAAATTCTAGTTTACCTTTAAAATGATTATAGCAAATGTATATTATATTGGTATTGTAAAGCATTAAAATTTCTATATTAAATAAATAATAAATTTTGTAAAAGTTATACGCGAAAAGGAATTAATTTGTATTCTTCGTTCTTCGGACAAAATCCATATACCATTGCTATAAAGTTTTTGGATGAAAATCTGAATCAAGTCATTTTTACATACCTCTGTTCTATGTGCGTCCAATTAATATTAGGTACGTACTAAAAGCGTTCCACAGAGGAGGAAAGGACTGGTAGTTGGACGGAGCAAGTTTGCGGAATATTAACGATGAAGCCACAAAAAATTCCTAGTTAACCTAAGTCGACCCATTAAAGATTTGCGCTGTGCGGCATCGTCGCAATATAGAGCGACGCCAGGCGTTTATGACTACTCTGGGGATGTCACCTCTGAGTGTGCAAATACGGTGATGGAAGAAAGAAATAAGGGAAGAGGGATACGGTGACACTGCAGCATTGGCGATATGTGGCCCTTATCGATGAGATTTATGTCGTCTGCCGCATTGGAGATTCAATACGCGCATGCCGACTTCATTGTTACCCTTCGTATCTATCTAAGCCTTGCGGAATTTCCGATTTCCAAAGTTAAATTATAATCTTTATAGTTCGATGTGACTGATCATCAATCAGAAGTTTTGCGACTCTGCACTGTGACGGTCAACAAGATGTTAGGAAAGAGAACGTTGGCCGCAGAGCAGTAACTGTGTGTCTGTCCAATCGATAATCTTTACCGGCTGAGCATGCACTACAAGTATAACTGAACTGCTCTGCGAACATTGACTTGGCAGCTACTATTCTCATCTATTGGACCAATCGTGCAGATACTAATGCTTTCTAACGGGGGAAAAGCCCCACCTCCTGACCGCAAATGTTTCTTTGTTGCTTCGCCTTAACCCCACTTATATATATGTATATACCTGAATAGATAAAAATATATATGTGTGTATATATAAGAGTGATGCCGCTTGTTCCGTTTCGCTTTACTAAGGTTGTATTGTTTTTTATGTGACTTATTAGAGGAAAAGCCAGGAACATTTCCCTCGGCGCAAGCTTGTTTTTACCTTCACCTTAACCTCAATTTCTACAGTTAGTATATATGAATAATTAATCCCGTTCGTTAGAGTTACCAAGCTTGTATATTTGTAATGGTATCGCTTGAAGGAAGCGCTGCGAACTTTATCTTTGACGTATTTTTGTTATTATCATCTTTTACCTCTCACAAACGTTCATGTAAACTTAAGCCCGTAAATGGATTAAAAAAAAACCTTTAAATTTAATGTTAATTTTATACGAAAATATTCATTTTGGAGTATATTGAACTCCGATCTAAATCTATCTATCTATCTATAATCGATTATGTTAATACTATAACTAGATTTATAACGGGGAAGCTTGAAATGATGTTCAGCAATCATAACAATGATTACTCACTGCACTCACTGTAAACTTTTACAAATAAAAAAAATATATTTGTAAAGCTTATCTGGATAAAAAGCAAAGATATCTAATTGTCAACCATAAAATCAAAGCGTGTAGAGACTCATTTAAAAAATGATTATCAGCCTCCGCATATAGTCTTCAACTAATGTTTAAACTTGTTAGATATAATTTTACATACAAATTCCAACAATAACATAAAAGGAGAATCAATAGTTAACGCTCGCCCATCGGTCAATTCGGCAAATAGAATAGAATAGAACGTCTTTTAACGTCAATCGGAGATAGCAACAACACTTAAAAATCATTGCCTTACCATGTGCTTTTTAATGGTAGCTATTTACTAATTGACTTAATAACATATTTACGTTGAACGTGTGGAAAAAAAAATTTTTTTTATATAAAAAAAAAGAAAAAACAAAACAAAAAAAAAAACGCAATTAATCTCTTCGTAGGAAATCATCTCTTTGTTTTTAATGAATAACTCTAACAAAATGAATGAAAATATTACGGATAATAAAATCACTAAAAATAAAGGTAAAGTCTTAGATATAAAGAAATAAAAAATAAAAAAAAAAAAAACCACAAAACAAAGAAAAGAAAGCTCAAATATATTGTTAATCTTTTCGAAAAATTTCCTCATCAAAATTACATACTTACATACATACTTTCAAATCTCTCCTTCGCATATATAGGTTTCTATTGATAGCATTTGAAAAAATCCTTCTCACAATTTATATATAGGAAATTAAAATCAATTGAAATCAAAACTGATTTTTTGAAAATTGCTTTTAGTTCATTTTTCTAAAATAAAAATGTTATAGCAAACGAGGTCGAAAAAGCAAAAGCTTAATCTCGCAAACACTTCCTATTGCATTCAAAAATTTATGGAAAATTGTGCTTCATATTTAAAAAATTAAGGGGAAACTAGTGCTACGTTTAAAAATCAAGAGAAATTTTATATCATGTACAAAAACGAAGGTGAATTTCATATTATATTCAAAAATTAATGGCAGTCTTATGTCAACTCTAAAAAGGAAAAAGAAATTCACGCCTATGCTCAGAAATTGAAGATAATTTTATACATATAAAAATATATTTTATATATATAAATAATTTTATACATTTTATATGTATAAATAATTTTATTTATATAAAAATTTATGAGAATTTTATATTATGTTCAAAAATTAAGGGGACTTTTATATATTAATTAAAAAGCGAAAGAAGAACTTGCGCCCAGCTTCAGAAATTGAAAATAATTTTATACTACGTTTAAAAACTGACGGGAATTTTAAACCATGTTCAAAAATTAAGGGGAACTTTGTATCATGCTCTAAAACTAAATGCAATTTTATACGACAATCAAAAATTAAGGGGAATTTCATATCATAATGTAAAAAGTAAGAAGTACTTTCTTCTTCCTTCAAAAATTTAATGGAGTTTTATATTACATTCAAAAATTAAGAGGAGTCTTATATCATATTTAAAAAGTAAGAAAAAGTTGCTTCTACGTTCAAAAATTAAGGGTAATTTTGTGTCATATTTAAAAAGCAAGAGGAACTTGTGCCTACGTTCAAAATTTGAGGGGAATTTTATACTGTGTTCAAAAATTTAAGGCGGACCTCATACATCCAATGACGAAGTATGTAATATTTATAATTCCTAATAGTTAGAATGCTACTTAGGATGAACTATTCATGAAAGTGTCGAAAGATTAAAAGGAAATATGAAAGTAAATCTCCAAGATCTGTTGATATCCTACACCACTTGCAAGGTGTCTAAATTGTCTGAAGAAATTGAAATAGATTTACCTTTTATTATGTCAATCGATTCGTGAACATTTTGCGAATTCACTGTCTCTCCGTATGTCTGCACGTCTTCTCGCTATAACATGACATCCCAATTATTCCAGTCCTCGATAAGACTGCGTTTTTCGAAGAAAGTTTTCCACATTTTTTTACATTTATGGAAAATTTAAAAGAGATAGGATCATTTTCCCAATCCACTCCAATACAAAATAAATCTTTATAAGGCAACAAAGTGTAGCTTTCGGTATTTTATACCAAGATTTGCTCACCGAGATAGTGATTCCACATTCGCATGTACTACATCAAGTTTCTTCTCAGGGCGACTGCATCTAATTCGTAGCATTTCATAACGAAAATAATAAACGTTTATTGAAAAGTTAGGTTTAACTTTACTAAGCCGGTTCATGTTTCGGTAACAAATACCATTTTCGTAGCACATGAATGATAGTAAATGAATATTGAAAATTTGATTAGAATGGAATTATATTTTAGAGAACTCCTCACATTCACTTATTGACATTCTTACAGAAAATGGAAGCTTTTAGGATAACCGAGTCGAATTGGTAGCATTTTATGATGAAAATCGATGCATCGAACAATGATTCGAAATACATATTTAATATTTCAATATTCGAACGATATAACTTTATTTTTCGAACACTATTACCTATTTTGAGGGTATTCGTGAAAAGTAAGTCTTACTATAACATTACCAGGTCAATTTCGTTTACTTCATGATCAAAACAGTAGCTAAGGTATTTAACGATCAGTGGATTATAAAGTCATAACGAAAAATGTAATAGATTTTGAATAATTTCCGTTAGTTGTAGTTATCATTTTCTTTTGAACTTTTTTAAAGACGAATTTGAATTTAGGTTAGTTTGAAAAAGTTAACTCGAATCAAAGCCGTTTACGAAGAGTTACTAAACCTCATATAAAAAATTTTTTTTTCTCTTATGATCATTCACTCAAGGGATATTCCCTATATGTGTAATGTGGTGATGGTTCGAAAAATGTGAGGAGAGAAAGCGAGAGATAGAGAGAGAGACAAGGAGTCGCTACACCGACCAATAAATGTTATGCTTTTACCGATCGACTGCACGCTAATCATAATTAAAGTGTAATCAAACGCACGGGGAATTCAGACCAGGCCCGCTGACGTGATAGCCAAATGTCTTACGTACCTAGCTATACGATTGTATAAACCAGGAAAATAAACAAGCAGACTGTGGTCAATGTGTAACTAAAACCTTTTTATAATTACACATAAGGCATCGTCAAATAGGTCGTCTTAAGATAATTTTCTATTGCTTATGATAATAAATTAATCCTTAGAATTGTACGAACATATGCTTACAGTTTTTTTTTTTTTTCGTTTTTTGCAACATTTTTTCTTCTCTTTAAGATCTTCTTAAGCCTGCTAATTTTGAAGAAGCCATCGATTCAGCTGGTTTTGGCCTATTTAACTGTATCTTAATACTTATAACTATATTGTGCTCTACGGCGAATATCTTCTCTAGCACAGCAATTTCATATATTCTGCCGATAGCTGAGTGCGATCTTAAATTAACCTTACTTAATAAAGGTGCTTTAAATGCAGTCACTTACGCTGGCATGATAACATCTGCGATCGTTTGGGGCTACTTAGCAGACACGCAAGGACGTAAAAAGATTTTAGTTATAGGTTGTCTAGCGGATGCCATAAGCTCAGCTTGCTGTTCTTTAAGTCAAAATTTCCAAATGCTTATCGTATTTAAATTTATCGAAGGCTTTGCGTAAGTATACACATAAATAAATTCAATTTCATAATAAGCTATACTTTCATTTTATTTATTTCAATATCTAACGCGTTGCACTATTTCATCCACCAATGAGGAAATGTCCTCCAGTTTGTAAACTTAAGGAATTAATAAAAATCGAAAGTAGGTAGGGAAGGGTTCTTTGTTGAGACTTCTTCTCTTCCGATTACAATGTTTAACGGGCCTATCGCTATCTATTTACTTAATCTAGGAACGGTAATCGTCTTATTCTAATTATCTATGCTACGCTTTTAAAGAAGAAAAAGTACACGCCGAGGGTCTGAGAATTTTAAGGCTTACTCGCGGTCTTTCATATTTGCTTGCAGAGAGAAAGAGAGATATCTGCAATAACATTAATGAAAACTGAGAAAGAGAGAGAGAGAGAGAGTTCTTTACATACATTCTTAAAGTAGAATTGTATTAGTCGAAGAAGCTATAACTTTTAGCAAATTATTATTATTTTAGATTAATGCAATCAATTCTTAACACTACTACTGCCAACATAGACTATCGGCTCCATTTTAGATAAGGAAATTCGATATTCACTCTAGTAGTTTTCAAAATGCCCGTAGGATTAGTTATTCCGCATGCAATTTTTCTAAGAAAAGGTAAAATTTAGGCAGCCACAAAGCCATAAGGCAGTAGCGCCATTTGAAGACTCTGTCCACGATTATAGATTGGAGGAAAAGACTACTGAATAATCCATTGATGTAAAGCTGTTTGGTCTTTATTTTGCCAATAATTGTTGGATATAATGGAGCACATACGTGAAGGTTAATATAGAAGGAGCGCGGATATTAGGTTGGCCTCCATAATTATCTCTTTAACTTTTCTTACAATGCATCTCTAAAAGTCAAACTTTTACATAATAGAGATACAGAAGCAGCAGACTTTTGCCGCTCGATTAACTTGTTCATTTTCAAATTCAATTTCCCCTTAGACTAAGTAACCAAAACGTTTTATTCTAATCATCACATGTTATGATGGTATTCTTCAATTTGTTAATGGAGATCCAGCTCGAAATTGATAGATTAGGGATAGTAACAGTTTTGAATTGGTTTTCATGGGCAACGTTCATACCGTGAAGCGTACCACTAGCTTCGGTTGTGAAAGTTAAAACATTTTCATGAAATACTGCCGTTAAGTATAACTTGTCCTGAAGCATCCACGGATGGTACAGATGGCGGGTGGATGATTGTCAAATTTTTACCTGTGCCAACCGTCAAATACTTTCCAATGCCTGGATTTTTTCTTTCTTAGATTGCTGAAGACATAATTTGGAGTGTTCGCTTTTTTTCGAAATAGAGAACGAAATGCTACAAGAGTAGCCTTTCAGAAACCACGGAAAAAGTTTTATTAATAAATAATATTAGCAGTGACCATCTGACTTGACAGCGAAAAATATTCGTGAAGGCCAATATTGCGGGAAATTTTTATTCATAATATTCAACAAGTTTAATGGCGGGCCTATCTGACTTGCTTGCGATAAAGGAGCTGGAAGAGGCGTAAAGTTTCAATACAAAATCGTTTCTTCTTTCGTCAGCACCGAAGTAAGGCAAGAATTCTCTTTGCTTAAGTCAGAAACATGTAATATATTCTTGATCAGTGGGAGACTCCAAGTGGTTGGGCTAATCATTTGCTTATAAAATATAATAAAAAATTTCCAGATTCTTATGTACCGACATATACGCCGCAGATCAAATTGATATAATGAGTACAGTGCGCTTCTAATAGCCAAAAAGCTATGACATCTAACACATAGCCTGCGATATATCAATTTTATAACCCATCACCGAAGAATGAGGGGCATGTTCACTTTGTCAAAACGTTCACCGCACGCATCGCCCACAACCGGAAGCCTCAGAGATCCCACCAATTGTATATAATATCTTGATCAGCCTTACATTCTTAGTTGCTGTAAACATGTCTTTGTGCCCGTCATCTTCTAATGTCTCCTCTATAAAGTTTATTGTAAAAATTCTCCCGGCCGCAAAAATGAAGCCAACGACTTCACATTTGACAGAAACATTGGTAATTCTTCTTCTTGTCGTTAGTATTGAAAATGGGCCGAATTGTCCGAAACGGCCAAACGAGTGAAGTTATGTAAAGTATCTCATACTCGGCCTTGCCCGACTATAATGTTTTTACTTATCTTAGAAGTAGAAATGTCATAAACAAATGTCTAAAATAGAAAAAAAAAAAAGACAAGAATTTCATATTAATTTTTTCTTTTTTGTATCCAATTAATAATCTATAGCTCGGATTAAATTATAATACTTTTATATAATTTGCTCATTATATTTTTTGATTGATTATTGCAAATTTAGTTAATTTTTTCTTTTTTTTTTATGTAAATATAAAAATAAATGCAAGCAAAAACTAATTCGCTTCAGAGTATATATCATGGATATATCTAATGGAGCATCGGCCATAATTTGACTTATTCGGCGACGTAGACATTAGCGCATAAACGTGGCTTGCCTTGATCACAATTACGGTCATCATTTACAGTGCGAACTACAACATCACCCAAACGTTTATTGTCTTCACATAGTATTCGCCGATCCGTATGGACCATAGCAACTAGTATCACCTATGCAGCGGCTATCTTCATAGACATTAGCGCATAATCGCGGCTTTCCTGGGCCACAATCACAGTTATCATTTGCAATGCCAGCTAAACCACCAATGCATTCGAATCCTCTCCCAGCCTGAAGCTTGATACGCGGACAGTCTTCAGACGGTTTTACACAAATGTTCATCGGATTCAATCCTTCGTAGAAATCATCGCAGACTGCATGCCTAACAACTGTTACCGGTATTTCTACCAGCTTTTCGTTGTCATCATTTGTATGGACTTCGCGTTCTTGTCCATTTCGCAGAAAGGATTTTTCCCCTTAAGTTCAAAGGATCTAGCGCTGCACTGCTACCGTTTCTTCGGTCATTAAATTTTGAAATCTGCAATTGGAGTACACGCCGATTATTTGTAGTATATTTTCAGGGAGAAATCCGTCTGCAGACCGTCCCTTATTATTTGACACTTCATTTCTACCGTTGGCGACGACAATTAAGGCGAATTTTTTTTTAAAACAGCACCAGTGAGATTTGGGATATTTTCCGTTTCTTTTTTCGAATCAAAGGCATGAGTAAAGAGCGAAGGCTGACGTTTGTATTCTTGGGCGAAAATTTGTTGCATTCGAACAAATAGAATAAAAATTGAAAAATATAAATGTAAAATTTAAACTTTGGTCTTTATGGTAAAAATAAGTGGAGCTAAATGAGATTTCAAATGTTTCTCTAAGATTTATTAAGAACTTCTCAAGAGTTTACATGAGGCGCGTAGGGTTCATTTTGTTAATGTTGATAAGCCGTTTTTATATATCGTAGATATTGCTTTCTTCGCTCGAATCACGATTCAATTGAAAAAATTGCTGTTCATTTCTTCTTCGTTCATTTATATTCTACACCTCTTGTGGTACACTGCGTACGGACGTTTGAGATAGATCCACTTTTTAATATATCGATCGATTTAGAATCATTTTCTTTATCCGCCGGTTCGATTCTCTATTTGACGCCTGTCCATATATTCTTGGGTTAACTTAGTAATAATACTTCGAATCGAGCATTTTTTGGTATAGGATGCGAACGCACAAAACATCAAGAAGGACGGGAGTTAGACTCACTTTTTATTAAACCGGACCATTACTGTCTGTGCATCTGTCCATCTGTTTTAAGCATTTTTCTGGGCGCAAAAACAAAACTATTGACTTCAAATTAAGCAAAACTATTTGAAATTCTTGTACGCAAGTTGGTATTGAAGGCCGACCAAATCGGTCGAAGAACGCGCCTACAGTATCATGTAAACTGAGAATCCTTCTTTTTGAAAAGTTGTAAAAAATTGATTTTTGCTTATCACTCAATAACTACACCAAATAAATGAATCCATATTCTATGGGTGATGCTGTAGTATCTGTATAAAAATAACAAAAGCCACACCTAGCCAATATTATAGAACATTGAAATTTATTTTGTTTTTCAATAAGTTTATAACGCGTAGAAACAACCTTGAAAAACCCCATGAAGTATATAAATTCTTCGCCAGTCTCAAATTTCGCATGCACCTAAGCCTATGCATATGTTCATCTGTCCATCTGCCCGTCTACAAAACCGAATAGCATCTGTTTCACTATTTCAAGGTTTTCACTCCCCACGAAATCAGATAGTTTTCTTGCAATTTTATCAAATGCATGATTTTCGTAACAATATGTTCCAAGCTTAATATTATCTACTTTTTATCTCATTGTTTATTACAGAGCTAACGGTCCTTGTGCGGTACTATTTACATATCTAACCGAGTTTCATAATGCAAAAAATAGACCACGTTTATCCATGATACTAGGCTTAATACAGTCGTTCGCTAGTTTAATACTACCCATGCTAGCCTGGTTAATATTGCCGCAAGATTGGGATTTTATAACACAAAGCAGTTTTAAAGGTAATAAAAAGGTAACAAAAAGAAATGTGTTTTCCCCTATAACACGCTTCTTTTTTTTTTTTTATTATCCCACAGTACACACTTGGCAAATATTTTTATTCATTTGCGGTTTACCAAGTTTATTAAGTGGTATAATATTTCTTGTTTTGCCCGAAAGTCCCAAGTTTTTAATGTCTCAGGGTCGTAATACGGAAGCCTTAAATGTTTTTCAACAGATTTATGCGGTTAATAGACGTCAATCGAAAGACTTGTATCCGGTGGAGAAGAAAAACACTGTTAAGCAAAGTTAAGAATGAAATTTATTAAAGAAAATTTTTGAAATTTAGATACGACAACTAATCGAAGAAGTTCCCAGCCGCGATTCGATTCACATTCCATCAGCGATCTTCACGGTGGAGGGTAAATCATCAAAATTAAATAAAAGTCGGAAAACGACATCATTTAAGCAATCGCTACACGATGGTTGGCTTCAGATGAGACCCATGTTTCATAAGCCTTTGTTAAGCCGTTCTCTGCATGTATACTTGATGCTATTTGCGTTATTGCTTGGGTAAGTCTCGTTAAAGCTAAACTTATGTATGAGTTAATGACTTTTTCTCTAGTTTGAATTCGATACGGCTTTGGTTGCCGCAACTATTTGCTTCAATCTCTAAATATGAGGCTTTACATACGGATGCAAGTGATTCTACAGATTTGTGCACTATTGTGGAATTCAGCGTAAATAAAACGCAAGATGTTCAAAGTTATACTAGCGATTGCAGCGCGGTAAGCTTCACTTGTCATTCTTTGCATTTCTTAAGTTTTCTTTTCTGTTTATTCCACTTTGTTCTCTTTATCTATCTCATCCCCATTATTTCCTCCTCTCATGTTTTTGATATAAATGTAATTTCCCATGGCTTTCTCTATTAAGTATTTTTTTTTTTACTTACTCTCTTTTGTTCTCTTGTCTCTCTCATTCCCATTATTTCTCCCGTTTATGCATCCTCTTCTGTTCGCTTCTCTTTTCCATTCTTTATTCGTTCTCACTCTCTCTCTCTGTCTGTCTGTCTCTCTGTCTCTCTCTCTCTCTCTTTCTCTCTCTCTCTTTCTTTCTCTCTCTCTCTTTCTCTTTCTCTCTCTCGCTCATGCTCCAACTCTCGGTTTCTATGGCTATTTCTCTCTCTCATTTTTTCTACATCCACGCCTCTTTCTCTGCCTTTCTAATTCCTTTCTTTCCTTTTCTTTGTTAATTTTTTTAAATTTTTATTCTTGATCTTTTCTTTTTAGTATAAAAATATTTCTATGGATATGTATTTAAATAATATAATCGTCGCCGTGATTGGTTTGTTGGGTTATTTTTGTGCTATGTTTATAATTAGAGTTTTGGGTCCAAAACGTTTGGCAAGTAAGTTACGTTAAAAGAAAAATAAAAATCCTCAACGAAACACCTACACGCATATTATTTTTGACGATGCCATCTGCCCAGTAACCTATAACACTTTTACGTCCTCTATGTTAAAAAATTGAAATTATTTTGCAGACATGAGAATATATGGGCGGTCTAATTGCGTTTATAGCCTTCGAAAGAAACGACAGAAGCGGAAAAAGACGAACATTTTGATTAACAAGGTTTAATTGCAAGTGGTTTCCACACTGGAGAAATGTAAATGAATGATTGATGATATGAAATTTTTTTCATATTAATAATGCATATAATCGTCAACCAAAGTCAACCAATGTACAATTGGAAATTTTAAAGGGTCACGAGCCTCGGAAAGAACGAGCTTTCTTTCTGCATACTTAAGGGCTCTATGAATGAAGTGAGCGCCCAGCAATGTAACACAGTTTCTTTTATTTTGGTAATGCTCTTCGTCAGACTAAACGTCTACCCAACAGTCCGGCGCAAAGAAAAGAATGCATCGAGCATCTTCCAGAAGAAACTCAATATTTGAAATGTCATGTTGATTAAGTGGTTTTCAAAAGCCTTCACATCTTGCAATACCGAAATATTTTATTTATCCTAACAGCTAAACGAAAAATTCGAAAAAGGCTTCAAATTGACTATCAATAGTCAGTAACAAACAGCATTTCAAGGGATGGCAGGAAAGATTGCATGGAAGAAGTTATCCAAAATAGATCTCATTCAAAGAAGACTTGCTATAAATACACACGTTCTTGACTGCCAGTTCATGTCTTCCTCGTTAGCAGCACGACCTTATAAAAATAACTTAACTTACAAACAATATATGGCGTACATAGCCCCAAATAATTATATAATCTCAAATTGATTTCACTTGATCAAGCACTTGTATTTCCTATAAACTCATACGAGTTTAATCCTTTTTTCTGTATTTATAACCTTATATTTACAATCTTCTTTTCCTCTCTTTGATTTTATCATTATTTTCACAACTTCCTCGCGACTTACTGCCTTAATACACATAACCTCAAATAATCTCAAGAAACATATAACCTCAAATTAAAGTCTCTTGATCAAACACTTGCATTTTCTACAAACTCATACGTATATAACCATTTTCACAGATTATTCTGTGCTTATTGTCGCTGTTTCTTTTTTCCCTAAACCCAAATTAAAGTCACTTGATAAAGCAGTTGTATTTTCTATAAATTCATACGTATATAACCTTCTTTTCTTTGATTCTATTATTATTTTTACAGCCTTATCGCTACAAGTTGTCGCTATTTGCATTTTATTTTCTTAACACACATAACCTCAAATAATCTCAAATTAAAGTCACTTGATCAAGCACTTAAATTTTCTGTAAACTCATACGTACATAACCTTTTTTTCTTTTCTTTGATTCTATTACTATTTTTACAGACTATTCTCTATTTGTGGCCGCTTTATTTGGTATAGGTCTTTATTGGTCCACTGACAGCTTAGCGACTTTAATAATATCCGCCTTATTTGTAAATATATCCAGTATAGCAACAGCCAGCTTAAATGGTTTAATATTGACATTATTTCCTACAACTCTAAGGTAAATTTTCTAAAATTATAATCATTTTCACATAAAAAACGTCGAAAAGCCATTCAGATTTCTCGGAAAGGAGATATTAGTACATTGAATTCATTCTTTAGATATTGTCTCCTCCGGCTAGCATTAAATGCTATCAATACAGAGATATAAAAAGAATTTCCCAATCCTTTGATTGTCTTAAATGAAACATAAGTAGGAAAGTGATATTCGGCGGGTGCCGAACCTCGCACACCCACTACTATACTTTTCGTATACTTCGCTCCAAGTTGTTTTATTTGATACCCATATCGCTGGTATTATTAAGAAAAAATTAATCGCGATGTCTATCATATTCATTTTGGGATTAACCCATTTTTAAGCAGATAATGTATCTGCATTTGAGCAGCATACGAAATAGTTTCAAACATTCCATCTTGTTTGGCTATTGATAAATGAACATAAAACCCTAAAAAAGGGGAAAAAATTAAATTTAATTACTCGTGAGTTTGTGAGTTTTCAATACCAACATGCGTACAGCAACTTTCAATGTTTCTACCACAGCGACCAGGAGAATGCCAACAAAACACAACGGACAGACAGACATATATGGTTAAATCAACTCAAAATTTCACACTACTCAAGAACATATACACTTTATAGGGTCTCTAAAGCTTTCCTTTGGGTGTTACATACAGTATGGAAAAAACAATATGAGTATATCCACATATTACAGTGGTGGGCATAATAATATAAATTTGTAGCTAGTGATTCCTACGGCGTTATTTCAAATAAATATTATGATTACAAAACAGAATGAGAGAGAAAGAGAATGTGTAATGGAAAAAATTCCAATTTATTCTCCTAAATTCCAAACTACCGGCCGCCCGATGCAACATACTTATGTCAACGTTTTTCCCAATTTTTAAAACACAACAACAACAAAAATTTCATGATTCGAAATTATCCACAAAGTTTACATCAAAAGTTCACCTAGTTATGGTCGCAGCTTTCACTACATTGTCTCTCCGTTTGGCCGTCTGACGTCTGTCCATGCACATTTGAGTTCATTTGCATGAAATTTGAAATGAAAACTTGAAAATGGTTCAGAACGATTCAATTTTTCGACCACTTCCCTTCCTTTGAAAAATCATAATAATCACAATTTTCAGAATTTTTTGACGAAACTCACTGAATTGCAGCACTTTGTCCTTATAAGCTGATATAATATTGAAAAATTTGGTTCGGGTGGAACAATTATTGCACGCCCACTTATATTTTCGTACGAAAATAGAATCTTCATATGGTAAAAAGGTCGAATTTTCAATATTTCATGATGAATATTCGTAATAGTAAATAGACAAAGGAGTCAACCTTAATCAATTTGGAGCACGTAGATCTATTTTTCGGATATACCGGCATATAAGTATTCTCAGGAAATGCAAACATTTATATTCAATTATCAATAGAAATTTCGTAATGATAGTAATTTGTCATAAAAATAAAGTGTACCAAGTTGAACCATGCAGGGGTCTACTTCTTGGATCCCATTCTATACGAAATTCCTCATAAGTAGTATGCGCTTCAGAAAAAGGTTTAATTTTTAATATTTTATGATGAAAGCTAGTTCATAGATCGATTTTTCAGGCCCTAACATATGTAAAGGCTATCATAAAAAGCAAGGCCTTATATGGAGAGAAATTATATGGAGAGTTTATTAAATTTTGATCAAGTCAGATGACGTTTTGACCATCATCCATGAAAAGTATGCCTTTGCATGAAAATAATGTCCAATTTTTGAAGTTTTATTGCTAACGCGAGTGAATAACTATACTAGGTGAAGTGAAGTCGTGTAAGGTATCGGTATAGTCGGCCTTGCCCGTCTATAATAATCTCACTTATTTTTTGATCACATTGTAGAGTCGGAAAATTTCTTAACACCGGAGCAGCTAAGTGGCATAAAACAATTGTATTGTTATTCAATTCAAATCAATTCTTTTCTTCTTTCCTTTATGCAGAACTTCTGTGGCGTCATTATCAATGATGTTCGGTCGTTTAGGTTCTTTGTCGGGTAATTTATTGTTCCCCATTTTTATGGAATACGGTTGTTTGCCGCCCTTTTTAATGGTCAGTTCGATGACAATCTGTAAGTATGCACACACAGACTAATATCTATATATCCTGTATAAATAAAATTATAATAAAATTTATTTAATTTACAGTTGCCAGTATACTGTCTTGCTTATTACCCAAAGAGACAGATTTATTGTTTCTTTGATGAATGCTTTGAATCTGATGTCGATAGCCAAAAATGATTTCCTTTAGGACGAGACATTTGTTTGAAATAGTACCCGAAAATTTTCTCGTATTTTTCTTGTATCGTATTTTTAGTATTCTGACATCTGAAAATGGAAATTGACATATTGTATGAATATGAATATGTAACATTAAGTATATTACCACTCACCTTAGTTAAAATTCTTATCACGGTTTTCCACACCACTTTTGAGGTATCGTGATAGGTGCGTTGCCAATTGTTTTGAATGGCTGACTCCCCCGTAGGCCTACACCATTATACACTTAATTTAAAACTATAATAATATTTATAATAATAATAATAATAAATAAATAAATTTAAGTTCCGTTTGTACACAATATACACAATATACATAATAAATAAATACATAAAAAATATATATCCAAGGATCGCTGCTGTGCGGCTTTCTTAACATCTTGATATCTGCAAAGGTATTACTAAATTTATATACAAAAGATGACAGACAGACTTTCCAGAGATTCGAATTAACCAATGAATCGAAGATCTAATGGATTTTCTAAATATATTTTTGTATATAATCAAGATGAATTATGTTACTAGCAATAAAATTTAGTATACATTGTTTTAAATTTTTATGATGATATGTAAAATTTTAAAGAATTTCTTTTTAACTCAATAAAAGATCAAAGCGATTTAAGTTAAGTAAAGAGGAGTAACTTTGTTCGCGCGCGGGGTAAGGAGTTGAGACAGATCCATTTAAGCTTATATGTCTGTCCTTCTGATGTTTGTCTATATCACTTTTTGCCCACCTATCGTCGCATTTTTTCGAATATTTTTTAGGATATTTTAGAAATATCCTACATCAAAATAAACAAAATAAGACGCTGTAGGGAAGGTGGTTGTAGAAATGATTCGACCCCGAAACATTTGCTATAACGTTTGTCCTTGGGCCACAATAGGTCAGTCTACCAAAATTTCAACATATATCTCGAAAATTCACAAGCTGTAGTTTGAACACAAGAATAAATGGACAGAAGGACGGACACACTTAGATGCATTCAGAAAATGTTCTTAAATCGATCGCGTCATGGAGTACGAATGAGCAACAGATGATTTCAATGGAATCTAGTTTGAAAAAGAAAGCAAATCCACGATAGATAAAAATGGCTTATCAGCGTATTTGGAGCTCTCCGCTTATCATATAAACTTTTGAGAAGCGTCTTGATTCACTCATAACAGATGAAACATTCAAAATTTTACTTTACCTTATACTTATATCATAAACACCAAAATTTAAATGTCACATTTGTACATTTATAAATGTCTCACCATCACGTCACCTTAGTTTTCTCTGTCAAATATATTTTAATTCAATTAACTGTTTATTTTATCAAAAATGTTGAGGAAATTACAAAAATTTGCATATTTTTTAATTTTTATTCTATTCGTTCGAATGCAACAAGCTTCCACCCAAGAATGCGAAGGCAAAGTGCCTTCGGAATTCCCAACACGCTTTGTTTCGGTTAAATGTAAAAAAGGAACTGAAACTCTCGCAGATCGCACTGGTGCTGTTTTAAAAAAAAATTTCATATTAACTGCATTTGATGGACCAACAGAAGAAATAAAGTGTCAAATAGTGAAAAAGGACGATACCGCGCCCACAGGGACATACACTAGAGAAATCGAAGATATATTCACCTTCGAAGATGATTTTGAAATTGATAATAGTCGTGTGCCGCAAATCCAGATTCTAAAATCTAAGGAGGCAGACAACCGTAGCATTTCACTCATAGCTCCTATGAAGTTACGGAAAAAATACTTCTTACCGAAAAAACAAGATTGCGAAGTCCATACATACGATGAGAACGAAGAACTAGTAGAAATCGAGGTAACAGTTGAAAGCCAAGAAATCTGTCAAGGTTACTATGCAGATTTGAATACGATTAACATTTGTATAAAAATGCCTGAAGACTGTAATTGTATGAAACTTCAGGCTGGGGCAGGGCTTGAATGCGATGATCTTCTAGTTGGTGTTGTAAATGATGATTTAAAATGTAGTCCAGACAAGCCGCGATTAGCTGCTGATGTCAATGAAGCTCGTCGATGGATAGGTGAAACTTTAGCCGAACATTCACACGGATCGGCGGATACTATTATGAGGACAATAAATCTTTGGGTGCTATTATTTTTTTATTTACTTTAAAAAAAAGAAAACAAAATAGATAAATCACAAAATTCGGCATAATAATCGATCAATGTAATGATGATCAACTTATATAATAAGATTATAATTTATTCTGAGCTAAATATATTTTTAAAACAAATACAAACAATATTAATATGAAATTTGTTATTCCATTTTAGACATTTATTCATTTGACACTTGTTCGTTTCAAAAATGATTTCGGGGAAATGATGATCGCGGAATTTGCTAATAAAACTATGAAATCTTTTAGGATACGATTGCGAACACAATTACATCAGATATGGATGGCGTAACTATGCTAAGCTAAGGGTAGATATGTAGATTATGATATGGAAGTCTTTCGGAGCCACTTTAAATCAAATAGATTCATAAAAACTTCCGATAGGACACACAATTTGCGGAGGATAAGCAGAAGCGGCCTACGTTTAGCCACCGACTTCTACACGGTTCATAATTCTCCCAGGTACCATCTGAAAAATTTGAGTAGGCGACGCAGCATATGCTATGTAAAGGTTAGGCCATCTGCAGGTTCGGACACAAAGTATTTGGCGAGCATATTACCACGCGGGAGACGATATGGTGCTCCGATCCAAAGAAGGTGGCGGGATTTATAAAAATGGTGAAACTGAAGGGCTAGAGGCACGGTACGGTACATCTTGACCACGTAATTAATAAAAATAAATCGTTTTGACATTGAGTGATAGCGAGTTCGATAGCTTAAGAGCGTTGATAACAGTTTTTCACTTAATAATGATTTATTCACTCAGCTGATTGTTTCTATTTTCAAAACAAAACTTTACGTCGCATACGGGTGCGGTTGTTGTGGGCTTGTCCTTCCAAACTCCTTTGCAAATTTGTAGGCGATATATTCATTTTCGTTAACGGAAGATTGTTTACCGCAAATTCTACGCAGTTGAGCAGAGAGACAGATGAACAGAGGAACAGACGGACATGTTTAGGTGCATTGTAAATTTAAGATTCACCAATATTTGGTGAAGTTTTTGAAGCTTGCTGCTGCCTCTTTCAAAAGTGTTAACAAAAAAAATTGAATTTTGATATACTATAATATTGGGTAGGCGTGGTCGAATATGCGTTCAAATTTTTCTACATTTATCTGCCATAGTTTCTGAGTAATGAAAAAAAAACCTATTTTTCATTCCGTTAGGAAAACAGAGGGGTTCTCAATTTACGTGGCGCTGTGGGCGTGTCCTTCGACCGATTTGGCCTATTTTCAACACCAACCTTAATTTTTACGCGCAGGTGGATCTTTAAAATAGACTTTACATAGACCATCAGATGGACAACTAGATACACGGACGGATAGACGTATTTCAATGGATTCAGAATTTGATGCTGATCAAGAATATATATACTTTGTATATATACAAAGTATTTTCTGTTTGGGTATTGCAAAGGTGCTGACAAAATGAATATAACCCCTCATCCTTCGCCGATGTGGCTATAAATATTGAAATGATATAACTGCTTGCTTGCAGTTGAGCTGCAATCAATTTGTCTACCTGTCCATGAATGCTTAATTATTGTAATTGCATGCAAATCAAAATTGCGTATAAATGAATTCAGGATATTTGGTTTTGTAGATTACATTAGCACTGCCGGAAACATTCTGTAGCTAAGGAAGCAGACCTGATATCAAATTTTTTTCATACCATGGATAAAACTTCAAACCACCTTTAAACCACCTTCGTAATGTTGTTCAATTATTTTAATGCACGTTTAGTGTGCGATAACTGCTTATATAAATGGTTATAAATGTATGGCTTCGACTTTCGCGGCAGCCAATTCTAACAGATCTAGATTCTAAAGAATCCCTTAATCGTGGACTCAATTAATAATTAATTAATTAATAAAGCTAGCGAAGCTTGGGGATATTGATATTCAAGTAAGGAATTTTGTAAATAACTCCTTTAAATTCAATTAATCTGTACATTGCAAGTTGCTTTCAAAATAAGATATATCTTATTTAGATTAGATTTTACCTACACGATGCCATACTAATGATATTTGTATGAATTTAAAAATGATTTCATATAAATGACCAATTTTGAATGTCAGCAATTGAATTGAATTGAATTGAATTATGAAACACCAATTTTAAAGCATTCTTCTTATGTGAACAACAATAAAATAAAGTCATTGAGCGATTGCGTTTTGCTGGTGTCTATTGTCGGCGAGCAGGTGGAGAAATCAGCCAGTTTTTTGCCACAAATTTCAAATGCATTAAGAAAAGTTCATCACGAGCTTTGTCAAAAAGGCAAAGCAGTAGCGGAATAAACTATTAAATGGCAAAGCAGTAGATAAGTGAACTGTTAAAAGGCGAAGCAGTAGCGGAATAAACTGTTGAATGGTAAAGCAGTAACGGAATAAACTGTTAAAAGGCAAAGCAGTATCAGAATAAACTGTTAAAAGGCAAAGCAGTGGCGAAATAAACTGTTAAAGGGCAAAGCAGTAGCGGAACAAACTGTTAACTGGCAAAGCAGTAGAGGAATAAACTATAAAAAGGCAAAGCAGTAGCAGAATAAACTGTTAAAAGGCAAAGCAGTGGCGGAATAAACTGTTGGATGGCAAAGCAGTAACGGAATAAACTGTTAAAAGACAAAGCAGTAACGGAATAAACTGTTAAAACGCAAAGCAGTAGCGGAACAAACTGTTAAATGGCAAAGCAGTAGCGGAATAAACTGTTAAATGGCAAAGCAACCGCCATATATATCGGTTAAAATGTAAAAAGATAAAAAATTAAAAAGCTCTGTTGACATGACAAATCAATGGAAAAAAATCTGTTGAAATCTCATATCTATACAAACAAAAAGACAAAATAAACAGTAGCAACAGTAAAGTAGTAAATAAAGCATATATATATATATATATATATACATAAGTATACATAAGTATATATATAAAGTATAAATATATTGTTGCAGCTCTCTCTTTTTTTCAACTTTATTGAAAATGTTTGCTTATAACAAAAAATACAACATAAAAAAATTAAAAAATTATTCGAGCGTAAATAGGCGGCAAAACTGAACCCACGATTCACCAGTTATTTTAGTAACGCCCTATAACAAATCATATAAAAATATAATAGAATAAAAATAAGAGGTATATAAAAACGGAATAAAATATCGCATTCACCTGAAAAGCTGAACCAGTAGCTCCTTTGCCTAATTCGCGATATCACTACCAGAAATCAGCGAAATCATCAATAATGCTTTGAATGCTGACGATATTAATCTTGACGTTGCCCATAGGTTCATTCATTTTCTGATTGTTCCCTTTAGTAAGTTCCGTTAGTAAGTTTCTGACTAACCTCCGGCTTATTATGTGCATTCTTCACTCTGCAAGCCTGTTCTGATATGCTTAATGAAGTGTCATTGCGATCATCCAACAATTCTTCTTTTGATGTCAAGGAATATTCCGAATTCGAATTCACATTGATTTTATGATTCTGATTAGTAGCCTACAAGCTTTGGGTAATTTCTTTGATAAATGGAATTCTCAAGGCGTATTACTTTCTAGGAAGTGTATAATGAAAAGGTTTGCGGAATGCTATTCTCGAACTTATTTCCAATTATAAGTACAATGAGAGGACCGGAATATTCTCCGTCTGATTCGTAGTATTTAATTATACAAGAATTGGACTTCAGTACATAGCGACAAGACGACACATAATGAGAAATTTGACTTGACCTTACCGACGCAGTAGTAAAAATGCAGGCTTTTCGGGCATTCGATGATTTTCTGGATGAGTCTCGTTAATATTAGCTATGACTATGAATTGCAAGCAGAGACCATATTAAAGCATTTTCACAATACTTGACTGGATATTGTGATGCCACTTACTACCTTAATATGTGTAGCCAACCTTTAGAATAACCCAGACTTTTCTTATTCAAAAATAATATGTATTGAGCCCTCAATTAGCTGCTCCTAGCGACGATACAGACCAACCATTATCTCGAATGTATCAAATAACAAAAGTTGTCCACTTCAAAGTCCACTAATCGCTCCAAATTTGCTGAATATATGAAGGAGTTTTTGTATGTAGCCAGCCTAAGGGCTGCACAATTTTCTCTTCTAGAACTTTCCAAGTAAAACTTTATGCCTATCACACGTGTTCACAGATGTATAACAAAAATCAAATTGAAAATCATTTCTCAATGAAAAATTGATTTTCAAAATCAAAACATACTTGATTTGGAAAAGAACAAAGAGATATAAGTATAAAATAACAAAGTGTTTTGTTACTGCAGACCCTTTTTTTGGTGTTGTGAAATTATATAGAGGTATGTAATGTCTTTTCAATATATGTTCGAAAATCTCTTTATTTCTATTATCACAAGATGCAGAATAAATGTAAACCACATGACATGACTACTATTTAGCAATTTTCTCCTGATCAATATTCTATCATCTATATGAATATATATATTTATCTTAGTTATAAACATGCCGTTAACTTGGGATGTGTGTTCTCTTTAACGTAGACGATATAGACGATGGACAGTAATGCCAGGCATATCCGACATATCTATTGATGAAATTGATTTTTATTCCTAATTCAATTTTAATTTTTGTCATTCGAAAAATCAAACTTCTTTCCTGTTGTATATTAATTTATATAATTTATATATAAATATAAATGAAATAAATAGCTTTACTTATATAATACCTTTATTATACATTTAAAATACTTTATTAATATATATACATATATATAAAAGAAATTGTTATTCTTTTTAATGGTTTTGATGGTTTCCTGATTGTTTCCGATTCTTCTTCCTCGACTTGATCGCTTTTGCTCTTCTATCATCTCCTCTAGATGTATATATAGTGTTTTGGAAAATACGCGAACTAAAGTTATTTAATTTTACAAGTTATCCGCCTGAATGGCAAGAATCTCGATTTTCAACTCAATGTCGTGGGTTCAAATCTCAAGTGCGGTAGAGTTTTGTTTATGCAAGCGCTTTAAGAAGAAAAAATTTATTCTCTGGCTAAATTTATAATAATAACAGTAATAATAATAATAATTTTACAAGTTAGCTTAGAATTAAACCGTGATAATTTTTAAACAACGTCGTCGCTAAATTCCCTGTTCAAAGGCAAAGCACAGAGTCGCTTATAATAAATAAATGGTTAAAAGCCTAACTTAACAACTTAAATGTTAACGCCAATCAGTTATGTTAAATGCTCAACTTAAGAAACCAAAGGGAAACAATTCTGTTAAATAACAGACCAAAGGGATTCAATTATGTTAAAATGCAAAGCCGTCGGCAAAACAAAGATTCAATTCTGTTATATTGAATAACCAGGGATGTTATAACGGTTTTTATTTAGCGTAAAAATGAACATAATTAATATCGTATCAGATAATACTGCAAGTTCTTAACATAAACAAGACGCCTTTACAGGGCTGTACAGCGTATACTAACTGAAGAGTAATAATATGTCTGCTTGAAGTACTAGTTACGACAAGCTAAGAAATGATTTTATAATAAAAGCCAAGGTATGTTGGTATTATTCGATAGACAGGATTGAGTTTCTTTTCTTTCCGAACGTTTATACGAACAGATGAAGACTGAGAACCAAAGAAATTGAATATTATACGCATTGAATTGTTTTTGTAGCATAAGAATCCTTCTTGCTAGGTAGAAATAGGAAGACATACTAACATTCACAGAAAACTCGATCAAACCAAGCAGTTCTTCATAAGGTTTTATTCATACTTCATTTTCTAAATCATTGTTTCTGCTGCTTTTCAAGTTTTCATGAAAATCTCTAAGGCCTATTGCTGCCTTCAGCCAGTTCCAGCTTATGTATTTATTGTAAAAACACAAAGAGCAAAGCATGTTAAGTTACCCTATTCCTATAACATTTTGTTTTTTACACGATAGATACGTTCTTTATAAAACCGTGCAAAAAAGTCGTGTAAAAAAAATGCATGCCACATATAGTAAAAGTGAGGGCATGTTCCGTGACTTCAGAAAATCGTACAAGGTGGAAAAACTCTAAAATCTATTTTGAACACTCGTAAAGAAAAAAGTTTTCACATAATTTGGGTATTCCTCGTAGTAGACCAAGTCAAACGCACAAAAACAGAGACAAAGTTAGACTTGTTAGAAGAAATAAATTCGTGTGAAAAGTGCATTTACCGTATTTTTCGAATTGTAAGACGCATCTCAAATTTATCAGATGATTTTTACAAATATATATTTTAATGCTATTCTTATTTATTGTTAACATAACTCTATTCTAATGACAATATTCAGTTCATTTTCACTCTCGTTCAGTTCTATCACTCGTCTCATAATGTCACCGTCCGTATTACTTTCATCTGAACTATTGTTGTCACTCATTTCAATTATCAAATTTAGAGACGTTTTCTTGAAAAAATATATTAATGTTACCTTCGGACCATAAGACGCAATCAAAATTCAAGTCTACTTTGCTACGCAAAGAGATGCGTCTTATAGTCCGAAAAATTTTGTGCTTTTATTGGTGAATCGTGCGAAGAAAAAGGTGGGTATATGTGTAGGAGGCAATTGTAAAAAAATGAAAAACAGGCAATGAGCAACAGGTCCATAAACAAGGAGGTATGGAAATTCGATTGAAAAACATATGAAATGGAAATCCTTATTAAAAAATCTATGTTGTTCAGCATAAAATGATACTCTCATTATTCAATTATCTGCTACAGGAGAAAAATTCATATTCATATTCTCCCTCTAGCTTTTTTAAACAAGTTTTAAAGATTTGAAATTTTTTCCCAATAAATATATATATCTAAAACATAATAAAATGAACCATTCACGATAGAGTAGAAAATTTATTCAATCTTCGATTCGCATTGCTTCTCATGCATACTCGAATACCCAACAAATTGCCCCTAATAAAATCTATTCCTATTTTTCGTAAGGGGAAATTTTTGCCATTGGCAACGCTGCCAAAAAATGGAGAAAACAAGAAAAAAAAAACATTTAGGAGAAAGAAAAGGCTTGGATCAAAACAGAAATGAAAATAAGTGTTAGAAAAATTATTAAAATATCTCAAAGAGTGTAAATTTGTATTTTAAAGAGCCCATAAACAATAATAATTAAACTGCAATATAAAATGTATACGAATTTATAAAATTATTAACCAAAAATTTAAGTAAATGAATGATGAAAGAAAATCTGCAAGAAAAAAAAAAAACGCCAAAAAAAATGAGTGAAAAACTAAAGAAAAAATGTATGAAAATGCAAAAAAAATTTAATAAAATCAAAAAATAATTGTAAACGATAATGCAAAAGTTTGAAATTTTATTACAACTTAATAAAATTACTAAATAATTAATGTGAAAAATATGGGTAAGTTCGTAGGGGGTTTGTGCGAAGCGAGGAGAATTTAAAACAACAATTCCCGTGTATATAATATATAGTACATGTGTTTGCGCCTGTTTATAACTGTATATATAGATGCCCGCGCGTTTTCATGTATGCTAATATCTATTATTATTAATTATTATTACTATTATTTCATGCCGGATGATTTGTTTTATTTAATATGGATAATTTTTTTTGCCCTTTAATTGTTCATCTTTTATTATTTTTTTTATAGCCGATGAGTTATCAGAAATATTGCGAGCTGCCGACAAGCATCCAAACTCACGAGTTTCTAAACTTATACGCACGGTACAGGAAGAGCCCTGTCAAAAGAATATCGTTTTGTTACTTGTCGATTTGGCGGAACATGCTGAATATTCTATAGACTTTGCTATATCGTTAAAATATGTAAGTTGCTTTTTCCTTTTTTTTTATTTGATTTCTTGTTAAATTTAGTAATTAATTTTTTCTCCTTTTTTTTGTTTTTCTTTTTAGTATTTGAACTTATTTGAAGAAATGGGTTTAAATCATGATATGATTTTAAATGAAGCTGGACTTCTATTGATACACTCATCAAAAATCTACGCTAAACGTGTTGATCATGTATTTGCTTTAGTGGAGAGGCAAATTCTGTCTTTAAGTAAAGCCGATCAAGAAATGGAGAAAAAAAAGTGAGAACAAAAAAACAATAGCATTAATAATTGGTCAGACCATAAATTCGTAGCGAAAATCATTGACTTTTTAAGGGCAAAAATACCATGAAAAAGTTGAATCTGTTTGTAGTTCACTTCCGGGGTACATGTTGATGTGATTAGTTTTTTTTTTTTTTTTGATCCTGTAAAATCGGAAGAGAGCGTTGATTTACCTTGGTATTTAAAAAATTGAAATCTCGCCAACAATGCATATTTAAATACTCACAGCTTACTGCCCGTAGATGGTTTATACCTTGAAAATCCTCTACTGCAATAAGACGCATACGGAGACAAAACGATCGACAAATTCTTGCCGAATTCTTTTTTATCCATCATCATGTCTTCGCTGGACTTAGTATATGCCTGAGAATATTTATTGAGTGTCTCTGGTAATTTGTGAGTAGGGAGCAAAAAGTTGGGAAAGTAAAAGTGTTTAATAGTTTATGGTGCAATGTAGCTTAAATTTTTTAAACGGGTCGTGAAAGATGAAAGTGTTTTAAAATTTAATGCTTTATGGATTCTCTGAAATTTCCTTTTGATTTTTAAAAACGTTACAACAAAATGCATACATCCCTCATTCATCGGTAATATATACGTATATTTTTTCACATTCGCGTCTGTACATATTGCTACGGGATTATACCTGCAGATCTAATAATAGAGATTTTCATTTCTTTTTTTTTTTGGTTTTTTCTTTTCTTACATCTTTTTAGAAAGCGACAAGAAGAAGAAGAATCTCCAAGTAATGAAACATCAAATGAAAAAGATACTGGTTTAGAGCGTAAACGTGGCGGTCGTAAACGTGCTCTCGACGATAATCTCGATCCTTATGAAATAGAATTAATTCCGAAAAAGATTCGGATATTGAATGCTGATAAACGTTTCAATTTATCACAAAAAAACGTATCAACAACAACAACAACATTAACAAAAGTTAATAAAACGTCACATTCTCGTTTAGAGAATGATCAATATTTGCATCCAGCTTGTTGGCTATACGGCACCATTTATGATTTAGAAAATGAAGAAGAATTCGATAGTAAACGCAATTATAAATTGTTTACGTATCATATAGAGCATCGTTACAATACTTTAGTGCCGGATATAAATTTTCGTTTGCATTTTAAGGTAAAAGATTTTTTAGAGGCTGAAGCGGATCAACGCGTAGAACTGGGTAACGAAGAAGGCCGCATTTGGCCGCCATTATCGCAGGCTTATGTACAACAATATATCGATTTGGAAAATCATATTTTAAATAAAGAAAAACCAGTACAAACTTCACAATCAAGTACAAATTTTGAGGTTAGAAACCGTGACAAAGAAAGTGCAATTATAACATCGGAAACGCTATTAACAGCAGATGCAGATGCGACAGCAGAAGCGTCAGCGTCATCTGATGCAAATTCTTTAATTAATGTAAATGAAAGTGAAAATCATGACTTGTCATCTATAGAGAATTCCGGCAATAACAACAACACTAGTCAAATATCTGAGACATTAAATGAATTTTGTGAACTTTCAACAACAGAAAATGCAACACCCAATGATACCCAAAACTCTAGCCTTAATAAAACTTTAAATAATACATTGGAAAGTACAATCGATAACGGAAACCTTCAAGAAACCGAACACACATTAAATGAAAGTTCAAATCTTATGGAGAATGAAAGTCAAAATCAATTAACAGAGAGCCAAAATGAAACCGGTCCACAGGATAATAACACAGCAACCGAAGAAAGCCAAAGTCAAAGTCATTCAGTCGAGGCTAGTGACGTGGAAAAGAATCAAACTGCAAATGGTCCCGAAGATAATAGCATAGTTGCAAGTAGTGATGCTTCAAAGAGTGTTGAGTCGGAAATGCAAGATAAAAAATTAATGGAATCTCAACCAATGGAAAATGGTATGCATTTTATAAATTATAAACTGTTTTTATCCAATTTCTATAAACGGGGCCTAGAGAAAATTCATTTGACAAATCCGTTTAAGATTTTCAAAAAAGAAAAAAAAAAATGTAATCATTTTTTTTTAAAATAGTTGCTAATAATTTTCTACGAAAAAAAAGATTGCATAAAATTAAAAATAAAAAATACAAAAAAAAAAATTCCGTTATCTTTAATAAAAGCCAATATAATATGCAATTTTCGAAAAAAGCAAGTCTTAAAATTATGCAAATTTTTTCAAAAAAATGATTAAAATATTTATACATATCCCTCATATCACATTAATGTTGTACTAATTTTTTTTCACTTTATTTCTTACAAGCGAAAATACGTAACAGGGATCCCTTAGAGTTATGTCCTTCCGTCTGTCCATCTATTATTTTTTATGATTATTTGATCAATTCTTAAAACTGAACACAAGATAAGATATTGCAACCACGCCCTTATAGAAGATTTTCGTCGACAGACAGAAATTTCCTGCCGACCAAAATGCATACGTTCTCTTCCTGAAATTGTTTGTGTTCTTGGCAAGCTCAACTCTTATAATGCATTAAGTTTTTTCATCGAAATTAAATCCTCCCCTTTCCCAGGGACTTTTTCCTGATATTCGTAATAGTTTTGCGTTTTCCGATTTCAAAACTTTAAATTCTTTACACAATAACTTCGATGCATGGATAATTTCATTTTGCCGCTGGGACACTGAATCCGCATATTCATGTTACGTTTCCAACAAAACTCTTTTGCATTCTTTTAACTTTTTCAGTTTTCGAAGCACTTCAATAATTTTGCTTTTGTTCATTGTTCTTTTCGTTCGTAAGTTCATATAACTTTTTCAGTTCTTGCAATGATTTACTGATTTCTACGTTTTCCTCCTGTAAAATCTAATTTCTAGATTTGGCTTGCTGCAGTATGTTCACTTCATCTTCTAACAATTCTAAATGTTGTTTCTGTTCATGACCCAATGAACAAATATTTGTTGCATGTTGTGCTCCATTCGCTGTGAATCATTATCGCCGCTTAAACGCTGCAATTGACGTTTAACGCATTCATTCTCGACAGATAGTTTTTCCACAGGGCTTCCACATCCATTCTACGCTGATTTTGATGTTCAGATACTTCAGATACGCTAATTGAAGTTTTACTTTCTGTATAGGACTCTACCATTTCTTTCATGATCATTAGAGATTTCTTGTCGGCCTTGTTATATCTAATCCTCCTTCTTCTGTTATTTAGCAAATTAACATCCGAAAATTCGCTGGGATGTGTACAAAAAGCGCAAAATGCTTGACACATCCAAAATTAAATGAGCGAGTCTACTGCATACAATTGCTTCCTATAAATTTGGCGGTTTAAGAGACTGAGAGTTTTAGCCTCTTTAGCTGCGAACTTCTTCAATCGAACTTCTTGGGATTTTATTTCTTCTAAAAATACAACGGATTTCAACTTTTTTTGGTTTCAATAGAACTTTTTACTACGAATCATAAACTGGCCGACAGACATAGGCGAAAACAAATGTAATTTCATTTATGAAGTGTAGGCCAATGGACAATATTCATAGGTTCAAATCTCAAGTCCGATAGAGTTCTTTTTTTTTTTTCTTTTTTTTTTAGTCATAGCTTTAGCCAGTGCTGCTTAAACGGTAAAGACATAATATTTATCGATCGGCTACACATCTACTACGCCGTAGCCATAACCTCCTTATTCCTTTCTTACTCCTCTTTTCTTCCTGACAGTTGCCGTGTTAACACGTATCGGCGGACAATCCTTTAGTGATTGGTCATAATAACAAAAAATACATATGTAAGTGTTTAGCCATTGATCACGTAAATTGTTCAGGCTAGGGGGGAACCTTTCCAAAAAAAAAGAAAAAACAAAATTTCCTTACTCTATAATATTGAATGGGCGCGGCTAATTTTTTCGTATAAAAGTGAAAACTAACTGCAGTTTATAAGCAAAAAGCCATCTTCTACATATGTTGGCCCGCCAAGCCCACCTATTTGATGCCCTTATCGACGGGACGTCGGTACTTCCACGATATTTAATTTAGAATTAGTGCATTTTTAAATGCATCGCAAATCTTCATGTGAGTAATACATAGTACAATTTTCCTTTAATTCTGTCTTGTTTACCTTATGAACAATAAACTGAAAAAAAAAAGAAAAATGTGATCGCTTATAATTACTTGTATAAGCCTGACCGTGTTTTTACATTTTTCTACAGATGCAGCAGGGCCATCCATAGAAATTAGATACGAATTTTTACCGTTGATTTATAAGCAACGAACAAAGAGCCAATTTTTTATTTCGTTTTAAAAACAGAGAGGTTCCCGGTTTAGGTGGCGCTGTGATCGTCCCCTTTGACCGATTTGCCCCGTTTTCAATATCCATCTGTGTGCAAGATCTTTTAACGTTTCGGCTGAATTTCAAGCCGTTAGATTCGTTTTTGCGACTAGGAGCATGTTCATCGCCGACGACATGACAGACGGACATACTTAAATCGATTTATAATTCGATGTTGATTAAGAATATATATAGACTCTGCGGGATCTCTGAAGGTTTCTTCTAAGATGAATATAAAAAAACTTTTACTTCATATTATTAACATTACTTTCATAATTTCTTTTTGAATTATTTACAAAAAATTAATAACAATTAAAAAAGCTTTTAAAAAAACTCCTTTGAAAAATTTTCGAATTTATAAAAAATTTTTTTTTAAAATGCTCGGCAAATTATTTACTAAAATATTTATAAAAATGCTTTGGCTTGGACTTATGCAAACATTTTCTTCGAAAAATTAAAAGTAAAATTTTTTGTTGTTGTACAATTAAAAGTAAAATTAAGATTTGTACATTTTTTATATATATATATATGCGGAATTTTTTTTGTGTAAAAAAAATCTTTTCTCAGATGATTGCAAAATCAATCTGAATGAAATACGTATACACCTGCCACATCATGATGACGAAGGAGTTTATTTTTCCGATTTGGATGAAAATGAACAGAGAATGTTATCACCTAAAGTCATAGCTACAGATATATTGCCCCTCATACCCAACAAAGAAAACATAACCATTGTCATAGATGCTGAAATACGATCTTTATTGAACCTAGGCGATGATCATGATCAATCGGAGGGGGCTATTCATCTGCCCATTACCGTAAAACCGAACGAACCGGAATTGCATTTTAATATTTTTCAAATTCCTGAAAAATATTTCAAAAAAAAGGTCTTATTTAAATTGGGCACAGAAATGGATTTATATATGAAAGCGGTAAGAGAATTATTCTTCTTATTATTTGATTATTAAATTAATTAATGTTGTCATTTTTCTAATTTAAAGCGCCTTTTGAAACGGGCCCGTGGCGTTCAAGAGACCTGCAATTTGCGATTATACCGTCAGTTAAAATTATTCCCTTTAAATAATACCGATATCTCAGATATTTACTTAACACCGATGCAAAGTCCGGCACAATCTGATTTCTTGGGTTTTACCGATAATGAAGATTTTTGTAGAATGTCGGTGCAAAGTCCAGCACTGTCGGATTTTTTGGGTTTTACCGATAAGGAAGATGAAACGAATCAAGAACGTCGTTTAACTCTAGACTCAGGTGTGGATGTTGTTACTGCTGGCAATGGCAACCAAAAAAAAACACACAATAATGGCGAATGTGAAGATAATGGTAATAAAGTAAGTGGAGATAAGGAAAATCCCGCAGATTTAAATGCATCAGAAATAGTACAAAATCTAACAACGACAGATAATGAAAACTCCGAGCGAACTCTAACTGCTGAGAATGAAAGCCAAGAAGAAAACTTACAATCCCAAATGACTTTAAATGCCACGCATCTAAGGAATACAGAGTTGGAAAATAGCGATTATGTTGACGATAACACGGAATTAACTAACATGCTTCCAAACGACGATGACTTTAGAGACATAGAAATTCAAAGCAATAAAACTAAGGTAAGTTTAGTTGCAAAGTTACAAAGAATCATATTTATGCATCACATATTTCGAAAAAAAAAAAAAGAAAATCATACAAAGTATCTAAGAAATTTTTCCTGTTTCATCGCTTTTGAGCGATTTTGGAGTTTTACGCAACACGTTCTTGTTATTATAAATCAAAAGCCAATTTTATCTTGTTTAATTAAAAGATGGTGACTCTGCAAGTTAAACATAAGATAAATGAAACGTTAAGGTAATGAAATTGTATGAAATAATTTATCAAACGCATATACTGAACACACCTCCCCGCAGTCCTGCAATAGTACGCTCCTGCCAGCAGTTGAAACGATAATGAATGAAAAAATGCAATATTCGGAAATATAAACAAAAAAAATTTCATTTTCGTATGGATGAGAAAATTTCATTTTTGCTGAGAGTGAAGAATATTCAGCTTTTATTGGTAGCGCGAATTTCAGAAACATAAACAAAGTTTCTATAATTTTAGTTGCCTGGGAGAATGAAGAGAATGAATGTTTAATTTTTGTGGAGAGCGAACTTTGGAAACACCCGAGATTGCAATTTTTTTTCATTTCTCTCTTTGATCATAAAACTTTAAACAAAATTCAAATTTTGTTGTGAGAGCGAAAGTCAGAAACATGAGCAAAACATCAAACATTGTTGGGAGCGACACTTGGAAACGAAAAAACTTTTCAACTTTTGTTGAGAGCGACATTCCGACAAATAAAAAATATTGGTGTAACCTTCGTTGCGTGAGAGAATATTCGATTCTTGTTAAGAGAGAAATTTCATTCTTTTCTTTTGTTGTTGGTGAAACTCTAATCAAAATTTAACTTTTGTTGTGAGAGGAACATCCTCAGTTCTCTTGAGTGCGACCCACAGAAACGAAAAAACTTTCCCAACTTTCGTTACAGCAACACTGGGGAACATAATAAAACTTCTAATTTTAGCTGGATGAAAAAACTCAAACATTTTTAAGAGCGGGACTAGGCAACTAACAAAAATTGTATCTCGAAGCGAAAGTATATAAACTTTTGTTTAAACTAAAGCAAATAGAAAAAACTGTATTTTGGAACGAAACTCTTGGCAAAATCACTCTTTTTGTTGAAAGTGAACACAGAAACATAAATCAAAATCCACTTTTGTTGAGAGCGACACTGAGAAAAAAAAGAAAAACTGGGAGCGAAACTCTACACAAAATTCATTCTATACCAAGGGCAGCACTCAGAAATCGACGAATGAGAAAATGAAATTTTCGTTTTGAGCAAACCTCTCAACAAAACAAAACATTCAACTCTTGTTTGAACTGAACCACTGGCGCATAAACTAAAACTCAATTCTTGCTAAGAGCGAATCTCTGAAGTAAAAAGGGTGCATCTCAGAGAGAAATTCTCGGCAAAATTCACTTTGTTTTGAGAGTGAACGTAGAAACAAAACAAAATCCATTTTTGTTGAGAGCGACACTCGGAAAACGAATAAAAATTGGGAGCGTAACTATGAACGATATTGAATTTGTATTAAGAATGAAAAGCAGAAACGGATGGATGAGAAAATTCAGTTTTAATTTTGATGCAAACCTTCAAGCAAAATACAATTTTTGCTCCGTGTACGACACGGAAAATCTGTGCTTGCTTTGCTAAAGGAAAGTAATTTGGTTTTGAAAAACTGACCGTAAGGAAGTTATGCATAGATTTCATTTACATAAGCATTGATAGAAAGCAAAATGCAATTCATAAACTGAAAGAAATCTTGTTCTGTACAAAAATCGGTAGCTGTATGCTTAAAGCACTTAAATATAAGATTTTTTTTTTTGGAAATGAACTCTTTAAAATAATACGGTGTTTGAAATATGGAAAATATGATTTTGTTTTATTTTCATTATTACATTGCTGTTTTACCTGTTAGAAGCGAAGCATGCGAGAATTTTAAAATATTTGCTAACAATTTGTGGCGATACAGTAAGCAATGCAAGGTCTTTATCCGACTACTTATGAAGGCATCCAATCAATTTCATTATATTTAACGGTTTACAAAAAAAGCTTTACTTTAGGTTTTATGAGAAAGCACTTAAGAGAGAGGAAATAAAGCCAGAATAAACAAAAAATGGTTAAAATCGGAGTGGTTCAAGAAATACGAAAATGCTTCCCTAGTGGTTCCGCTGCAGTTCCTTATATTGTAAGACCTTATAAACAAAAAAATGATAATAATAAGAATCAAGGAATAAGAAAATTCGATAATTCTTTTGGATGAGACTGATGGTGTTGAATGGCCTACAAACTTCCAGGTTTAAATAACGGAAGAACCCCTTTGTGTGTTTGTCTTGGACTACTCCGCTTTGATGATTAGCAAATTTCCTAAATTTTGTTTTTTATGGAAAACAATTTCGGCAGAAGCGCCTTGCAAGTAGATGATTTTGCATGCTTGCAGATAAGTTTATCAAGAGATTCACAAATCGTTCATGCTTCGCATTCTCTTGGCCTGGTACTACGTCACCCTAGAGTATGGTTTACGAAATGTCTAAATATCTAAAAAGACGGAAACAGGAGAAATATATTTTTCCACAAAAAGAGAAAACGACGTTTCCCTGCTGACAATATTTTCTGATTTCATTATCGTTACACCGTCCACCCTCTTGCCCTGGATTGTGATTTTAATTACTTAGAGAGTAAAATCTGAGGCTATTTCATAAATTCATTAACCTTATTCCTAAAGCTAGCGATTCCCAAAAGCCTTGTATTCGGGAATTACATGCAAGCAGTTTTTTTTTTTTTACACGATTTTTAAATAGCACAGTTCACCAATGATAACAAGAATTTCGACGGTATCTGACAGAAACTTATGTATACCACAACAAAATACAATTGGAGGAAATATCATGTGGGAAATTCATTTTTATTCGTAATTTCAATTTCCATTTTTGCGTTTTGTCCGTATGGACTTAAATTTTCAGTGTAAAATAATTTTAAATCATTTTTGTAATAAATTTTTTTTTTTCCCCATAAAACGTCATATGGACTTTATTATTACTTTTTTTGTACGTTTTTGTTGCGAAAATATTTGCGATTTTTCATCTTGCACGATTTTTTAAAGTTTTGTAACAAATCCCCAAATTTACCATGAATTGCATTTTTTTTTTACACGATTTTATGCAAAGATTTATAAGGAATCCATCTACAATGTAAGAAAAAAGAGTTGGGTATTTTAATATAAAAAAAAAAGCAAACATACGTAACGACTCTACTTGGGAGTTTAAGCACTGAATATGACGGTTCCCTTGTGCATGGCTAACGAGCTTTCAAAATAATATATATTGTGCGTTTTTAAATGTGATGTAATTATAGCCTGCGTTGCGTTGTGTTGCGTGAACGGAAATTTGTAACAAACTTTTATTATTGCATATGTAAACAAACGCTAGTCGTATGATTTTATTTTAGCAGCTTACGCAAGCTATGGGTTTAAGTGGTCACCTCGACGAAAGTTAGTTTTAGCAATTTAGCGAAAATTGGCGAAAACGAACGTTAAATTTTCGTTACATGATTCTCCCCCAGATTTTGTGTTATACGTTATGTGCGGTTGCACCCCACATTGTGGTCAGCGATTTAGAGCAACGCAGTAATTAAAATGCCAACATTAGAAACATTTTGCTATGTTAAATATCATAGCTTTTTTATTTACACATTTAACAGTGATCTTAAAATTATTTAAATCGACATTTTAATGCATAGAATGGATTATTTTTTTTTACTATTTTTTAAAATGATTGATACTGCATAATATTTTACATAAAATATAAAAAATGGTTCAAATGGTAAACATTTATTGTGCCCTATATCATCAATATATTAAGGTATACTAAGTGTATATGGATGTATACAACAGGACTCAGGAGAAAGATTCACATTTTATTGGGAACCATTTTTTGAATCGATTTATGCTTGTCTGTCCATTTGTCCGTCTATCTTTTAATGTAATCAATGTACAAGTTGGAATTTGTGAGATATTTTCATGAAATTTGATACACTGACATAGCCCAATGACGAAAGCTATTGAAAATGATTTCGATCGTAGCACGTTTTCGTCCAATTCCCTTCTAATGCCTTATCTTGAAAAGTCATTATGTTCATAATAGTATTAAGTGTTGTAGGGTACGTAATGATCGTGGTGACTTCTAAAAGGTATAGCGGATAAATGCGACTGTCAAGTCGATATACATGTCTAGGTTGTAGCCCTAATGCACTAGACTCTTATTTGTAAAATTAATTTTAGATAAGTATTATTACAAAAAACATTAATTTCGGGAATAGAAGGGTTTATGTCCAAAAATTTAAATAATTGACCAAGCTCTTTCAAGTTTTTAATCGTTTAATAATTCACTTGAAATTTTTAAAGCCCCTTAATAATAATCTAGTACGTAGCCAAGCCAAATCTTCACTAATCAGTTCATTATCGGTTCGTTTTTAATAATAGTGAAATTATACTGACAATACAGAGTTTGCTCTAATTGAAATGGTCGCAGCCCCCAGTAAGACTAAACTGTCTCTTTCGGTACATGCACTGGTTGCGCCCACTTTCCTATCTCTTTCTCTTTTCTCACTTCTTTTTGACCACGACCGTGTTACTTGTCTTCTAAATGTTTGGTGATAGTAGTATTTTTGTAGTACAACGTAACGCTTTCACTTTATTTACTTTATCAAGATCTAAAAGCAATACGGAATATGTTTAATATATCTTTGTCGCATGCGTATATATGTATATGTACGATACGTCATCTCTATCGTAAATTTTGAATCGATTGCGTGTTCATTGTTTAAAGCGGAATTGTGAGTCTGTCGGGCACGACGCAATAAGATTTGTTTGAAAAATGATAATCCTTTGCCTTATATATGTACGCTTCAGCATTTTTGTCCCAAACTTTGGAAACGATTGAATCCTCTTTGCTTAGAAAACGTGGGCTCTTTTGTGACTGTGGTCATGTAAGGCATATCGTAATAAGATTCGTTAGAAAAAAGGGGAGTTCATCTTGACATCGCAACTAATTGTCATTTTGAATTTTTGTGTTAATTTTTCAAAGGGCACAAGGTGTGTCCGATCAGGTTTACGAGAGAAAAAATATATATTTTTTTTAAAAACTTTCACTTATACGCGATTCTTTGAATATTCTTATTGCAGATTCAACAGTGGCATGATAATTTACGCCCCATACTTGCCAAATCCCGTGATCGTCATCATTTCGATGTATTTCAATTGGGTACGGAAATCATTGAAACAATTCAATCGCATTCTCATTCACGACGAGACGAGAATGAAACACTCGAAAACTGCGATAGTAATTATCGTTCATCGTCGTGTACATCTACTACATTTATGGATATTATGAGAGAAAAGGACAAATCATATGTTTCGAGATATTTTTTATCGACTTTATTGCTGGTCAATCAAAATAACATCGAATTGTCCTTAAAGCAAAAGAGTAGTGAAAAACCCACTGATTGGAATGATTTGCATATGAAGTTAAAAAGCACTAAACGTTATACGGTGGCGATTGAAGACAATATTGGTCTGATAACGACGACAGTTAATACAAATGTTAACGTATCGCCAAACAATACAGAAAATCAAACGCCCGCCCTCGACACTGAAACGAATAACAAAGAAAGTCGCGAAAGAAAGGCGCAAAAGCGAAGTAGCCTTAGTACGGGAGATAAATTGTCCTATAGTAAAATGAGAATTTTACAAAGATTGGAGAAAGAAAGAACAGAGCAGGAATTGAATTCAAATTCAATAAATGATGATGATTTTGCTGACCACTTTAAGGAGCCTTCGCAAGCAACCCAACTAAAAGGGGTAAATGCTTTAATCACATCGACGCCTTTAAATGCTAAACGAAAAGCATACTTTCAATCGGATGAAGTGCAAACACCCAAACAGCAGGCTTTAAGTAAAGATCGTTTATCGGAAACGATATTGTTAACATCATCACGTCCACATATTAATCGTAGATCTTCTACAAATTCCAAAATTTCTGCCTTAAAAACAAAAACTACACCCGCTCAAAATTCAAAATGTGATAACAGTTGCAATATTACTTCACCACCTAATCGTGAGATCAATTTAAATACTTCTTCGCAAAGTTCCGATCAACCCACTACAAGTCTGCAAGCGAAACGAATGGAAACGTTGCAATATAATTGCAATGCGGTAATGAGATCATCGCCTCTTTTACTATTAAATTCAATAAAACCATTAAAACCGATACAAAAAGCGCCGCAGCAAAGTGACGATTATGATTCCGGTATATATTCGAATGATGATTATTTAATCCCTGTATTACCCACCACAATATCCTAGCGAAAGCATGACAATTTTAATTTTAATTTCGATATTTAAGTGATACAGTATTGAATTTATTTAAAAAAAAAAAAAAAAAAAAACAAAAAAAAATCGACAATTTTCATGGATGAAAATTATGGAGAGTGAGAGCAAAAAAAAAAAAAACCTCGTGGAGCAATCACATGTGGATAACATCACTTTCGCTTTCAGCTGTTTTTGCGAACTACCTGAAAGCTGAAAGTTAACTTTCAACCATATGTAATTACCCCCAGCTATATATTTACAACTCATACACAAGTTTACAATTTTTTTTTTTTTTTCATATATATTTTTTATATATACACCTTTTATAGTTTCCTTTAACAATCATGTAAAGAAAATAATTTTCTTATTAAGAAAGCGGGGAAAAAGAGCAAATAGAAATGAAAATTATTTGATTATCAAAATGCAAGAAAGTATTTTTGATGGCTTAACTAAAAAACCAGTGCTTGTAACATTTAAGAATAGACAAGGTGATAGTCATATATCTGAAAGCTAGCTTTCGCTTCGGTATTCAAACAGCTGGGATACAAAAGCGAAAGTTAAGTTTTTCATAAGTGATTACCACCATCACCAAACAAGAAACTTTTTTCATCTATTGTTGATTTTCAGAAAAGAGAGAAAGATGAATAAACAGACTAGAGTTATCGCTCTTTATAAAGCAATTATATAAGAATAAGATCACTACCTTTTAAGTTTTATTATTAGATAATTGAAAATGTTTTTTATTATAATTAAAGTGAAAATGCAAAAAAAAAAAACATAATTGTAAAGCGTATTGAAATCAAATAATTTTCCCTTTTAAGTATTTTTATAAAAACAAAACTGCATGCAAAAATATATATTATTTTTAATAATTTAAGCGCCCCCCCCTATCATTGACAAATTGACATTATCGACTCCATTTAAGATTACTTTTAGCTTTGACCACGTTCAAGAATTTTTTATTGCTTTTTTTTTTTCTTTTTCTTTCTTTTGGAATATTTATTTTTTTATTTATTTTTTTTTTTTAAATATATATATACTTTTTACTGCCATATATTTAGTTATTGTACCTGATCTTCGTATGAACGAGGTAAAGGCTTTTTTGCTTTTGAATTATTATGCAATTAAATTTAATTTCTATAGCAGTTTTGACTTAAAAAAAAAAAAAAAAAAAAAGTACATTTTAAGACCACATCGAGTACTTTTAGTACATTTATATTTACACTTAGCTTTTAAGCCGAATTACTTATAATGTAGATAATGGACTTAAATGAAAAAAGTTGGAATAAGAAAAAAAACAAAAAAAAAATACTTTACATAGACCTATATTTTTGTTAGAAAAAGTTTTTAAAACAAAAAATATCAATAATAATAAAAATGAATGAATTAAAAAATCTTTAAAAATCACAAACTTATTACTATTATTATTGTATAATTTATTTAGATGAAATAATAGATAAATTCTAGGAGTAAAAATACGATGAGCAAAAATAAGCCAGATTTTCGGTACTTGCTTCTTTTTTTTTGTGTCGAGGTAAACTACACGGTTGACCCAGTTTTAATGAACTTCTCTGAAATATTCTACAGATATTATATAATCTCCCAGATTAGATGCGAAAAGCGAGTCTGAAATTGACATTCACAGAGCACATGTTTAATCCTAAAATTTTATTCACAATTGCAAATTGAGCGAAAAGATTTTTTTTAAAGATCCGTGATACGACCCAGGAGGATTCTTGAAAATCTGTTGACCCCGGGCGGATGGAGGGATCAAATAGTTACAAAATTTATTTGAAGTAAAGAAACATTGATCACAGATAAATGAAAACGTTTTTAGAGACCTGACGTTCGATTTTCGCATATTTTTGAACATTTTGCGTTAATTCTTCGCATATATTTGTACAAGTGGTTTTATATAATATATAATCTTATATATATAAATGTATAAAGGTTTTCATATGTTTCTTTTCTCTTCTGGATCGGGCAGTCAACGCATTGACATAATATTGTACGACAGTCTTTCGTTGCCCGGTCCTTGAAATTCGTGTATAACTATAAACAAAGACTGTTCGAGTCTGGCACCGCAAATGCCAGCAGTCTCGGAAACAATTTTCTGCTTTCTTCTGGAAGTGAACATTTACTTTTCATTTATTTTTTTTTTGTTGAAAAATGATCAATTATTTAGCGAACGCGGTGAAGGTCAAGAAAAGAATATGTTCGCAGGCCTATGGCCGTTTGTCCCAATCGGTAAGGACGTAATGTCTATGTCTGAAAACACTCACCATCTGTCTGATCGTTCGGCGTCTCCCATTGCAAATCACTGGACGGAGTAGATAATAGGTAGGCTAGGATAGAGAATCGCCAGCGGCCTATGCACGTTCGATGAGTAAGTTTTGTGTGTCCGTTCTTCCCTGTAAGGATAAAGCACGTGTATTTCTTTTAGATGTAGTCGTGTATGGAGTGACCGTGGGACAAACACCCTCAAATATTCTGGACTACCTAGCGCGGCAATGACACGTCCGTCCGTCTGTACCACTATCAATCGTCTTCAAGCGCATTTGGCGTAATCCTATAATAATAATTAAGTCAGTAGTTCGATATTTAGACAGGCAGGGAGGATTGGCAGACATAGCCATTACAAGTGCTATGTTTTCACATGCTGAGCATTTGCGACCTAGAGTAAACTTTACCGCGCTGAGATTTCAACCCATTAACATTAGCGATTCTTATCTATCTTACCTACCACTCACCCGGTAAATGCTTGTGATAAAACGGTAAAGGTAGGTTCGGCCTTGAAGACTTTTTTCATATTGAGTTTGCACTATCTATGGTATGTTTTAAATTTATTCAAATGAATATTAAATTATTTAAATGACATAAGACAAACTAAATATTATTCAATCGATTTATTAGCGCTCGTAGAAGAGTCCCTTTTATATAAATCATTTAACGATTGCTTGATGTTTGCTTCAAATCTAATATATATAAAAAAGAAAAAAGTATTAACGAAATATTGTTATATTAATTAACACCTCTTCTCACCTCTTAAAGCGTTCAAAGCGATTAGTATAAGTTTTTAGTTCGCCTTCTAGATTTCTAACTAAATATTGTACACGGCTTTTTACTTCTTTCATTTTGACGCGTTGAGTCCCTGCTTCACTTAATAATTTTTTAGTTATTTGTTTTACTTTCTCGATAATATAATCCTCATCGGTTAGTAAATGCGAAGGATATAAGGGCTTAGAAATTTTATTTCCATAAGTTTTCAATGTATTATTGACTTCTGTAAGTAATTGTTGAATCATTTTCGTTAGATTTATACGTATATGTAACTTATTTACCAATGTTAATAATACTTTTTACCTTTTTGGCCCAAACAACCAGTGCCAGATGCATAGACTACTTGTGCAGAATTATTGGCTTTTTCTTCATTTCTATTATTACCGTAAGTGAGCGAGCGTAAGTCGCTAATCGGCTGTAAATCAATCTCGTCATTCCATAAATTTATCGATTCCACTGCCAGCTCCCTATCAGTATTGCTTCGTAAAGATAACGTATCGGATAAAGCTGATTTTGGTTCACGTATTAACGAAATATTAATCGGATCGCTTAATTGATTCGATGTCTGAATAATGTCATTCCTCAATACGCAGGGGCTTGATGAGTGTAAAGGATCACTTTTAGTTCCTTGATTATCAATGTCGTATATAAGATTGAGTTCCATTTCTATAGAATTATGTATATCATTGTCTTTCGCACTGCTAAGGTACGTTTTTTGCCGCAATAAAATATTTCGTATTTCGCTAGAAGTTGACGTAACCTAAAATAATTAAGAATATTACAGTCGGGTTATACATTACTGTCACGTATGAAATTTAACAAACCTAATTTACTTACTAAAGATTCAAGTAATTTTCATCTGTGATCGTTATAAAGAAGTATAAGGGCTTGCTTAGGTTTAAAACACGAAGATCTACGTGATTCAAGTTCCCCCCATTAGTCAATTTTTAGACTTTCTTGCTACTATTGATCAGTTTTCATTATAAAAGTTAAAATATAAAAAATTAGACCTTTCTGCCGCCACATAAGGGTTTAATTTTTCATAAGAATCCTTAGACTTAGACACTAGGTGCAAGAATTACACCTACTAGACCCAAATTTAATATACTTATGTTTTTTAACAAATTGCTCTCACTAACCCCTTTTCATCATAAAACATGGGACATTTCTTGTTTTTGCCAATGAATCTAAAGAATAGATCTCTTAATGTTCAAAATTCCCTAAGATTAGTTTCTATCACGAGTTATAACGATGGATCAATTTCAATGCAGAAATATTGAAAGTCTATATTCCTATCGTATAGATATTCGATATCTATTTATATGGCAGGGGATTCAAAAAATTTCCCTTACCCGATCCAAAATTTTCATATCAAACGAAACATTTTAATTAATTGTGATCGCGTTAGTTTGGGTTTCGGAATTTTTGCTTTGATACCGCCCCGATTTTCGAAAAATATTTCTGATAAGTCACGGGCAGATTATTTCAACGCTCAAAATTAATTTGTGATGACATTATCTAAATAGTAGTTCCAACTTCTTATCTCAAATTCTTCCCCGAGTACACGAACAACCGATGCTCGCACATACGGACTGAATAATATCGTTTTCGAATTTACCCTAATCTAGACTACATTGCACGCTTCTTTTTGAATCGAATATAAGAAACAGCAAAAAAATAAAACTTTTTCTCGTGTACCGCTCTTGTTTGGGGGATTTCTGCATTAAAAAACAACTAAGAGCATTAGAGTTTTTTGCAAAAATTCCAGGTTCAAGGACATTAATTTCATGAGCCTCTTATTTCAACTGACACAATAAGAACAAGAAAGGAAAACGAGTTAGAAAATTGTATTCAGCGGTTGACTGAACCCTTTTATAAAGAAAGGAGAATATCGTACACCACTTTGTCGAATGCAGTTATTCGCTCCTTTGAGTAATAATACACCAAAAAGTAGAAATTAGTTTCATGCAAAGCCATAATTTCCATGAAAGCCCTCCGCATATTGAGAGATTTTGTCTCCCTATAAGAGAGAACCGACCCATGTGATGGCCGAAACTCCCTACAGTTAATTTTTTGGTTGATACGCTATTATGAATTAATTTTAATCGTAAAGCACTAAAAATGAACACTTTTTCCGAAGAGTTTACCACTCATGAGATATATTATATGGAATGGAGCTACGAAATAGACCCATATGATTTAAATTAGGTCTACTTAATTTTTTTCTTTAATTACTATCATGAATAAATTTTCATTATAAAAACATTAACAATTAGGCTTTTTTGGCATGTGAGGGTTTACGTTTCATGAGAATCCTTATAAGCTGTGGTATCCAAAAAATAGACCTATATGGCCCATGAAATATTGAAAATTCGACCTTTTGATTATATAATGCTTCAGTTTTCGCAGGAACAATTATATGAGAGGGAGATCAAAAAATTGCCAAGCTTGGCCAAAGTTTTCATATCAATTTAAATCACCGAAGCATTACTACTCAGCCACATTTTTCCCGAGAAATTTTGAAAATTACAATTTTTTTGCATACAACGACTTTTCAAAATAGGCCCTTATATGGAGAGTGATCGAAAAAGTGGACCGATCCGAACCATTTTCAAAATCATTCGTTCTTGGGTAAAAAAACACGTCTGTGTGCCAAACTTCGTCAAAATATCGCAAAAATTCCCACCTATAGCCTGAAGGCAAAAGCACATGATAGACGGACAAACACGATTCTGAATCGATCAGTATAATAATAGGTGGGCCTATCTTAAACCCATCTGATTGTTTCAAACGCCCGCACAAACTTAATACACTCTGTACTGGAAGTGGTGTAGGGTGTAAGCACAACAAAACCAACTTACGCTAACTGCGGCTGATTTATTCTCATCGTTTTGGATGGTTTCCTTCTTCTTAGGTATGTTATTCATTGCTTTCGCTTTTCGTTTCCTGATTGTTTTTATCGGTGGGACTTGCAACGATTCATTTACTCCACTATTTGAACTCTTATTAACAGCCCCACGATCTTTCCAATTTGCCGCTTCTGCTATATTATTATCCTTATTTGTTTTAAACAATTCGTTAGACATCAGCTCAATAAACTCAGTGCTGTTAATGGGCTCATAATTGCTTATATCATTATATGTTGAAACTTTTCGTGTCCTCTCCGAGCGATTTAAGTTTACCAGTTCTACGGGTTGAACGAACGATTTTGATGTTGAAGCTAATGTACTTGAATTTGCTGCTTCCGTTGATTTTTTTCTCATTGTTGTAGCATTTTTAATTGATGCCGAATTTTTACTGTTGCTATGTAGTCGTTGCATAGAATGACTTTTCGTTACATTAGTATTCGATAATTTTGATGTTTTTGGGGTTTCGATTGCATCAATTATATCCATTGGTTGCTGAAACCTTGGTTCAGATCTTGCCTTCACTGACTGCATCGTAGGCACTGGTATTAAGCTGTTGTTGTCATTGGCTTCACCAATTAATAAATTCAAACTTTTTCGAAACTTATTAGAAAAATCTAGAAAATATATATTTTTTAAAATTTTCAATTAAATTAAACAAAAAACAATAATTAGCGTTCGTCTAAAATATCTCAAAAACTTGCGATCTGTAGCTTGAACACACAATTACATGGACAGACATCAACTCGGAATGGATAGACGGACATACACTTCTGCAATCTTACAGCGATGGGCTAAATAAGAATCCCAATTACCATGTCAATGCGCGCGAATTTAAATATCATTGTGGTAGAGTTCACCTTGATTGTAACTAGTGAGAGAAATGGGAGAGGAAATGCGGCCAGTACCTACCCTTCTTAAGTATAAAAAATGAACAAAAGCATGACAGAAAAAGTTCCGTTCACAAATTAAAAACAAAACACAGAACTCGCTTAAATGAACCTTAACCAACTATTGATGACAACTCTGTCAAAAGTTGCTAAATTTCGCCACTTCGAGCTCAAAGTATTTTAGACTTTTTTTTTTTATATTATTATATAATTTTTCTTAAATAACTCGAAACTGACCTCCTTGTCTCGATGAAGATTCTTGAGATACACTACTGCAATGTGTATTTACGCTGTTATGATCATTAACGTATTCATGTTCATTAAAGTGATCAAAAAAATCACGATTACATTTTAATCGGGTCACTTCCTCATCTGACAAAAATAGGCATATGGTTTTGTAACCATTCAATTCTTCCAATACATTTGAATACTTGGACAATCGCACAGGTTCAGTATAATGGACAATTAAAGTTTTTCTTTCTCTAAAATGAAAAAAATTAAAAAAAAAAAATAATTAAATAAAAATCAAGTTGCATTAAAGTTGAAATGCATAAGAAAATCAGATCCGTATAGGAAAATGAGAAGGGGTTCAAAAAATTGCCTCTTTCCCAAATTTTCACACCAATTTAGAACGCCCAAATACTATTACTAAGCGATTTTTGTTGTAAAATGTTGAAAATTGTACTACATTTTCATATCAATATAAGGCGTTACATAGAGAGCGATCGAAAATATCGGCCCTTTGTGCACCAAAGCACATCAGTCTACCAAACTTCAAGGTATCGCGCAAATTACGGGCTATGGATTGAACACAAGAATACAGAGACAGGTAACAGATGGACAGAGGGACATACAGGTTTAGATCCGTTCAGAAAATGATCCTACATCGATCGGTATAATAAAGACGTAAAAAAATGATATTCGGTCGTGACCAAGTCTTTTACGCCCATCACCATTAACCTATGAAGGATTGAAAAAAAGAAAAATATCTATCTACATATACATTATGGGTTTTCTTAATATTCTTGTAGAATAATTTGGGGGAAATTTATATTGTATATCATATTGTTGTACTTTATGAAAAGCAAACGGCACAAGGCAAAGGCAGGAAAACAAAAGTGTTATCATTTTTGATTGTACAAGCATGTGGACTATGAAGGCATGTTCTTTGATCTGTTTGGACCATTTTCAAATTCCTTTCAAACAATATGCAGTTGATATTTTCCTTTTCAAGGATGGAAAACTGTGTGCTACATATACTACATAATTTGGTAGACGGACAAATGGGCGAACTAGCAGACAGACAGATGTACGGACAGATGTACGGCAGACGGGCAGTGAGCCAGAAAATGTATTCATCTTATGTAATCCGGATGAATAGCCGAGTAGGCAAAGAATCGAGACTAATAATTCAATGGTTGCGGGTTCAAATCTCAAGTGAAGATGATTTATATATTATCTGACAGCCTTTAAATCCATACTTTTTAAATTTGTTTACAAAACATTATGGGATAATCCCCAAAACTTTTTTCTAGGTGTTTTGACAATATTAATATGCCGCTTATCCATCGTTGATGGGTATTAAAACAATGAAGAAAGGTGGAGGAGGACCATCTCTACAATTAATTTAGTGTCGTATGGATGTGTTATCAGAGGCGCGAACCACCTCTTAAAAAGCTATTCACAGTGAGCCAATTTCGCACCAGTCAATCATTATAATTTTGTTCTTATTAGCAGTAAATATATTCTTATTAATATATATATTAATATATATTAATATATCTATATATATATATATATTTTTTTATTTTTTTTTTTTGGGAAACTCTTAATAAATATTTAAACTAACGAATTACTTACAAATTTAATGCAGTAATTTTTACAGTCACGTGCACTGTATCAAAGCCTGATTTTATCAACTTCTTATAATGACCAATAAATGATAGTGTACGAGGACTATAGTTGAAATTTATCCAAAATTTATCGCAATTCTATAAATATATAGATGGATATAAGTATTACGATTTCTTTATACTCTCTAAATATTACAGTATTACATACCAGAGGTTTATAAAAATCGAAATTTTTCTGAAAGCACAAGTAATCGCAATATAATGAATAGACTTTATGAGGCAGCATTGTCAAGTTCATGTTGAATTTGTTTAGAAGCCCTCGAGCCACCTGAAATAAGTTTCATTTTATTTTTGTTTTAATGATAACTGACTTTTTAAAGGCACTAAATGTCTTACCCAAGCATTACGAACATGCATATAATGAAACAAATGAAAACATTATAGTCGGACAACTCCGACTATTAGACACCGCACACTAATGCTATTGTCCAGCAATTTTTGTCGCGAAATATTGAAAATTGGCATATTTTTTCATATGCGTTAGACGGGGAGTGGTCAAAAAAATGGCCCAATCCATATTCGAGCCAGTGTGTCAATTTCATCAAAATATTAGAGAAATTGGGATCTGTAGTTTGAACACGAAAATACCTGCAAAAACATTAGACGGACAAATCGACAGGCAAGCTTAGAATCACTTTCTGAATCGATCAGGATAATAAAAGATGTATCTATTTTAAGCAATTTTCGCTGCCGTTGCGCCATCAGTGATGCCGGCTACAATAATTCAGACATTAGACGGACAAATCGATAGTCAAGCTTAGAACCACTGTCTGAATAGATCAGTTTAATAAGAGATGTACCTATTTTACGCAATTCTCGTTATTATACACGCCCACGTACCGTACCCTTGCACCATCAGTGCTGCCGGATATAATACTTCAATTGATTAAGAGAATCTGATATAAAAAGTATCTACAATATCTCCTTATATTCTCATACATATTTTTCAAATCAAAACTATTTATATAGTAATCGAATTTACAAGCTCACTCACAAAATTTTATGGTACCACGCCATGTAGCACACAAGTTTACAATAAAGGAACATTTTTTTTTTTTTGCTTAAACAAATCTTACATTTTCAAATTGTCCTCGATTGGCTTCTTTTATCACCGCACTCAAATCATTCTCGATCAGTTTTATATTAAACCAAGGAACGTTCTTTAATTCTTGATTTTGTTTCTCAATATCAGCGTACTTTAAAAGTCTTGTCATCAATTTTAATGCTAGTAATTGAGTATTGAAATCACCAGCATTTTCTATAGGGTATTGTAAGCCAGCACTTTCAGTAAGAATAAATGGACAAAAGAAACAAGAAGAAAATAAGAGAACACAATTATTACTGAAAATGCAACTCTATAATATATTTAAAAAATTAATTGTGGATCAATATTCATACGATACAAAACTGGCTGTACGTGAGTACCTGTTTTATAGCTTAACCTCTAGATGGCACAATGGACTATTCAAGCACTAATTGCCGTTCCCGCTAAGTGAAACAATTTATATAAGCTAGCGGCCGCACTGCACCTGGAGAACCTGGAGAACCAAATCGATTTAAAGTGTATGGGCGGCAAGTCCACAGAACTCATTCTTTACAGCATTCTCAATAAGCTCACTTAACCCTATGAGGTTTGGACACCTTTCCAACTTATGCATACTAAGTGGCTTCGAAGATTTAATATCAAGTCTACAAACACGTTCTTAATAAGCCGCCCAAATGCCATGAAGAAATTTGAACTTCTTTCCAACTTACGTGCACTAAATAAATTTGAAGACTTACTTTAAGCCTATCTTCTCAATAAGTTGAATTAACGTTATGAGGAAGTTTGAACGCCTTTGCAACTTATGTAGCGGTTAAAGGCTTACTTTAGCTTTGAAGACTTACTTTAAGCATATCTAGACCTTCTCAATAAGTTGAATTAACGCTATGAGGAACTCCGAATGCCATCCCTGCTTACTTTTTTTAAATAGACTTTCAAGCCTGTACAGACGTTCTCAATGGTTTGATTTAGCGCCATGAAGAAGATCCTTCCAACTTAACATAACGCAAATAAGCTTAAAAAGAGCCTATCGAATCGTCACCCTCCAGTTCGTAAAATGTACTATAAATAATAATGAACTTACATGCTTCCGGGCCTAAAATTTCCTATTTCTTGCAAAGCAGTAAATGAAGCATTTCGCAATAGTGTATCCATAGTTTCCAATAGCTTATAATGATAAGTTTCGATATTACGGACTGAATATGGTAAATAACCAATTATGTGGGGGAAAACCATTGGTATAGAGTCTTCATATATCCGCTGAAGTTTTTCATTCAATGGATCAATATAGAAAGGAATTCTCTGAAATACAAATTATATGTTTAACGATTTAATTACTTCGGGCGATATGAACATGAATGCACTCACTGCGTATAAACGACACCAATTAATTATGCATTCAAATATGTCACGTTCTTCGAGTTCTAAACATATCGTTAAATATCTGAAACCCGAAAAAAATTTTCGCACAACATCCTTATCCTTTACCGCGTAAGAAAGAAACGAAAAAATTTATGTGAGAAAATTAAAAAGTTGCGTTGATAGAAGAGATAAAAGTTTACCACATGCTTAGATTTATTGAATTCGTTAGCAATTCTCTTAAGATCGCTTAGGCATTGCACATCATTGGCTTCTTGCTTTCTAGAGCTCATTTTAGAATCTTTGGATATATTTATTGTGTTCGAAAGAATAAAAATTTCTCGTTTTTTTTCTTTTTTTCCTGTTTTTTCTTTGAAAAATGCGACAAGACAACTATTTTTTTTTTTTTTTTTTCATTAGATAATCTCAACCAAAAATCAAAAAAGTAGGAAAATTATTTTCAGTTATGGCCGAATCTCTTACACTTGACGAAAAACAAAAAGGGAGATATAAGAAAACTATGTTCGGTTGACATCAAATCTTTTATACCCATCACCGTTATCTTATCAAAGATTGAAGAAAGAAAAGATGAAAATTTGTACATTTCATAACATTGAGAGAGTGGAATGGATTTTTTCTAGTTTTCTAGAGCATTTTTCTGCACATTCATATCGCGTGTCTAAAGGTGTCCTCATTTTTAGTTGTAAAAGAAAGGTGGGCTTTATAGGCGTGCCTATTAACCTGTTTATGTCATTTTCAAAATCTTTTGCAAATTTTTATACGATATCTTAATTTCTGCGAACGGGAATAAACAGGCGGACCAACAGACAGATGGCGGGGAAGCTTATGCGCATTCCGAATTTGAAACTGGCCAAGAAAAAGAAGCCTTTGCATGCAATGTTTTGTTTACATTTCCCTTCAAGTGCTATTGTTTACAAGCAAAGTAAATTTTACGCTCAGTTAATTGAATTTCATATTCTCAGCATTTTTTGGCTCTTAATTTTGTGTGCGGTTGTTGTTGTAAAAGCAGTACAGTGCGTATATTGTTGTTGCATTTTGCGCCCATCTTTTTATTTGTTTACATTTGGAAGAATGGTATTTATTTATCATTTTTATATATGTAACTGTAAACATTTTGATAAGCTTGAAATTTCGAATAAACAATAGCACGTGTTTGGCAAACGTAAACAAAATAAGAATTCGCAACCGCATATATATATATACATACGGTGCTGCTTTTCCAACAACGAACATACATGATACTAGTTTTCTAACAACAACACTTTCACAGCAACAAAATAAATATACATAAAAATGGAGGTTTTTTTGCCAACAGCTGTAACCAAGCTGTCTCCAATCAACAGAGTTACCAATACCAACTAATTCAATTTACATCTGATAAGATTTAAGCAGTGAAACACACTCGCAGCATTATTATTGAATATTTCATTTTTTTGCTTACTACAAATTGGATTACAAAAAGTACTTACTTGAATTACATTTAATAAAAAAGTTCAAAAGCTCTAGCAACAAACATTACCAGCTTATCATCCAATCGAATATACTGTTAGTATTTATACATGGAATGAAAATCAATAGCCAAGTCTGAAATCCACTTCAATTTAGAAGATTCTGAGAGTAATTAAATGAGCGGGCCTGAAATCCACCTCAATTTGGAATCATCTGAGAATAATTAAATGAGCGAATCTGAAATCCACCTGCAACAATAGTGTTGCCAACATTGTATGTGATAAATAATCGCCATGACTGTGTTATTGTATCTTTTCATCGTGAGGCAGGTCGAACAAAAACTGATTAATCCTTTTTTTTGGAATTCTTTAGAAAATTATACAAAAAAAAAAAAATTCGAATTAACGCTAAAAGATTTGCCCCTTGGAAAAAAAAAGAAAAATGCCAAAAATTACGGAACTTACTTCCAGTGATGATGAATATGAAGATGCCTTCAGTGACGTAGATAACGGCAATATTGCGATGCGAAAGAAGGAAGTTAATGATAATGTTGCTTCATTCGATGCATTGGATGATGAGAATCTTATCCAAAAACTGAATGATTCACACATCGTGACAAAAGAAGATTCTGAAAAAGCAAACAACACTTCAACAACAACATGTCCATTAAACTTTGAGGAAGCAAATCAGCAAACCGGCCATGCAGAAGGAGACGCAAAAACAGGGGAAGATTCTGAAAAAGCAACAACATATGCAGCGAATTTTGAAGAGATAAATCAAACTCAAAGGGATTGGATTCCACCCGATGAAAGTGATAAAAATTATACGGAACAAGAAGGCGAAGAAGTCAAACCTGAACTCATTGATGAAGATATTGATGAAAAAGCTATGCGTGAAAAAGAAGAAACTTTAACATTTGAAGAATTGGAAGCTAATAAGGAGAAAGCGATAAATATGAAACTAGAAGCTAATGAACTTTTTAAAAATGATAAATCAATGGAAGCCATTGAGATTTATACAGAAGCTTTGAAAATTTGTCCCACCAAATATGGCAAAGAAAGAGCCATTTTGTATGGAAATCGTGCGGCGGCAAAGATAAAAATCGAGTCAAAGAAATCCGCAATACAGGACTGCAGTAAAGCTATTGAACTCTGGCCAGACTATGTACGAGCACTTTTAAGGTAAAAAAGAAAAAAAATGAAACAAAATTTGATTTTATTTTTTATTTATTTTTATTTCTTTCTTAGAAGAGCCAAGCTTTACGAATTGGATGATAAACTGGATGAAGCTTTAAAAGATTATAAACGAGTTTATGAACTTGAGCCAGGTCAGCGTGACGCTTGCGAAGCTATGATTCGCTTACCGCCATTAATCGATGAACGTAACGAACGTTTAAAGGAAGAAATGCTAGGCAAATTGAAAGACTTGGGTAATATGATATTAAAACCATTTGGTCTATCGACTTCGAATTTTCAAATGCAAAAAGATCCTACAAGCGGTTCATATTCAATCAATTTCAATCAAAATTCAAGTTAGACATAATTTATGTAACATTTGGATGAAAAGTAAATTTTTATATTGGCAAAGTGAAAAATGTGTAAAATGCGCTTGATTTGCTTTATATACAGTTAATAAAATCATGCATGTATCAGGTTAATCATTTTGTTTTAATAAAGTTAAATTTCACTACAGCTTTTTGATTAAAATATTAAAATAAAATCAATTGCAATAATTTTCTTAGGTAATAATATAAATATATATATATATATATATATATATATATATATTAAAATTATTAATAAACACTTTAAATAAATTTTCTAAACTCTACACAAAACACTTTTTTTTTGAAATTATAACAACCTGCTTCCTTAAAATAACTATTAAAAAACTAAAATTCTAAAAAAAAATATATATATATATATATTTAGTTTACATAAATCCGTCACACAGTTTCTATAACACCTCTACGCCGGCCATTAGAACCTGAAGATAACGAACCATCGACTTGATCACTTCCTATAAAAGAAGTCTCCTCCGAAGAGCTATTAATATGAGTTGTAGAGTCTTTGGTTTTAGCTGCTGCCGTAACACCGTTCACTTGCGCGACATTGGATATATTAACTGAATCGGATGCTGAATTATTACTTATAGAAACTTGATCAAAAGTTAGAGCTCTTGAGGGTGTATGCGAACGTGAGTTGCCTGATCCGGAAGGTACACGACTATGGGGACTATTATTACGGGATTGTTGAAAGTCTTCTAAAGGGATTTCTTCAGATCTAAAAAATATATCAATATAAAAACAATCATTTTAGAATAAAATTTCTTAAGAAGAAAACGAAACCTTGGTCTAATCAAACGAGGACTACTTTCTCTCGACGATCGTGCCTGCGAGTTTTCGCGAGAATGAGTAGAACATTTACTGCTCGGTGAATTGGAGTTTTCCCGTACTTGTGATTCACGGCTTTGTTGCGATGTGGAAGATGTCGAATTCGTGCTGGCATTTGAATTACGTCTACGAGAGCGATTGGCAATCACTTCATTGCGTATGCTTAGAAAAGTGTTAGGATACAAACAAGAGTTAGTGCAAGACGGGAGCAAGACAAGCCATCTTAGAAACAACTAAAAAATCTTTATTCGGCGGAGACCGATAATATATTTTCCTTTGAGAAATGTACAAAATAGTTTTAAACATTTTGTCTTATCTGCCTTATGGTAAAAATAAGCATAGAAACCCCAAAAAGTGAAAAAAAAAAATTTTTAATCATTTGTAAATAGGTGCGGGCGTGGCCGATTTTTTCCACTTTTGCACGCTAAGTAAATGCAGACAAATTTCAGCTTTCCGATTTTTAAAACGAAATTGCGTTCAGTTTACGCTTCACTGCGGACCAATTGCTGTAATCAATTTGGCTCATTTCCAATCTTTGTGCAAAAACTTTCAAATGTTTCTATGAAATTTGAATAGATATCGACCAGGAGAGTGCCGCACAGACGGACCGACATGGCTATATTAGTTCAGAATTTGACGCTGATCAAGAAGCGCCTCTTTCCATTTCATTTACTTTTGGTTCTTGCAAACATTACAAAAACAAAAATACAAAAAGGGTACCTTATAAAAATTTAAGCTTAAAAACGTTAGCAAGGGGGAGAACAACAGGTGAGTTAGGGCACGGAATCTCTACAAAATTATTCTAATAACGATTTGGTTAATGTATAATTACCAGGCGTTCTTGAAAACTGAAAAAAAAGAAAAATTTTTTTTTTTCAAATTTTTATTAAAATGTAGCCTGATAATTATACACAAACGCAATATTATTTTCTAAATAAATAAAAAACTTTTGATTAATTTTTCTCAAGAATTCTTTAAAAAATAATTCTCACCATAAACAAAAAAAAAAAAAAAAGTTTAATTAAAATAATATCTTAAAATGTAATGTAATCTTGTAGAAATTTCGTCAACAATTTTCGAACTGACTTCATGACAATGATCAGTTAGTTACAGGTGAAAATAAACATATAAAAATTATACATTTTTTATGGTAACTGATTAGATATTGAAACAAATATATCGTTGAAACCAATGGTCAGTTTTTTCTATATGGGAAGCAATACCTAATGATACATTTTTTTTTTTTTGGGAAAAGTTTTGCAATCCTTACCCCTCGATGGAACGATTTTGAGCCATTTGTATGCGACTAACACCACCGGGAACATTTTCCCGTCGTAAGGCAGCCGCAAAGCCGGGCACACGATTACTCGTAGAAAAGATGGGACGATGATCGCGGGCCGATAAGCGTGAATTGCTACTGCTGCTGCTAGCACCGCTGGCATTTCTCATGCCAGCTTTAGCATAAATCGGTGAATCTATGACTTGTCCAGGTAACTCAATCATCTGAGCAATTTGATACATTTTTTTTTGTCGCGCCTTGCTACGACCTTTCGTTAAACGTTGCTTTGCCGCCAAGCAGCGTATATGATCGTCGAACATAAATTTCGCTGATAATAGCGGTCCACGATTATGTACCGCACCGCCACGATGAACGATTATATGCAAGCAACGGCTATCGTCTTTATCGCCTGCCACTTCAACGTCTTGCAAGAAACCAACGAATTTCGCTACGCCCCACCCTAAAAGTTTAGCATCCGGCTCAACTAGAATTAATTGCAAAGGATCGACAACCAGAAAACGTCTTTGCTTAATATTATCCTTAGCTATCACAGTGCAAGCAATTAAATCACTATTGTCTGAAAGTTAAGGGAAAATTTAAAAAGGTTCGCTTATTTAATCAGAAGTTAAGCTTACTTAAATCCAAAACAACATCGACTTGCACCAAGTCCAGTGCATTCGTTAAAGGTAACATAGTTTCTTTTTCCTTAAGGAACTCTTGACACGTCTTACGTAACAAGAAAAATACTCTTATAGCTCTACGAGCTTTCTCCACTTCACCGCACGGAAGACGACGTGTAAATGTTATTCCTGTCAACGGTGTCCCGGTGGGTGGTAATAGAATTGTCGAATCCATGCATAAAAATTCGACATTTAATTGATTTTTTTGCATCTCATTATATTCATCTTCAAATAAATCCAAGAATATATCTTCGGATTTATAAAAATTACGTAATATCGTCATCGATTGTTGACGTGCAGCAAATAAAACTTCCTGTTGAATTTCCGTAATATTATTAATAGTAATACTTTCCGTTGTTGGTCCGTTCCGTGGTTTCGTGAAACTTAACAATAAATGCAAGGCCATCTCAACTGTTATCAAACGTGTACGACACGCTGCAAGTGATCGATAGCGAAGGAACAAAGAAAATGATTGAAAATGATTTGAAAAAACGAAAAATATTATCTCACATTGACCTACTGGTGGCTTGATTTGATAACGTAACGATATTCAATAAACGTTCAATCAATTCGCTTTTATAGCTTAAGGAACCGTTATTCGATTTCGATAGCACTTGATGGAACCAATCATTTTTTAAACCTAAAATTAAAAATCAATTTTTGCATAAATTTTTTAATTCATAAGAGAAATTATACGAGTTTTTAGAACCAGTATGTTTGTTATGTATGATAAAACAAAAATTAAATAGTTTACATTATTTACATACCGTCTAGAGAAATACACACATACATACATACAGAGTGGGAAATTCAAGTAGTTAATAAACAAGCGGCATTTGTTTTTATATTTTTTTGTTTGTTTTTTTTTTTTTTTTTTTTTTTTTTAGTAAATTAGTCGGAGAGTAGGAAAAGAAAGAAATTTAATGTTGATATGAATATTCCAAGACATGACAATGATTTGATGTTTAATGGCATTGGTAAAAGTATGAAAAAAATCTTACGCAACCTTTATTGAAACTCATCGCGTAGATTAAGCAAAGGGACAATAATGCCAAATAATCGTTTTCACTGCAATCTAAAGCCAATAAAACAAAATCCAAAAACGGCCTTTGAATGATGCTAGCACTACCGCTAGATGATGTCATTTGATGTTGTTGTTGTAGTTCTTGCTTTTCTTCATCGGTGATATTCGCCAGCTTGACAGTAGGAAATGCAACAACATCTGTTTGGACGGTGTCAGCATTTGACGTTGAATTGTGTTCCGTAGCCGTTAGATCAATTGTGGTATTTTCGGCGGGCTCTTCCGCAGAAGAACAGCCCGAACTGCTGGCTAGTGCTTGCTCCAAACTCTCCCGGGGTTCGGCGAAACTTGGTATTACCGCCTCACGATTCTCTACATAAGCGTTAAGTACAGCAGCAGCTCCTTCTTTAAAGACACTATTGTCGCCATTCAAGATAACCCAAGCTAAAGCATGAACTAAAGGAGCGTGAGTAACAACCAGGAAGACCAATGATAGTAAATACAAAGCTACTATGGAAGAAACTCGAGGATTTTGCATTTCGTGAATATCAATGTCGACACTACGTTTCAAGACCGCTGCCAAATTTTGAGTTACAATTGCCAAAGGTGGAGGAGGCGGTGGGGTAGGTGTTAATGAATATATATAGAGTGGTACAAATAACTTGTGTAACAAATGTTCGGTGAGGACGGCATTCAAATCCTTAATCTCCAGCAATAGAATATCATTTAAATAATGCAAATGATCCAAATGTTCCGCTACCAAATTTGATAGTTTTTGATTAGATTGATGGCTGAAAAAGACGAAAAAAATTTCTTAAAGAACGAATTTCAAAAAGACGTGGAAAAACTTACTCTATGTCGGTGCGTACACAACTATCTAATTCCAATATATGTTTCCCTATAAACCACACTAAATTGCTAAAATAGGGAGCAGCCGTTCTAATAATGCAACTTAAATATTAATAATAAACAAGAGAACAATTAAGAAAATTAACTTACTTGTCTGTTATAAAACGTAACATGCTGGCATTTTGTACTTTATAAACATTTAACGATATGGTGCGAACTGCGATTCGTACCATACTCTCAGGATGATTAAAAAACTTAATAGCCTCCGTATATAAAGGAAAATCGTTTGTATGCTAAGAGTTAAGAATATATATATATATACACACATATGAATTTAATTTATCATTTGCTTCTCTTATTGTATTAAGTACCTCGTTATAAAAAAAATGTATAGTATGAGTGTTTAATTTTAAACTCAAAGTTTTCAAAAACAATATATAATAACCCATAACATCTTCGTCAGAAAAGTCAAATTTATGCACGATTATTGAGTTTACGTGATTGTTACTTAACAAATAATCTAAGAATAAAATAAGAAGCTATTAATAATTATAATAATGTTTCACTAAGTTAACATCAACCTACATAATGAAGTTTCATTACGTATATTTTCGAAGAGAATATTCAAAGTTTGTAATAATTGAACACATACAAAACTGGAACCTCCACTTTTTTGACGCATTATATGCAAAAAGTATGATAACATATTTTTCTCTAGGAAAAAGCTGGAAAAAGGAAAATAATTAGTATATAATTATAAAGAGTAAGTTATTAAGCGCTGCTTACTCGAAAACCGAACTGTCATGTTGATCACCCCATATTAAAATTTCCGCTATACTTCTTAACGATTCTACCAGTAAACCCCTATTACTCTCGGATACAGTTGTATTTTTTTCTAAAATACTATATAAATATTTTAGATGTTCCAACGATAAACGGTTTTTTGGCTTATTCCAAGCGCCACCGAACCAACTCCGACTACGAAACATTTTTCTTCACTAGTTTTTGGGCAATTTTCACTAGTTTTTTTTCTATTAATATCGTTTCAATTTTTCCGCCTTTCAACCACAAATGCAATTTAATAATTTTAATCCGAAAATGTTCTTTAAATTACAGCTTTTTTACTTGATTTTAATAATTGCGTTTATACAAAAAAAATTTTTTTTACATATTTTCCTAAATAATTTAATATTTTTTACTTGAACGTCAAGTTCTTGCGAAAACAGCTGATCACGGTATTGCCAGAACAGAGATTTATTTTTATATATAATAAATAACATTTATCCGGAAGAAATTGAAGCCCCATTTTTATTCGTTACTAATCCACCAGGTTTACGTGATGAGTTGTAGCACCCGTTTAATATTTAAATATAACATAAATAAAGGTCTTTTGCTTTTGTTTCATACAATATAAGAAAAATGAATAGAATAATTTGTATTACTCACTAAATTCATTCCATAGCTAAACATAACAATGTAAACGTAACAATATAAACGAACATAAACAATTCACATGTTATTCCTATATTTCTTTTACAACCATCTTATTGAGTTCATATATCTTCCACAACACCTTTTGAATTCATATGTTTTTATATATTTCTTTCACACCACCTTTTGAAAATCGCATGATATATTTCGTCAATTGAAAACCTTACCAACACTTGCGAAAATTAACAAAGTCGAAACTGACATAACCATCATAAATTAATGTTTAAGTAAAATAAAAATTTATCAAGAAATAATGTCTGCTTATAAATATAATGATTTAATTAAATTAACTACTCAATATGCACATCGTATGAACTATTTATCAAATCGTATATTCGGTGAAGTAGCGCGAGCAACAAATTCAAAGTCTTTGAAGGTACTTATTTTTAATGTAACCATTCCGTCAGAAATAAAATGTTTATTGTTTATCATAAGGTGGTGAAAATGTACAGTGAAGAGCCTGTGGGAAAACGTGATTACGTTATCAACTGGTATCCAAGACATGTGGAGACTCACATACTTATGAAGAACTTAAGACTTTATGGTTTATTTAGAGATGAGCACGAAGATTTCAAAGAAGAAATGAAACGTATGCGTAAACTTAGGGGCAAAGCTCCACCCAAAAAAGGAGAAGGCAAACGATCCAAAAAATAAAATTCCACCAAGTTTTAAAAGCATTTTTATTCATTTATGGCGGTTAATAAAAGTTTAGCTTCACCTTGAAATATCACACGTTGATTTTGCATACATTCGTAACTAATTAAAGAGATTTTACGTGCCTTCAATAAGCGTATACATATTTCCGTATCAGTTTCTAGGCGGCAAGGTTTGAGAAAGGCAAATCTCTGCTCCAAAACAATAGTACCCGGCCCAGGAAATTTTGTACCAATTATGCCTGCCACGATTGCATTTAAAAAGGCCCCATGAACTCGGCGCTCCTCAATAGGTAATGAAGACGAGTGCACAATATTCTTATCTCCAGTCAGTTGAGAAAACTGATCCAATTCGATTTGTGTAAATCGTTTAATGACCTTAACTTCCGGATAAGGAGCAGCAGGTGGCATCTTTTTACTGGATAGAAGACGTCGTGGCAACATCTTTTAATTCAACAAACTCATGCCTTTGAGCAAAATCTTCCAATATTAAAGTTGAAATGTTAATTATTCTCTGGTCTTTAACAGAGTGGCAATAAAACTTAATTTTCTTCAGAATATCTATAGTTAGAATAAAAGCTTTGTCATAACCAGCATCCAAGGAAGTTAAAAGCTGATAAATAAGCGTTAAAATATTTAGTGTAATCTCAAGATTTTCCGTTTTCACTAATAAAGTTTGTATGAACTTTAAATGCGCTTTTTGTAATATAAAATCATGACTTTGTTTATCTACAAAGAAAAGAACAATTTGTTTTTAATCAAATGTTGGAAAAATGTTTTTAAATCGTGCCAAATACCCAAACATATGTTACACAATCCGGCTATACCGTATAATTGCAAGTTCTCATTAGGAGTTTGTAGAAGTTCGACGAACAATTTTAAACCTTCTGCTGATTTCAAATAATCCCAATTTATAGGATCATAAGCGAAATTTGCCAAATTTGCACTAACTTGTTCTTGGGCCTCTTAATTTTATTTGAATATATTTAATAATGAAGATATATACTTTCTTTAAATTTAATTACGTACCGACATTAGTTGTTGTATAGTACTCCTCAATGAGATGTGCAATAAACTCCTGACGATTGACACCTGTTTCGGGAGTTTTTCTTTTCAAGTAATTATGGCTGCTATACATAGTTAAAGTTCAATGTTTTATTTTTATTTCTTAAATAATTAAATATTAATTTGTCTAAAATAACTTTATATAGGGTTGCCAAATTACGTATCAGAAAAATTCACTAAAAAAAAATTAATATATAATGTTTCAAAATCTTTCGTATGGATTTTTAAAGCGTAACACATAGCTTGCGTACTTTGATAACACTATAGCTAACGTTTATTTACATAAGCCTTTATCAAGCGCAAAATTAGTAAAGCGAAAAATTTCTTTGAAAAATGCCTTTTTTGAAGCGAGGTACAACTAATGAAAAGAAGAGAAAAAATTTTTTTCCACATAGAAACAGCAAGATACTACAGTTTAATTTTTTCTTCTTCATAAAGATTTACATTAAAACATTAACCATATGATTTTGCTTTAATAAATACATCACTGTCTTGAACGTCAAAAACTTTGCTAACAAACATTATAAAAGCTTGCGAAAAATTTAAGTTGACGCACAACGCAAGTCAGGCTGTATGTTCACTCAGATTTAAATACAATGAATCCTATTTTTGCAAGGTAAGCAGAACGTAAGCATTTTGTTTGCACTTAATAGAACCCAAAGATGCATTATTTCTATTTTAAAGATGCAATTTCAAATTTGCTGCAGTTAAGACAATAGAGCGTTATTCCCTTTTTCGGGTTAAAAAGTTCTAAGTGGTCAAAACACAATGAGAAACTACGGTACCGTACAAAAAAATAAATATATAAATAAATAAAAAATTCGAAAATATAAAACAAGTAAGAATGTTATAGACAGGCAAGGCCGACCATTAAATGCCCTACACCACATTATCCAACACAATTCTTATTTCCATTACAGGACACAAGAATTATATCTCTATCAATTTGGTGAAAATTCTTTTTAGGGTAGGATTCAAAAAATAGACTGATATGGTCCAAATTTGAAATTTACAAGTCAAGGATTGAAATTTATAAAGTTTTGTTGTGTGAACAGACAGGCTTAGATCAATTCAGATTATGGTTCTGAATCGGTCTGCATCTTAAGCCATTCTACGTGTCTGCACTAATTTCATATACCCTGTGCCACTTGTGGTAAATAGAAGTAACGTATCATTGTGTTAAAGCACATCACGTTTAAGCGGCGCCCACTGGAAAATTGATGTAGCAAATGAAAACTAGGAAATTTGGCTATCCTGCTTTATAGGTTAGTACAAAAATATGCATTCCTACATTTTAATAAAGAAATGGGAAACCCTACAGCCTTCTATGAGAATCAAATGCAGCCAACTTAAGTTCAAAACCATGCACTATCTTTCTTTCTTTAAAAACTAACTGAAGTGACTGGACACGTTTTTCTTCACTTGGGCGTGTTTTAATTAAATAAGAATGGTGAGTTGTTAAAATTGGTGGCCTTAAAATTGAAAACAAATTTGTTGTAGTGTTAATAGAGAATTGTTAAAAAACTGTAGTGAGCAAATATGTTGTAAAATACGACCTCTTATCTTAAAGTTATTTCATTATAATAACCTCACTTTTGCAAAATTTTATTTCATCTCTTAACAGTCCCATCGTAAATTTTCGGCCCCTCGCCATGGTTCTATGGCCTTTTACCCGAAGAAACGTTCTCGTCGTCATCGCGGAAAAGTTAAGGCCTTTCCTAAAGATGATGCCAGCAAGCCTGTACATTTAACCTGCTTTATTGGCTATAAAGCTGGTATGTCGCATATCGTTCGCGAAGCTGATCGTCCCGGTTCAAGTAAGATAATAGTATTTATGCAGCTTTTTTTCTTTTTTTATTGCATCTAATGATGATTTTACTTAGAAATGGTTAGAACAAATCTGATAACTCATGAAGTTATTAACTAGGGCGATCTGATTAATTTTTTAAAACTGAAGTTTGTTTTCTTTTTCTATGCAATCTTCTAAAGTGTCGTTCTCTCTTTTGTGTATAATTTCTTTTAGAAATCAATAAAAAAGAAGTAGTGGAAGCCGTCACGGTTTTGGAAACACCGCCCATGATCGTTGTTGGTGCGGTGGGCTACATTGAAACACCTTTCGGTTTGCGTGCTTTAGTCAACGTTTGGGCGCAACATTTATCCGAAGAGTGCCGTCGACGTTTCTATAAAAATTGGTATGTCTACTGATTACTTCACTTTTCTTTCCCTTTCCTATGAGATTTTCATTCATTTTTTATGAAAACTTTACAAAATGATGAGAGATGGTATCTGACGAGTTTTTGTGAAGAATAATAAATATATTATTTTACCATCACTGCTTGCCTTCCTGCTGAGTAAAGTTTTTTAAAAGAAATGAAAAAAGATTTCTAACCTCTAAATCAAAAAGCTGATGTGAGAACCACGTGGTTTTACACATATTGTTACATATCAAAGGATCGGTTGTAATTTCAAAAATTTTTCTTCATAATTAGATTTTTATTCTATTAATCACTTCTTCTTTTATAAAAAGATTTTATTAAAATGTGATTTTTTTTTATATAAAGCTCTTGGATCAGCAAACTTGCTGAGAGGGCTTTTCAAAATAAGTTTTTTAGTCGTGTGAGCCCTGAGACTTGCACTGGTCTCTTGATGGCAAACACGGCCTGGAAGTTGTAATCTCCGCTCGCTATATTATCAAGCGATGAGGTTCACTTCTTTTTGTGCCTCTTTTTTCCGTTTTCACGAACAGCAGCTAGATTTGGAGAGTTCCAAAAAGGCGAAATATAAAATCCTTGATCTTACGCACTACACTTCGATATCATTTCTATAACCGTTAGGTATAAATCGCAAAAGAAAGCTTTCACCAAGGCCAGCAAGAAATGGGGTGATGATCTCGGAAAGAAGAGCATTGAAAATGACTTCCGTAAAATGTTACGCTACTGCAAAGTGATTCGCGTCATTGCTCACTCTCAGGTAATAATTTCTTTTTTTTAATCTTTCATGCGAAGTCCTTGGTCATCAGCGCCGAGTACTATTGTTAGACTTCTGTTTGGCAATGGTTGCTTTGGTGTAGATGTTCCTAAAAGGCGGTCTTGCTGTGATGTTCAATGCACAGTTATATAACCGCAACGTCGCAGAGCAAATTGCCCTTCGGGTGGCGAATTATGATATATTCCAGTAACTGTTTGTAGCCGCTTAGGCTTTGATCAGACAGTTAAACCATATCAAAAACAGTTCATATTCTATAAAAAACACCCTTAGTAGAATTTATAAACTAACTATTTGTTTTTTCCATTCTTAACTGTAGATCCGTTTGATTAAGCAACGCCAAAAGAAAGCCCATATAATGGAGATTCAATTGAATGGCGGCTCTATTGAGGATAAGGTGAAGTGGGTGCGTGAGCATTTGGAAAAACCTGTAGCGGTTAGCAATGTTTTCGGTCAAGATGAAATGATTGATTGTATCGGTGTGACCAAAGGTAAAGGCTTCAAAGGTGTCACTTCGCGTTGGCATACCAAGAAGTTACCGCGTAAGACACATAAGGGTTTACGTAAAGTCGCGTGTATAGGAGCTTGGCATCCATCTCGTGTGTCGACCACTGTTGCTCGGGCTGGTCAAAAAGGCTATCATCATCGCACTGAAATTAATAAGAAAATTTATCGTATTGGTGCCGGTATACATACTAAGGACGGAAAGGTTAGTAAATGAATATTTTCGATTTTACCACATTTTTATTTATATCAAGACTGATGATAAGATCATTAATAAGTTCCGACATCGAAAACAAAACTTGAAAAACTTTTGATTACCGCATGATAATCGTAATGATAGGACTGATCAAATTATAATCAAAAATATTTATGAATTTTATTATTTAATTCTTATTAAAAATGTTTTCTTTTTGTATTTCGTCTCCTTTAGGTTATTAAAAATAACGCCTCAACTGAATACGATTTAACAGATAAAAGCATAACGCCAATGGGTGGCTTTCCCCATTACGGTGAAGTGACAAACGATTTCGTCATGATTAAGGGTTGTTGCATTGGCTCGAAGAAGCGTGTCATCACTTTGCGCAAGACCTTGCTGAAGCATACTAAACGCTCGGCTTTGGAGCAAATCAAATTGAAATTTATCGATACTTCGTCGAAAATGGGTCATGGTCGCTTCCAGACACCGGCCGACAAGTTGGCCTTCATGGGTCCCCTCAAAAAGGATCGCATCAAAGAGGAACAAGCAGCTACTATTGCTGCTGCCGCTACCACATCGGCTTGAGAATTTTTACAAGTTTTTTCTTTAAAAATCTTAATATTATCCACTTCTGGTGGATGGTAAATAAACAACATTTTACTTTGTTTATATGAATTTTGATTTTTTGTTGAAAGAAAGCAAACTCCACATTGGGGCCAGGTGTGTGATTTTATAGATCGATTTGCTCGAGAGAGTTTATTTAAAAGTAAAGGAATTTTCTTTTGAATACTGATTACCAGCGAAGTGTGTACTTGTGAAGGGGTCAAAGTGCATTCTCCTAAAGCTTTCAAAGTCGCAGTGATTTTGATTTTCCAAGTAAAGCCTTGGAAGTTTTAGAGGCATAGGCAAGCTAGGCAAAGATAGTGGTTTACTTTGGTAAATGTTTACGGTCGAACCTCGGATTAATATCAGCTACTGCGTGCCAGATTTTTATAACGGATATTTTATACAAGCTATGGAGTTGTCACCTGCAACTTAGTGTTTACTAACGGCTTTTTATTAAATTCCTGTCTCGATTCGACTAGATTGGAACTTAATATATTCCGCGATCGAAATGTTTTTCATTGGATATAGGGTAAGAGCAAAAGAAGAAAACACTAAATATCTTGGATCCCTTCGCTTAATATAGTTATATCGAAGAAGTGATTCCATAAGGTACTATTGCCAATAGCTAAAGGAGAGACGCAGAGGCATGCAAATTCACATACAAGATAACTCGGAATCAACTACTGTAGTAGAAGGTAGTAAGTTTATTACAGTATTCCTTTTAGGCGTTACGTACGTCGGGACAAAGTTAATATAAATGTAAAGTACTTTATCGATAAGTGTAAATAAACTCTTCAATAATGTACGGAAATTATAAGAAGACTCTCTTAAGATTTTGAAATACGAATACAAGGAAAGACAAGCGCTAAAAAATCAAATATCTGATGTCGAGGATACTGATGATGATGACGATTAGAGTAACCTAGTAGAAATTAACACATCAGAAAAATCCCTGACGACATATGCGGATATCAATGTTTTGGTTTTACAAAAATTACGGATAGAGGAGCAAGAAATACCAGCTAAAGTTTTCGGGGATTTGAATATTAAAAAACAATTATTTATATATTTTGTGTATACTTTTCAACTAAACGCTTTAGCGGCAAGCGTTTGCAGAGAGTCCCATGATCTACAGGTATCAAGTCACTGGCAGTACATGTACATGTTGGAGAGAATCCAGTATTCACGTGCCCTTAAGGGACTCATGCACCTTTCAAACAACTTATAGCAATGACTGGAGTATAAGCAAATCTACCAATTACTAATAAAATCCCATAGGAGCAAAAGGAGTCAAAAGTTCTCTAAGCGGTTGACGAATTCTTAAATGAGGCCGGTATGAGCTACCTCCCAAAATTTAGGGAGTAGTGCTCTTCCTTCCCAATGATTATCACAAAAGATTTCTCTACGAAATTTAAAGCTAGCGCATAAAACTCTTTATATGGTCGCATGTTAAGGGAAAAGTATTTCATGGACCTGTTGCATAAACTTTCCCTTTCTATTTGCTGTTATGTCTAGGAGCTCATATTGACCCTTTGCTTGCTTGAATGCGTACAAGTGCGCGAAATATCATTAAGTCACCAAAGCGCCGCAGAGAGCACCTCCTTTGGCTAGTCCTCAGCGAGTCTGCTTTAATTTCTTCCCCAAGCTTATGAATACATTCTTTGTTGCGCGAATGTAATCAACGGCCAATGACTTTTCTAATTTTTAACCCAACCAACATTATATATACATGTGCTGAAGCATTCTATTAAATTTCTATTAAATCATATTTAATAAAATCATTTTTCATTTTATTAGAAAACATACAAACATTTTTATGTATGTGTTTTTGAAAACTGACAACAATTTGAACTAAATAGAAGGAGGTGAACAACAAATTGTGCCAGGTGTATTTGTATTTGCACACACACTCTCTATTGTACATTTTAATTTAAGTTAAAAGATATATATACACATTTTAAATATCACAGAGAACATAGTTTTCATTTGTAATCTGATGGTGAGGCGTCATGTGTTTATTCGTTTCGCTTGGCTGTTTTGAAAACATCACATTCATGGGGAAGGAGAGATGACTGAGGTTTATAATGAATGATTTCGTAATGTAACTTTGCCTCTTAATCTTACGCACAAAAATATATCTGTTAATTTACTGTTTGTTTAATTTACTGTAAATAAATTAAAAAGAATATAAGTTGAAAAAAAAATAAAACTAAAAATAATTAACAAACAAAAATCTTTTTAAATAAAGTAATAGGGCGAGAACATTTTTACAACTTAAAATTAATTTACGATAAAGAAAAAAGTGTATTACTTTTCATCGGATTTTTTAAGAACATGTTCGTTAATCATAGCGTAAGCCAAACCGATCGTTAAACAACCAACGACCGTTCCCTGAGCTGCCACACGTAATTGCATTAGAAATACACTTGTACTCATTGTTCCACGATGTCGATATTTATAAGCACCTATCAGACCAGCCACCACAAAACCTGCCATTCCTGTAAAAAATGAAAACGCAATCGTTAGATAAACATTTTCTTTAGCGCAATAATAATAATAATTAAAAATCAATATTTTATGGCTCCCATTCACATTGATCTTATCTAAGCGTTAGTAGCCATGATTCAGAACTTTTCCATTTAAAATTGAAAAATTTTGAATTACGTATATCAACATAATTATTACATCATATTTAACAACAAATTATTACTGTGCTCAAGTTAGCTAAATAATAAGGCATTTATTAGATAATCATTACAAAGCATTTTTTAATCCAAAAATATCCTAAATTGTTATAAGAAAATAATTCATTAAAAAAAAGCACATTCTTTTCATGGTCAAGGTCACATGTGTATCTGACATTGAAACATTCTTCACCTCCATTGAAGCGTTTTTTGAACTTAAGGAGAAATGAAAGCGTGACGTCGATGACAGCATTTTCTTGTCACTTCACTTAAAACTTACCCACAATCATAAATGGTGAATCTTTTGCCTTTTTAGCAAGTTTGCTACTATCCTCGCCTGGTTCTTCGAAGTACGATTTACTACTCATACTCTTCTTTTATTTACAACTAGTATAACGGGATACGTTACAATTCTATCACTTATAGTAATTATTCCTGTGTTGTTTGCCTTGGTTTATTTTTTTGTAGTAATCCCGCAGGTTATATTCGTTTCTAATACAATTTTTTGTTACAATAAAAAAAATTTACTTCACGTCATAAGGCACTGTCACTTGTCATTTTAAGGCTAATACATCTCTGATTTCTTATGAAGTAAACGCCATCTTCAGCGAAAAGGAATTTCTTTTTTATTTACTGATTTTTCTTTTTATTAAAAAAGAAGAAGAATTTATTTAATATGCCCTTTGCTTGGAATATAGTTTCCCGCTTAAAAGGTTGTAAAATTTTTAAAGTTTTCATTAAAGTTCAAGCAAACCTTTTTTAATCAACACAGGGAATTGTTGGCTCGTAGAAGAAGAAGGAGAATATTGATATAACATTTGAAAACAAATTTCCGAAATGTATCACATCAAAAGTCGAAAATTGTACCACGGTAAAGACCATTTCCCGTAAGATAATTATAGTTATGGTTACATAGCAAACGCAATATAGAGCGAAAGTAATAGTCTTTTTTTTTTTGGTATGTTGAACGGAGGTGGACTAAGCCAATAGACTTGTGGCTTATATGTCCAACGTAATAGTCTATGCTAATTAGCAAAGCCGTCGGCAAAAGTCCTGAATTTGTTCCAAATTCTCTGCCAATCAATAAAAAAGATGTGTTGAAATTCTATACAAACAAACAAATAATTAAAAAACATCTGTTGAAATTCTATACAAATAAACAAACAATTTGGCAATTTAACAACAAAAGCAACAGTAGTAATGAATAAAGCATATAAATAAATAAATAAACCGTTTATAAAAAAATAAAGCATATTGTGGCTTTTCTTTGCTTTTTTCACTTTAAATCCATTATACAGTATAGGAAACGAAGAAAAACGGAAAGATTATTCTTTGATTAGACTTAATAACTTGATACGCCTTCTCTCTCTCCATTATATACACCTACTATAAACATATATAAACAGTGAATGTATTGTATATTTGTATATATATATCGCCAATTTTATTAAGTTTCAAACAAGTACATTTACGTTTACATTCTACCTTTTTAATCAACAAAGGGAATTATCTGTTCCCAATTTTATTGATTTGCGGAAGAAAAAGAAGAAGAAAAGATATTAGAGATTGAAAGAAGAAGAAGTTTATTTTATAAATAAAACATTTCACAATTATTAATTTTTGAATATTAAACTTTAACATCTTTCAAAAACATCTTGAAATGGCTTCTTGGAATCCAGCCTACGAAGTCTCGATATCTGATTCTGAAGATGAGGAGGACAACTTAAAGCCTACTTATACTGGTCGAGAAGCCTTAGTTTTTGTGGTTGATGCTAATTTATATACGAAAGAGTCATCTCGCTTAACAGACGCCTTAAACATTATACGGAGTGCTTTTCTTTCTGGATTATTGTTTAATGATAAAGATGTTATGGGTTTGATGTTTGCCAATACCAACGAAAGTCCTCAGCCGTACGAATCGAATTGTTTAGAGGATATTGAGATGCCAGACAATTGTGCTGTGTTTTTACCGGTACGTCAACTTACTAAAGGCGTAGTCGATCATTATTTACGTTTCTTAGAAACTATGCCGGAAAGTTTTGTGCAAACTTATGGTGTTGCTAAGGATGGTAGTGAGGCGAATTTTTCTTATCTGCTGCGTTTATGTTTAGATTTAGTGGGTAAATGTTATTATGCCGTCGATAATTCCACAATTGTTTATCTTACCGACAAGGAGCAACCACATCCTACAAATTCGGATAGCTACGCTCAAGCTTTCCAAAAAGCTGCCGATTTAAAAGATAAAGAGGTGGATTTTAAATTAATACCTATGTTGGATGAATTTGATTACAATAGCTTTTATAAAGAGTTTCTTTCGTTGGTAAAAGATGAAGATATGGAAAGTTTTGTGCCCGTTGTTCCAGAAAAATTGCGCGAGATGTTGGCTGATCGTAAATTAAAACAAAGTTTCGTCAGACGTTCTTTGGGACATTTCAAATTATCTCTGGGTCCTGATTTGGCTCTTTCGGCGCAATATTTTAATTATTTCCAAAAAGATAAGAAACCGCGTAAAATATTAGTGCAGCGCAGCGATAACGCTGTAGTGAAACGTAAACGCCTTAACACTGTACGTAAAATCGATCCGGAAACTAATGAGTTGGGAGATCCGCGGGCAGTTAACATAACCAATGCTTGGTACGAGATACGATTAGGTGATCATTCCTTACGTTTAACATACGAACAAGTTAATCGAGTTCGAAACTTGCACGTTCCTGGCATGATGCTTTTGGGCTTTCAATCAAAAAGTGAACTCACAAAAATTGTTTACTGCAAACCATGCAACTTTATGTACCCAGATGACCGACACATTTTGGGATCAAAAAGACTCTTTCGGGCATTATGGGAACGTTGTCGCGCCCGAGATAAAGTCGCCATATGTTTATTTATGAGCAGACGTAAATCTATGCCTCGCTATGTTGCTTTAGTTCCCGTTTCCCGCGAGGACGCGACAGAAGGTTCTTATTATTCCTTGCTGGCGAATGATGGTTTCAAAATTGTTTATTTACCTTACACTTCCTATGTGAGGCATGTGGATTTTAAGGACTGGAATTCATTGGAGAATCATGCTAGCGACGAAGGAGTGGCAATCTGTGAGAAACTAATTCGTAAATTGCGCTTGAAATACAATCCAAGCTTGCTGAGTGACCCTGAAATAGATCATCTGCAAAGTAAATTGCTGGCTTTGGCATTCGATCAAAAATTTGAAACATTAGGTTCGCAGTATTTTCCCGATCCCCAATCGCAAGATGCTGTTATTGCTGGATTATTATCGGAATTCGAAGAAATATTCGGTGAGGATGCAGAACCGGCCAAGAAAAGAGCAGCCAGTAATTCGTCATTAGCCAGCACCAAAAGCAAAGCACCTAAATTAGCAGCAGAAGATCTGAATAAAAAAGATTATGTCATACAAATGATAAAAAATAGATCATTAGATTCCTGCACTAAGCAACAATTAATGCAAATACTTGAAGAACATTTTAACAAAACCATGCCTAAAAGTTCAAAAAAACAAGATCTTCTAGAACGTATTTATGATTTAAATGACTGAAATGTGGATATCAGATGCCTATATGTATGTTTCACAAAACACACATGCAGCCAACTTAAGTTATATATGTATTTGTTACTTCTTCGAAAGTATTCGAAGCAGAAAATAATAGTAAAGAAAATGTACTAAAAACTATACTAACATTACCACCACCACCAACAACAACAACAGCAGCAACAGCAAAAAATTTGATAACTGGAATGGGGAGGAGGAACTTATAAACTTTTTTAAAGTATGAAATTAAGAAAGCAGGGAAAAAGACAAAGTAAGAAGAATTTAAAAAAAAAAAAAAAAATGTAGAATATATTACTCACTTAAGTTTCTTGCAAAAAGTAAGTTTTTATTTTCAGCCCAGAAATAAGTTAATTCAGCCATGTTCGTCTGTTCATCCTCCGTCTGCCGAGGGCTGTTCTGCCTGCAAAAGTCTCAAGAGAAAGAGAGGGAGATTGTGAGCTGATATCTGCTGCACATCCTCTTAGTTTATAAGCCATAAGTCTAGTTTAACAAATGAATGAAGGCAACTTGGACTATGTGCACACAAACAATAGTTGACAACGAAAAGCATTATAGTCGCCCGTGGTCCGCCATTAAAATAAAACACGCTATGGCATTCTACACTTATCCATGTAACGACTTTTCAAAATGAGCACTTCCATGGGAAGTGATCGAAAAATTAGGTGGATCCAAACCATTTTCAATAGTGGTCGCCCCTGAATCGAAACATGTCGATGGAGTAAATTTCATGAAAATATCGCAAAAATTTCGGCCAATAGATTGAACAAAAAAAACAAGATAGATGGACAGACAAGCTTAGTTTGATCGGTAAAATCAAAGATGGATCGTATGTGGGCGTATGTGATGTAGGGTATAAAATTTGACGTATTTAACATACATCGTTCCCAAATTTTTCAAACAGTCCAAAATTTTTTGCTGGTGTTCTTATGGCTAACAATATATTTTGCTAAGGTTTTATTAAGGCGTGTGATAATGAATATAATAGGTATTCAAGATTCGTCTTAAGACGAATATAATTTTCTGTTGTTTTTTCTTTTATTAAAGGTTTTTTTTTATTTTTATATTTTTATACTTTTCCATCTTTTTGAATAGGTATTTAAGAGGAGAACATAAGCGCTCTTAGAAGTAATAAAATGCACTCCAAAGTCATATTATATCATAGTTTTCTACTTTATATGGCGAAAGAAAAAAATAAAAGTTTTCCGAAACTTATTAAGTTTTGTTGAAATGAAGACGAAGCAATCTTGGTAAAATATTGTCGCTAAAATTGTATGAGATTAAGTAACTGAAGCGGAGAAAGACACTATTTCTGCAACTAATGAAGTGTTTGGTAGCTTCTGGTGGCAATTTACTTCATTTTACTTCCTTTCTACTGCAAATATTAGATAATCTAGTAGTAATGATCGTAAGTCATCACATTCCTTGACAGCATTAATTGGACTTAAATGGTATTCAGGAATTGAAAAATAAAGAAAGCATAGAGAAGGAGCATCTAGAATGTGTCTTATGCTTTTTTAAAGCTTTCACAAACAATAGTAGATCGGATACTTCGATCATCCAACTACCAACACCCCACCCTCTTTTCGCGCAGAAGTCACCGGGCAAAATGTCTTACTGAGTCACTCATGTCGTAGATTATGTTTTCAACCAAAAAGTTGCAAGTCATTGTAGACAAGCGTCCAATAAACGGAATTATGAAAGCATATAACAGTTCTCGCTACAGATATTGGATTTCGTTCTTCCGACGTATCTTTTCAGATATTAATCAGAAATGTTGTTTTGCTTCACATGCTTTTTCGGACGCTAACATTCGGACATTAAGTTGCTTACATGAGAAAATTGAGTTCCGGAAAAACGGACAATGAATTTAATCCTGCTTGACCATAGGTTTTTCACAGTGCTGTAACATTATGCAATTCCATTCCATATCAAGCCTAAGTAGCCTTAAAGAACTGATGTTAGTTTTTTAATCTATGAGTCGCAACTGTATCACATCTATAAGTGATTCGGTCCAAACCATCTTTAATAGCGTTCGTGGTAGGGCTCAAACATGTCAGAGTTTACCAACTTTCTTTAAAATATCTTAAAAATTTGCGACCTATAGATTGAACACAAGAAAACAAGAGAGACCGATGGACGGATGGACAGACAAGCTTGAATGGATTCAGAAAATGATTGGAGTATTTGGCTTCATTTCATCTTAAGGCGCATACTATTCTCTTACATTACCGTGCTGCTGGTAACACTTATTGACTCTTTTAGTCCCCTTTTCTGACCATACGTACGGGAGGGTTCTCCTCTTGCTGCTTTGGTAATGCAATGAAGGTCCGCTCTCACGTTTCTCTGCATTTGAAACCGGAATCCATGATGATTGGACGTACGTGATATAGATCGATAAATCAACGTGAACCTACAGACGCTTGGGTTTGTGTAAGGAGGTTTCCAGAACAAGCCTATAATCTGGACTGTTTGCTTACTGCAGTCGAGCAGGAGGGAGATGCCACTATGATTTGAATGGACGTGCTTCAGCGGCCCTCTCCTTCACATCACTGGCCGGACTATGGCGAATGATGAACTTACTACTACGCTTAACACATTGCCACATTCCAATTTGAATAATGCGGTCGTATACATAATTAAGAAGGTTATTTTAGGTTCAGATTCGAGAAGTATTAGAACGTCATCAAATATCTTCCCTGGCCAAAACAATAGCCAGATGTCAACATACTGCCCGTCTTTGGAACAACTTGTCAGCAGCGATATCTATTTTCAAGTCGGAAACTCGCTCTACCCATCTCTTTCTAGAATCCTTTCTGACCACCACCGTGCCCGCAAATATGGGGGGCAAGCCCTGTGTTGACTTTATTAATATAAAATTTATAATAACAATGGAACGGTTATGGGAAGAAGCATTCGATTTGCATTTCCAACATCGTTGAAGCAATTGGCGGACACTTTTGGTGCAAGAATGCGACAACATTCGATCACCCGTTCTACGAATCTATTTCGCAAAGAATTACAGCTGATCCACGAGCTAACACTAGTTACGACGTCTTATCGAGAAATGAATACTTTGTGTATCGCAGGTGTTTACATTATTTTGTCCATTTATTGTACAACATATACGGGATGTATATATGGGGCGAATGAACATCCAACGTGTTTATCTATTCAATTCTTGTTTCTTGTTTCTTCATTTCGTAAACGCGTGCATTTTATGCTTAACTACTTTTATATTTATAGTTCAGGCTGCTTGTTTATAAATGCATGCATGTAATTGTATTTTTCATATGCACAGGCATGTTAGTTAGCTTCAGCCGTAGGGAGTTATAAACATTAATCATTTCATGTTGTTGTTTTCATTCTTGATTTTATTTTCGTTTTCTCCGACTTTTGTTTTAACATTTTATTATTGCATCCATCCATAAAGAATATTTGTTCATTTTTGCGCTACGCCATCACGATTGAATCGTTTATTTTCCATTCTTCTCCCCATAGTTTACTAAGATAAATATATTCTATTTTCACCGCATCGAGCAGAGTGCTTTTAACGACATTGTTCATATTTATGTATGCCGTAGTAGCGTGAAGTTGTTGTAAAAGTTATTTACTTTTTGTAAATAATAACTTTTAAGGAAAAAGTAAAAAAAAAATATATATATATATATATATATTTAAAAATCTATATCCGCTTAAGTCATCAATTGATTAATAAACTAAATATACCTATGAATAAGTTCTTTGTGACAAATTTATAAAACCAGTTGCTTGTTTTCATCCACATGTGTGTGTGTGTGTGTGTGTGTGTGTGTGTGTGTTGAACTCGCAGTTGTATTGCGGTAAAATGCTAAATTATCTTATCATACAGGAAAAATGTGTGACTGCGTGTGTATGCGCTTTTCCCATAAGCATAAATAAAAAAAGCACAAAAAAAGAAGAAGAAAACAAAGTGAAAAGCAACGACTTGTATATTTCTCTCTTCATTTTTTATTTGCGGTATAAAAAATTGTTTACTTGATTTTGGTTTTAATTGAATAAATTATGTTAAGTGCAAATGTTTTGTATTTTATGGGTTACTGGTGCATATCTCTACCTTTCTTGTTTTCTTTTTTTTTTTTTTTTTGTTTCTCATATGCTTATTGTATTCCAGTACAAGTTGTGTAGCATTTTGCACACATTAACCGAACAACAACAACAAGAACAGCCAGCAGCTATAAGCGCCCTTTTATTACATACACATTGGAAAATAGCACAATTATAATGCATAGGTGTTGTTGCATCGTTTGCATCGCTATTTCATTTATACATATTTCTCTGTCTCTCCTTCTCTATCGCTCTCTTTCTCTCTCTCTCTCTCTCTCTTCTTCTCGTTTCATATATTTGCTACGCTTAAAAATGTTTGTAAATCTTTTGTATTTATTTTCCACCTTGACTGAAAACTGTACACGGTACGTATGAGCAATTTACTGTGCATTAATATTAAATAAGTTTTTATATCCAAAAGGAGAAGATTTCATTAAGCAGGGATAATTAACACTGATGGCTTTAATGGAATCGAATGTTGTGCATTTTTTTTCTCGCTTTTTCGCTTAAAGATCGAGCCCATGGCAATCTCTTGCCCAGCTTAATGCGCGAACGGAAATCGGCTCGCAACTATCAGCTATAAGAGGAGTGGGTAACATTTTTCATTCGCGGGTCAAATTTTATTTTTGTATTATGGTAGTGGGGGGGTGGGAGCTCGGAAGAGGTTCAGAATAATGTCCAACTCTTGTTAAAAGTTCTTATTGCCGATCCGAGGTAATGAAATCATCTTTTAGATTCAATGTGTTTACGGCAAAGATCGTTTTGTGGACCTCACCAACACCATTCGAGTAACATAAGGGCAATGGATTCCGTTTGTTTACAATAAAAATAGTTTTGTGGATCCCACATCATAGGATAGGCCTCACTAGCGATTTGTACATCAGAGGAGTAGTGTAAGGATGACGTAATTCGTTTGGTTAGTACTTAATAAATTCCAATGCACTTTTTGCCTTCTTCACGATAAGATTTATATATGTGTATTGAAGGGCAACTTTCGATTAAACAGGACCCAGATATTAGCAAATGAAGCTGGTGGTATCGACTTGAACATATTGACCGAGATGACGAGCTTGAGGAGCTGTAGAGTGTACTATGGTTAGAAGCGAATCCATTTTACAAACAGCTTATTCATACCTAAGTCCTCCAGCTTATTTAGAAGTATACAGCGGTTGAACTCATCGAAAGGTTTAGTGATATTAGTATATACTATATGTGTGCTTGGTTCCGATCATTGAAAGCTTGGTTAATTAACGAAATGAATCCGAATAAGGTGGTAGTTGTTGATTGATTTTTCATGAGGTCGTACTTTCTTAGAAATTGCCTTGAGCTAGAGATAGAGAGATGCTTGAGCGGAGAGGATAAGGGAAAAAGTAACTTGTCAAAGATTTAATAGAAGTGAGATTTTCAAGTACAATTTTTCCTTTAATTTTTTTTAAGAACTTCAGACCTTTTATTATTTTCTGTTCATTTGTCTGGCGGTCCGTCTATCCGTCTGGTCTTTGTATTTTCGATTATTTTCGCTTAACGCTTAACGCTTTTAAAAACCCGTTATATGACCAACTGTAAAGCGGTGTGGGGAGTCGAACAATGGGATCCATTTGGGTGAACCTAGACATACCGATATCCTCACTTTTTTATGGTGCTCACTATAAACGTTGACTGTTGCTATTTAAGGCTCTCGCTTTCGAGAGTTGCACGCCAAAGAAGGGTTTAAGGTTTGTTATCTACAACCTGGCAATGAGGTTTTCTCTTGGTAGCGTAAGAGATGTATCAGCAGTTGGGCTTTTTTCTAATGATAGGAGAGCATTTTTCTTCGCATTTTTGGTTCTCTTTTATGGAGGTCATCAAACACATGATGGTTAGCGATATCTAGGAAGATCGGAGCACAGTTAGGTGTGTTGTATGTTATGACGACCTTGGAAGAATTTTCGCCTTGAGAAACGATAGTGTTTGGAGATCTTCCGGGACGTGTGGGTTTGGCTCTATATTGGTTCTGTAATTAGAACGATAAGTCTTGAAGATAATGGGTATCCACGGGGAACAGGTTGCCCAAAAGTAACATTGACGCTGGTAC